CCCCGCTTGCTTCCGCCAGAGCCGAGGGCTGACTCTGCAATGGATGTACTCGGCCAGAGGCGATTACATGCGCGCGGCGGACAAGTTACGCAAGGACATCTACAGCTCCGAGGAGCAGAACGAGAGGCTCCTGCGCATGTATAACGTCCGCATAATGCGGGTGAGGCGAGGCAGAGGCGTGGGGCGGATGGCGAGGGGGCTGCTATTTGTCCTAATCTCTCCCCCACCCACCCGGATAGCATGGATATTCCCTGTGTAAAGGAGGTAAAGGGACCCCTGACCATTAGGTCCAGTCGTGGCCGACTCTGGGGTTGCGGCGCTCATCTCGCTTTACTGGCCGAGGGAGCCGGCGTACAGCTTCCGGGTCATGTGGCCAGCAGGACTAAGCCGCTTCTGGCGAACCAGAGCAGCGCATGGAAACGCCGTTTACCTTCCCGCCGGAGCGGTACCTATTTATCTACTTGCACTGGTGTGCTTTCAAACTGCTAGGTTGGCAGGAGCAGGGACCGAGCAACAGGAGCTCACCCCGTTGTGGGGATTCAAACCGCCGACCTTCTGATCAGCAAGTCCTAGGCTCTGTGGTTTAGCCCACAGCACCACCTGCATCCCTTTATTCCCTGCCTATGGCCCATGATTAGTAACCTAGAGAAAGGAAGGGAAAGCTCAGTGACCCAGGTCTCACTGTCTGGCCCTCGGATCTCTCTTGGGGCCACCACCCCCCGTCCCTAGCCTTGCTTTTGCCCCTCCTTGAGTGTTTCTGCCTGGCTAAGATGTGTCCCTGAGCTCACCTGGATGGCATGTCTGTAGAAACCGTACGAGTTGCTGTTCTGCCCCTGGCGCTGCCTGGAAGGTTGTGCAGAAGGGAATGCGGCCCTCGGCCTGGAAATGATTCCTGGCACAATTGCCCCCTCGATGCACCAATGCTTCCCTTTCTTTCTTGCCACCAGGGTGGTTTGCAGGAAGCTCCCTTGTGTGGGATTGCAGAGTTTTAGTTATTAGTTATTATTAGTTAACCTGGAGAGGGACGCGGGTGGCGCTGTGGGTTAAACCACAGAGCCTAGGGCTTGCCGATCAGAAGGTCGGAGGTTCGAATCCCCGCAATGACGGGGTGAGTTCCCGTTGCTCGGTCCCTGCTCCTGCCCACCTAGCAGTTTGAAAGCACACCAGTGCAAGTAGATAAATAGGTACCGCTCCGGCTGGAAGCTAAGCAGCGTTTCCATGCGCTGCTCTGGTTCGCCAGAAGCGGCTTAGTCCTGCTGGCCACATGACCCGGAAGCTGCACGCTGGCTCCCTCGGCCAATAAAGCGAGATGAGTGCCGCAACCCCAGAGTCATCCGCGACTGGACCTAATGGTCAGGGGTCCCTTTACCTTTACCTAGTTATCCTGGAATTAAAGGAGCAGCCTTTTGCAGAGGATGCTTGTGTGCCCTCTGTCCTTCCTCCCCGATTCACCAGCTCCTGCCCAGTACAGATGGGGTTCTGCTAGGTTTTTTGGGGGGCAGTGCTGTGGACTTTGGGTATCTTTGCTCCACTAACGGCTCCCCCTCTCTGCCCCAGGTGGAATTCTACTTCCTCTCCCAGTACGTGGCGGTGACGGAGACCCCGTTCCGGCACATCTTGCACGGCCGGGGGGCCACACCGTCAAGGCCCTGCTGGAGCACGTCAGCCTCTTGCGGGAGGCCCCCCAGAGCTTTGACGAGGTCCTCTTCCGCCGCCAGCTGGCATTCGTCACTTGGACGCTCCAGGGGGCGGCCAATGCCCTGAGTGGAGACGTCTGGAACATCGACAACAATTTCTAAACATCAAAACACGTAAAAAAAAGGGGGGGACCCTCTCATTCCTGGAGCTGAAACCAACTTTTTGAATGCATTTCCAAAAAGCGAAAAAATGTAATCTGAGCCATGAAATCCCCCCCCCTGAAGAATTGTCTAGAATCCACCAGCGTCCGTAATTGGGAATGTTGCAACAGACTTCAGTTATGCAGAAAGCGCATTTTACCATTTGGGCCAGCGGATTCTAGTCCTGCACAGCCAAAATTTGTTTCAGCTCTACCTCCTTTTATTCTCCTCTCCGCTGGAATCATAGAATTAGAGTTGGGGGGTCCCTGAGGGTCATCTAATCCACCCCCTCCTGCAATGCAGGAATCACGGCTTGATCTTCTCCTTGCCTGTCCTGAATTTATCGGTGGCAAAGGCTCACTATAAATTGCCCACATCCTGCCACACGAGTGGAGAGCAGGCTGTGGTTGTGTTTCCCTGACTTAATTGCCTCCTTTCCCCTCCCTTCTCCTCCTCCTAATTTATCAGCAGCAGTGTCTGCTATAAATTGAATTGATTTATTGCTATGTAATGGAGCGAAATCCTGCGCTTCACATTCACCCTTTACCCGGCACCCGTTTTAATTGTTCCCCGTATTCCGGTTTCTTCAGTGCCCCTTTGCTGACTCCCGGCTCCCTCGCTTCAATATTTATCAGTTGCACTGATGACTATGCCAGCCTTTCCCAACTTGGCGCCCGCCAGATGTTTGGCGCTATAACTCCCAGCAGCCCTGCCTGTGTGATGCCGAGCCTGATGGGAGTTGTAGTCCAAAACGTCTGCTTAAGAGCGCTGGGTTTCCTGAAGGCTGCCGTAAATGTTTATTGCTATGCGATACGATGAAAACCCGCTCTACCTCATGAATAAGAACCAAAGCCTTGTTAATTTATCAGTGGCAAAGATCACTATAAATTATTTCTTGTTACGTTTGCCTGGTTCTTTGTCCAGCGACTTTATTGTCCAGCTCATCAAGTGGACAAACACACAAATAGAATTGAATCGTACAATCACTCATCTAGTCCAACTGCAGGAATCACAACTAAAGAATCCCTGTTTGATGACAGTTTGATGACAAGATCAGAGAAGAGTTTGAAAATGGGACAAGTGTTACTTTACGGTCGTTATTCTGAGATACCAAGACCAGTTTTTAGGAATCTCAGTGTCCCTCAACCATACTCCCGATTCCTGACAAATACCGTGTCATCAGCAGTTCATTGCATTTCTCCAAAGATCCCAGAATCCCACCCATCAGAAACAAGCAGCCCTCTGTCACTATGAGAAAGAGCTGAGCTTTTCCTGATCTTGCCAAGACTCTTGTTCAGCCTTTGCAAACCCGCATTTTAAGACCACAACTCCCATCAGCTCCAGCCTATTTGTGAATTTAGAGACTAGTTATCCCACCATACCTGTTGCCAAGGGGAGTGGGGAACCAGGCTGGTGGGCTTCTGCGTCTGAGAAGATTTAATGGGCTGCTTTGGGGGGCTCAGCGCTAAATTTTATGCTACCTGCTCATGGTTACAGAGCACAGTGCGGTGAGTTTAAGTTAGCAGCCCTGATGCCTATTCACCGAAGGAGGTTTTGGGGAAAGTGGGCTAGGAGAGGGTGTCAGGGCCTCTAGATGGTGCGACTGTCTCTTTGGAGACCCCCCCCCCAAAGGCTGAAGCACAAGAGGGGGCAGGAGCTGGAGTCAAGGGGGTGGGCATGTTGCAAAAGTGTGTGTAAAGTTGTGCAGTGCCATTGGGGTGGGTGAGAAAAAGTACGAAACACATTTTCCTTGGGCACTAAATACATTTCCTGTTGCCACTTACCCACACCATCAGCGAAAGAGAGGAAAATTCTCCAGATTGCGCTTTTAGAAGATGGCGCTAAAAAAAAAGAGAGAGTTCCTCAAGCTCCTTTTCTCCGCTGTCCTTGCAGGGTCAGTGCTTCCTTCTCAAACGCACAAACACGCCGACACATTTGTGCTCTCGGTCTGCCCATCCTGCTGACACAGCATTTGCCAACCAGGAGCCCTCCAGACATTTTGGACTACAACTCCCATCAGCCCCAGACAGCACATGCTCTGGACATCATATGTGGTGCGGAGAGAGGTGGTTTTCCTGCCCCCCCCAATAATAATAATAATTTATTATTTATAGCCCGCCCATCTGGGTGGGTTTCCCCAGCTACTCTGGGTGGCTTCCAATAGGTTATTGTATTTTAGTGTTTTGTTGGAAGCCACCCAGAGTATCTGGGGAAACCCACCCAGATGGGCGGGCTATAAATAATAAATTATTATTATTATTATTATTATTATTATTCCAACTGAATATTAAAAACAATACAGTGGTACCTCGGGTTAAGTACTTAATTCATTCCAGAGGTCCTTACTTAACCTGAAGCACCACTTTAGCTAATGGGGCCTCCCCTGCTGCCATGCCACCAGAGCACGATTTCTGTTCTAATCCTGAAGCAAAATTCTTAACCCGAGGTACTATTTCTGGGTTAGCGGAGTCTGTAACCTGAAGCGTCTGTAACGCAAGGTACCACTGTACAGCATCAAACTTTAAAAGCTTCCCTAAACAGGGCTGCCTTCAGATGTCTTCTAAAAGTCTGGTAGTTGTTTTTCTCTCTTACATCTGGTGGGAGGGAGTTCCACAGGGCGGGCGCCACCACCGAGAAGGCCCTCTGCCTGGTTCCCTGCAACCTCACTTCTCGCAGGGAGGGAACTGCCAGAAGGCCCTCGGAGCTGGACCTCAGTGTCCGGGCAGAACGATGGGGGTGGAGACGCTCCTTCAGGTCTACTGGGCCTTTGAGGCTGTTTAGGGCTTTCAAGGTCAGTACCAACACTTTCAGTTGTGCTTGGAAACGTACTGGGAGCCAGTGTAGGTCTTTCAAGACCGGTGTTATGTGGTCTTGGCGGCCACTCCCAGTCCCCAGTCTAGCTGCCGCATTCTGGATTAATTGCAGATTAACTTGGGGGTCGTGCCATGAGATCGACAGGCAGGTGGTCCGGGGCAGACAGAAAGAACTGCGTCCTCCTTTACACAGAATTAACCCAATGAACTGCTTCACACAAGGCAATTCCTAAAGCCTTTGTAATCCAAGTTGGAATCACTGCTATTCTCGTTCTCCATTTCCAACCAATACTCTCTTTTTCAAAATTTTATTTGGAAAAAAAAAGAAGAGAGAAAATAACCATTTTTTTTTGTTTGTTTCCTTTCCAACCCTGGACATATTTTTTTTTTCAAGTATTGCCGCTTTCTGCCCATTTCCCCCACAGTAAAACCCCCCTCTCCTCGACCATGCTCCCCTCTCCACCTCCCTCTCCCCGTTTTCTGCCAAGGAGGGGGAGAGAAGGGCAGTGGGGGCAATTCAAGTATAAACCTGCCTGGAGGGCAGAGCGGAAGGGCGTCTCCTGTTTTAGCCCCCCATGTGAAAAGTGGGGAAGAGAATTTCAAATTGGGTGAAAGGGTGGGGGGGAAACACACACACACACTTCCGGGAGGGAAAAGGGACCGTTTCCATGCCTACCTCCCTCCTACCTGCAGAAGGCAACTGGTCCCCGCTTCCTGCCCCCCAACCTCTCTCAACCTCAAGACCCCTTACCCCCAGTGCAGGGGGGCTGGGCGACCCTCTCCCCTCCCTTTCCTCCCTTCCTCGCGTCCTGCAAGGCACACCAGCGCTCCTGGATCCTCTCCCTGCCGGTCCCAAGAGGGGATCAGGAAGCCGGTTGCCCGAGTTCACACGGGGCTCCCCGCCCCCTTGCCTTGGTCGCCCCGACGGCGCTCCCGGATCCTCTCCCTGCCGCTCTGGAGGGCCGGCCTTTCCTCTCTCCCCGGTGGCGGAGGGTCCTTGTCAGTCGTGGCCGGCCTCGCTGAGGGGCATGTGGCGGATGGTGTGGAAGATCCAGTCCATCTTGGTGGTCCAGCCGCCGTGGTGGGCCTCGTTCATCTGCTTGGTGAAGTACTCCAGCGCCTCCTGCTCCGACTTGTCCAGCGCCAGGGTCTTGCGCAGGTAGGCCACGTCGTCAAAGGACTGCAGCTCCGGCATCCCCGAGCCCAGCATCATGGAGAAGAGGTTGATGAGCAGGTTGGCGTGCTGGCGGATGGTCAGATAGGCCTTGTAGCACATCTCCTGGAACCTGGGAGGGAGAAGCGGAGGGAGGAGGGCCTTGGCGTGTGGGGAGGTTCAGGGCAGATGAGACTTCATCGTGCAACTGTGAAACTCCCTGCCACTGGAGGCAATGATGGTTACCGACTTAAAGGTAAAGGGACCCCTGACCATCTTTCCCAGCCAAGAAGCCCTAAAACAGCCCTTCGTTGTTGTTGTTTTAAATGCTTTTTATTGGTGTTTCATTTAATAAAGGGACCCTTGACCATTAGGTCCAGCCGTGGCCAACTCTGGGGTTGCAGCACTCATCTCGCTTTACTGGCCGAGGGAGCCGGCGTACAGCTTCTGGGTCATGTAGCCAGCAGGACTAAGCCGCTTCTGGCGAACCAGAGCAGCGCATGGATACGCCGTTTACCTTCCTGCCGGAGCAGTACCTATTTGCCGTATTTTTTCCTCTATAAGACTCACTTTTTCCCTCCTAAAAAGTAAGGGGAAATGTGTGTGCATCTTATGGAGCGAATGCAGGCTGCGCAGCTATCCCAGAAGCCAGAACAGCAAGAGGGATTGCTGCTTTCACTGTGCAGCGATCCCTCTTGCTATTCTGGCTTCTGAGATTCAGAATATTTTTTTTCTTATTTTCCTCCTCCAAAAACTAGGTGCGTCTGGTCTGGTGCGTCTTGTAGAGCGAAAAATACTGTATCTACTTGCACTTTGAGGTGCTTTCGAACAGCTAGGTTGGCAGGAGCAGGGACTGAGCAACGGGAGCTCACCCCGTCGCGGGGATTTGAACCGCCGACCTTCTGATCGGCAAGCCCTAGGCTCTGTGGTTTAACCCACAGCGCCACCTGCGTCCCGCTTACAGACTGACATGGCTTTAAAAGAGGGTTAGGCTAATTCATAGAGGAGGAGGCTATTGATGGTCTCTAGGCAGGATGCCTCCACTGTTGGAGGCAAAATGCTTTGGAATATTTCCGAAGTTCGTGTGTACACATGTGCGTCTGGCACAGAGCTTTCCGAACACTTCATGTTCGTGACACACTTTTTAGACGTGCATCATATCGCGACACAGTGATTCAGTTTTACTAGCAAACCGGAGGTTAAACTAACCCCTTTCCAGCCCTGGGGGGAGTGCAGGGAGCGTTTGCGAGACACACCTACACATTGCAGCAGACACACTAACATGGCGCAACACCCAGTTCAGAAAGCTCTGCTCTAGTGTGTTGTTCAAGATTCATTTGGAATTAAAAGATGTGATCTTTGAACGTTCTCTCAAATGTAGATTGGAACTTACAGCTTTTCCCTTTAAACTTACAGCTTAAAAAAAACGTAAGAGATGATCTGTGCTGCCATAAAACTTAGGGAACAAGGTGTAGTACCAAAAGGATTAAGGTTTTAAATGATAATTTTAGGTTATAGTTTAGTGATCAATATATCATTTAGTGATCAATATATATATATATACCACACAGTGGTACCTCTGGTTAAGTACTTAATTCGTTCCGGAGGTCCATTCTTAACCTGAAACTGTTCTTAACCTGAGACACCACTTTAGCTAATGGGGCCTCCTGCTGCTGCCGCGCAATTTCTGTTCTCATCCTGAAGCAAAGTTCTTAACCCAAGGTACTATTTCTGGGTTAGCTGAGTCTGTAACCTGAAGTGTCTGTAACCTGAAGCGTATGTAACCCAAGGTACCACTGTGTGTGTATATAATATTGAAATATATTAAATATAGCTATATTTAACTGTCGCTATATCTGAATTGTCTCTGTTGTACCCAATTGCAATTCAATGTATCCCTGTTGTGTTTTACGATTTTCCTGATATTGTAAGTGACCCGGAACTGGTCTGCGACCGTAATAATAAAATTCATTCATTCATCTGTGCTGTTAACCACAATGGCTATCTTCTCCCTCCGTGGTCAGAGGCAGGATAGCTCTAGGAATCACAAGCAGGGAGAGTGTCCCTGTGGCTGTGAGGTCCCGAATGCGGGCTTCCCTTTGGGGAATCTGGCTGGCCACTGCAAGAACAGGATGCTGGACTGGATGGGGTCCCTTGGGCCTGATCCAGCAGCCAGCCTCTTGCGTTCTCAGATCAAGTGTATGAGTGTGCAAGGGGGAAAGTAGAAGGGAGGAGCAAACTGGGGAGGAAAACCAGTGTTTGCTGCAAAGGCGGGTGTGTGTGTCATTTGAAGTGTGAAGTCCCAGTTCATGGTGTGTGTGTGTGTGTGTGTGTGTGGCTCCTGTACACAGCTGAACACTGCAGAAGCGATGCCATTCTTGAAAAGGGGGGTGTAATTGGGGGAGGAAGACAGGCGTGCCTGGCGTGCTCTGGTCCAGGGGGTCACAAAGAGTCGGACACGACTAAACAACAAACAATTGGGTGAGGGAGTCCTTGTCTCTGTGGTTTGGGGGAAGGGAGTGTGGGGAAGCCAGATTCCTAGATTTTGAGTGATGCTGTGGGCGAAGGATGCCTAGTTTGTGTTGTTTTCGGGTGGTGGGGAAGTGAAGGGTTTCCCAGCAAGTTATCAGGAGACCATAACTGTCAACCTTCCCTTTTTTTGCGGGAAATTCCCTTATTCCAGCACCGTTTTCCGCTGCTTTCCGCTGTTAGATATCCCGTAGACTGTCCCCGGGACAGGTGAAGCTGCTGATCCCTTATTTTCAAGGCTGCTGATTGTCAACTATCAAATCTGAAAGTTGACAGCTATGCAGGAGACGTGTGGCCTTACAAATAAAGCTGTACTCGATGGATGAAAGGATATATGATGTCTGACATGACTGAGAATCGGAGAGCCAGAGACGGAGAACTTTAAAGCGTTAAAATCGAGATGTGGAAATATGGAAACAACGAGGAGAGGCAGGGTTGAGATTTGGAGCTATGCTTTAAGGTCCAGACTATGGGAAGTCCTGAAAAATTAATAATTATAATTTGGATGGTAATTTGGTCTTTTTTATTTTAGTTTTTTTATTTTAATTGGATTATGATTTGATATGTTAATTGGATGTGTTGGTTTTTTCGGAAAAAATAAATAAAAATGATTTAACCAAAAAGAAAGGAGACGTGTGGCCGAAGGCTCCCCATCTCCTACCTCTCGAACTCTTTGGTCTTGGTACACTCCTGCACCCCTTTGCTGATGACGATGAGGAAGTCCTGAGTGAGGACGAAGGGGACTCGCTCCCGCTTGTAGCCAAACTTCTTCTTCTTGTGGTCCAGGAAATGGCCAAAGTCAATGTGGAACAGCTGGTGGAGAAGCCAGTGAGGTGGCACCGAAAGAGAGAGAGAGAAAAGGGGAGGATTTTTTCACTCTTGCTTGTTTTCCTGGGATGAAGGCCATGGGTGGGAGGGAAGTGCGCGCATTTGTGTAATTATTATTAATAATAATAATAATAATAATACCCTGCCCAGCCACTCTGGGCGGCTTCCAACAGAATATTAAAATACAATAACCTATTAAACATTAAAAGCTTCCCTAAACAGGGCTGCCTTCAGATGTCTTCTTAAAGTCTGGTAGTTGTTCTTCTCTTTGACATCTGCTGGGAGGGCATTCCGCAGGGCGGGTGCCACCACCGAGAAGGCCTTCTGCCTGGTTCCCTGTAACTTGGTTTCTCGCAGCGAGTACAGAAAACCACTCACCTGCCCATCGTCCTTGACCATGATGTTGCTGTTGTGGCGGTCCCCAATGCCCAGGATGAAGGTGGCGACGCAGTAACCGGCGCAGGAACGCGTGAAGAGGTCAATGGCAGCATCATAGCTGGATCCAGGAAGGAGGGAAACGTTAGGACGAAGGGCCTTGCTGAACTCTGCACACACCAGGGTTAGAAGCATGGGACGCCGCCTTACACCGAGTAAGACCATTGGTCCGTCTTGTTCAGTGTTGTCTACCCTGACTGGCAGCTGTGGCTCTCCAGGGAATCCTTCCCAGCCCTATGCGGAGATGCCAGGGATGGAAGCTACAACCTTTTGCGCGCAGAAGCTATGAGCTACGGCAGCCCTTCTTCCTCATCGCCTCACCCCAGTCTCTGCAGCAGGCCCCATAACTCCTCTGGTATCCATGCCTCATGCCTCTCGTGGATCCCAAAGCCCTTTTAGCAAATTCTCCCCACAACTCCTGGAACGTTGACAACTTTGTCCTGTGCCATCAAACCTCCCAGTCCTTCCCTTCCCAGAGGGGGAGCAAGACCCACAAAAACCCCCACTTCTTGCTGACCCACAGCTGGCCGCCGCCGCCACCCTGCTGGTTGCTGGTTTGTTTGTGGGCCCGATTCCTGGTGCTCACGTTTAAAGCCCAAAGTGACTCAGGCCCCCAAAAGCTGAAAGGCACCCCCCTCCTCCTTCCCTGCAGACCCTCTCAAGTGGTTTTATCAGCAGAGCGGGCTCTCTTGGTAGTTCTAGGTAAAGGGACCCCTGACCATTAGGTCCAGTCGTGACCGACTCTGGGGTTGTGGCACTCATCTCGCTCTATAGACCAAGGGAGCCGGCGTTTGTCCGCAGACAGCTTCTGGGTCATGTGACCAGCATGACTAAGCCACTTCTGGCAAACCAGAGCAGCGCACGGAAACACCCTTTACCTTCCCGCCGGAGCGGTACCTATTTATCTACTTGCACTTTGACGTGCTTTCGAACTGCTAGGTTGGCAGGAGCGGGGACCGAGCAACGGGAGCTCACCCCGTCATTGCGGGGATTCGAAGCGCCAACCTTCCGATCGGCAAGCCCTAGGCTCTGTGGTTTAACCCACAGCGCCACCCGCGTCCCTTCTTGGCCCAGAATTTTTGGCCCAGAATGAAGGAAGCTGCCTTTATACTGTGCCATACCATGGGGGGGGGGTCCACCTACCTCAATATTGTCCACCCTGACTGGCAGCAGCGGCTCTCCAGAGTTTCAGAAAGGGAGCCTGTCTCAGCCCTACCTGGAGATGCCGTTGGGGGTTGAAGCCGGGACCTTCTGCATGCCAAGCAGGTGCTCTGGCACGGAGCTACGGCCAGGCATTCTCTGTGGTGAGCCCTCATCTGTGGAACTCCCTCCCCACAGAGAGGCAGCTGGCACCTTCGCTGGACAGCTGTCCTGAATACGCACCGTTTGGCCCAGGCCTTCACCATGCAAGATGCGCATATTTTTAGGACCCACTTGAAAAGTGGCTGTCCTTTGCTTGGAACTGAGTTTAGTGCTGCATCTTAAAAAATGGCTGCAACCCACCCTGGGACCCCATGGTGAGGGGCAGGTAAGGAATGGAGCAAATAACAGTAACTGACCCCTCTCCCTTGTTCTTGTCCTTCAGCCAGTGGTGCAGAGCGTTGCTGTTGAACTGCAGCGCCCCCTTGAGGCCGCCCTTGCACTGGATCTGCATGATGGTGTGGGAGCTCTTCACCACCTCGATGAGGCCCACGCAGTCCCCGATGGAGAGGCAGCCGTAGGGCAGCATCCTGCAAAGAACCAGGAGGAAGACAGAAGACTGAGATGGCTTGGGACTCACGTACCTACGGGACAGCCTCTCCCGGTCTGCCCCATGGAGGACCTTAAGGTCCATAAATAGCAACACCATAGAGGTCCCGGGCCCTAAGGAAGTCAGATTAGCCTCAACCAGAGCCAGGGCCTTTTCAACACTGGCCCCAGCCTGGTGGAACACTCTGTCTCATGAGACTAGGGTCCTGCGGGATCTGATTTCTTTCCTCAGGGCCTGTAAGACAGAGTTGTTCCGCCTGGCCTTTGGCTTGGAATCAACTTGATCCCCTCCCCCTCTCTGGCTTGGAATCAACTTGATCCCCTCCCCCTCTTTCTTTTTTCCTTTCTCCTCCTGTGAAGAGGCTGCATCTTAATGTTTTAATGCTGTATTTTAATCTTGTTTTTTAAGTTGTATTTTAATCAGCTTGGTTTTATTATTGGTTGTTAGCCACCCTGAGCCCGGACTTGGCTGGGGAGGGCGGGGTATAAATAATAATAATAATAATAATAATAATAATAATAATAATAATAATATTGGAAAACAGGGGATTAGGCAGAGTCATGGAAGGTCAGGAAGTCTATCAGTGGGTGGCTAAATGGAGCCTCCAGGTTTAGGGACAGCCTACCTCTGAATACCAATCATTGGGGAGAACCTGGGGGAGAGGGCTGTGGCCTTCACATTCTCCTGCTTGTGGGCTCCCCTTTGGGGGAAGAAGGATCCCGGGTGAAAGGGACCTTGGGTCCAACCCAGTGTGAGCCAGTGTGGTTCAGTGGTTAGAGTGTTGGGCTGGGACCTGGGAGAGTAGGGTTCGAATCTCCGCCATAAGGCCTTGAAGCTCACTGGGGTGATCTTGGAGGCCAGTCACTGCCTCTCTCAGCCTGACCTACCCACAGGGTTGTTGCGGGGATTAAATGAGGAGAGGGAGAACAATGTCTTGAGCTCCTCGGAGGGGAAAGCAGCATATAAATGAAAACAGCCCAATGGTTGCCGTTAATTTGATTTGTACTGATTTTATAATGAACTGATTTTAAGAATGTTGTATTATTTTACTGTTGTTAGCCGCTCTGAGCCCGGCTTCAGCTGGGGAGGGCGGGATATAAATAAAATTTTATTATTATTATTTATTATTTCATACCTACCCACAGCCCCAATGGTTGCTGTTTTGATAAGGATTTCTCGCTGGACCCCTTCTTGGTGGCAGGGAGGGTGCAGCTGTTTATAGTCTGGCACCCCGACTTCATTTAAAACCAACCCATGAAAAGTCTGCAACCTCACCTCTGAAAACAGCACTTCTGGAACACACCTAGACACTTCTGGACTTGGGGCAGTGTGTATGTTCTCCAGCAAAAGAGAATTCACTTGTTTTTAAAGCAAAGGCCCAAATGAGGATGAAATAATAATAATAATAATAATAATAATAATAATAATAATAATAATAATAAAATTTTACTTATACCCCGCCCTCCCCAGCCAAGACTGGGCTCAGGGAAGCTAACACCAAATATAAAACAAATTGATTGAAATACAACTTAAAAACAAGATTAAAATGCAGCCTCATTTCAGCAGAAACTCAAAAACAGGGCAGGCAAAAGTCCCACCCCACGACACGTTGCCTTAACGCTACCTGAGATCCAGTCCTTGGTTCTGCCACATGCTCTCCATGATCCGGATGATCTGCAGAGTCAACATATCTTGCCGGAGGTCTGGGGAATTACAGAGGAGATGATTAAAACAAAGAGGTGACTGGAGTGGTTGGGAGGGAGTGGTCCCCTGATGGGCTGAGAGGCTGGGTGTGAGATTTGGTGCTGATGCGGTGAGAAAAAATAGCCTTTGAAGAGAGAGGAAATCATGGGTCCTAGTGTGTCTCTTCCTTAAAATGGAATGGGAAACTCCAGAAGGGAACAAAGGGACACGACAAGACACAAAATAGAATCCTTTGGGGTGGAAGCAAGGCTGAGAACGTCCCACCCCACTTCAAGTTAGGTTCTTATTTTTGTGTATATTATGTACCGTATTTTTCGCTCCATAAGACGCACCTGACCATAAGACGCACCTAGTTTTTAGAGGAGGAAAACAAGAAAAAAAATATTCTGAACGAAACAGTGGATGTATGATTTTTGTGGTTCATGCTGTGGCCACAGACATGTGATCGGATGGTGAATTTGGGGTGACCCAATGCAAAAATCCTGAGGATGCATGGGCTTTTACCTCCCCCCTCCCAGGCAGCCTCCTTTATCGCTAGCATCCCTTATCTCTCTGCCGATCCCACCGATCAGCTGTTTCCTTTCAACACTCCCTTCCCTCTGGTTTGCCTTAGTGTCTTTTCCTTAGCTGGAGCAGTTTTTTGCTCCTCCTTTTCTTCTAATTTCTCTCCTTATTGCTTTAGTCTTCCTGTTCCCCCCCCTTTGCAAGTTTGCTGCCTTTACCTCCCCCCTCCCAGGCAGCCTCCTTTATCTCTAGCGTCCCTTATCTCTCTCCCCAATCGCTTTCCGATCAGCTGCTTCCTTTCAACACTCACTTCCCTCTTTCAAAACAAAGAGCATGATCTGCTTTTTGCCCCTGGGCAATTCGGCTCCAGGGACCACACATTCGCTCCATTAGACGCACAGACATTTCCCCTTACTTTTTAGGAAGAAAAAAGTGCATCTTATGGAGCGGAAAATACGGTATATGTATATTTGTGTATATCAATTTTGAGTGTTATTTTTGAGCTTGGCAAAGCTTGGGAAGCAGTACCACAGAGGGGTGTTTCCTTGGGTGGGTGAGAGTCTTGGGTAGGAGGTAGCAACCTGGGTGAGAGTCAGATGCCTGTCTGGGCTGGGCCTTGGCAAGAAAGAAAGGCGTGGGAAGAGGGAACGGATCCCTGACTCTTAAGAGTCTTCCCTCCCCCAAAAAAAGGGCTTTTTGCTTTGTGGGGATTTTATTGTTCTCGTTAGTACTGTAGTTTTCCAGTTTCGTTGACGGTTTTCTATACAGTTTGCAAACTGCTTAGAGACTGTTTTGGCATCAAACCACGTATAAATGTATGAAATAAATAAATAAAATGCCCAAACTTGCACTGGAAGTAACTCTCTGCCACTGGGTGTTACCTGATGGTTTGGGGTTTTTTTAAGGATATATAAACAGATGGAGAAAAGATCTGCCTAAGTGCCGGGCTGCAAGATGTTGTGGGCAGTGGAATCACATCCAGTAATGGATTTTCCCATCATGCTCCATACAAGCCCCTCTGGGGGATAACTGAATGGGTGCTATCTGAAGGAGCAAAAGGGGTTCAGGAATCTTGGGCCTAAGGGCTGAATGTGGACCTCCAAACCACTCTTATCTGCCCTCTCCCAACTCCCTCATTGCTCCTTGTTTGCCCCCAAGTATTTCTGCCTGGAAAGGCTGGGCTGGATGAATCCCAAGGGGGAATTAAGATTGCCGGAAGAAATATCAACAACCTCAGATATGCAGATGATGCAACCTTGATAGCAGAAAGTGAGGAGGAATTAAAGAACCTTTTAATGAGGGTGAAAGAGGAGAGCGCAAAATATGGTCTGAAGCTCAACATCAAAAAAAGCCAAGATCATGGCCACTGGGCCCATCACCTCCTGGCAAATAGAAGGGGAAGAAATGGAGGCAGTGAGAGATTTTACTTTCTTGGGCTCCATGTTCACCGCAGATGGTGACAGCAGTCATGAAATTAAAAGACGCCTGCTTCTTGGGAGAAAAGCAATGACCAACCTAGACAGCATCTTAAAAAGCAGAGACATCACCTTGCCAACAAAGGTCCGCATAGTTCAAGCTCTGGTTTTCCCAGTAGTGATGGATGGAAGTGAGAACTGGACCATCAAGAAGGCTGATCGCCAAAGAATGGATGCTTTTGAATTCTGGTGCTGGAGGAGACTCTTGAGAGTCCCATGGACTGCAAGAAGATCAAACCTCTCCATTCTGAAGGAAATCAGCCCTGAGTGCTCACTGGAAGGACAGATCCTGAAGCTGAGGCTCCAAGACTTTGGCCACCTCATGAGAAGAGAAGACTCCCTGGAAAAGACCCTGATGTTGGGAAAGATGGAGGGCACAAGGAGAAGGGGACGACGGAGGATGAGATGGTGGGACAGTGTTCTAGAAGCAACCAGCATGAGTTTGACCAAACTGGGGGAGGCAGTGGAAGACAGGAGGGCCTGGTGTGCTCTGGTCCAGGGGGTCACAAAGAGTCGGACACGACTAAAAGACTAAACAACAACAACAATTTCTGCCTGGCTGGATGTGACACTGAACTCTAGCAATGCCTCTGGGTTGCCTGGATGGAGGATAGAGAGGGGTGTGTGAGTTTGTGTAAAAACAAGTCCATGGTATGAAGGTAAAATTTACATTGATTGCTCCACCCACTTTTGCCTTTGGCCCCGTCCACAACTTGCATGTGGCCCTTGGGAGGTGTGGCCCTCGGGATGAAAAGGGTTCCCCGCCCCTCTGCTGCAAGCAATGCTCCCGGCTCTTCTCTCTCCCCCTCATCCATCCCTGAGCTCCCTTCCCACTCACCATCTCCATTTTTAAAAATGATCTCGTGGTTCGTGAAGAGCAGCTCGGACATGATGTCGGGATTCTCCCAGTTGAGCCACAAGGGGCGCTTGGCCGAAGACATGATCCGGCACTCGTCCAACCTGGAGCAGAGGGAACATCTGGTCACAGCTGTGTGCTCGGAGGCTGCTTTGAGCTGTCCCCCTGCCACCAGCCCTCTTCCGGGGGACCCAGGAGTCCGGGTCCCTTTCCTGCCCCCTCCTTCCCAACCCCCGCTGCTTTAAATGGCCGAAACCTTCCCCTTGGTCTCACCGGAGGTTGCCCAGCTGGTGCACAGGGTTGAGGGGACAGATGAAGCCCTGAAGCGCCTCCATGTAATCTGGCCTCCTCATCTGCTCCACCAGGAACTTCATCTGCATCTTGGGAGGAGGGCGAGAAGAGGAGCGTGGGGACAGAGAGAGGAAGAGAAAGAGCCCCTGAGCTTCTGCAAAGCGTCTCCATACACAGCTGCAGTTAAGCCCAGCCACTCACACACAACGGGAAGTAGGTCTGCTTCCACGCAGGCCTGAGCCCCAGAACCTCTTCTGTTTGGAAAATTAACCACCGTGAGCTTTCACAGACGGGGAGCTGGGTTAATCTGCTGCAGCAAAAACGGGTCTTGTGGCACCTTGAAGACTTAAGAACATGAAAACAGCCCTGCTTGATGAGGCCCATGGCCCATCTAGTCCAGCATCCTGTTTCTCATAGTGGCCACCCAGATGTCCCAATGGGAAACCCACAATAGGTATGGGCACTTTTCTACAGCAATAGTACCGTATTTTTCGCTCTATAAGACACACTTTTCCCCTCCTAAGAAAGTAAGGGGAAATGTGTGTGCATCTTATGGAGCGAATGCAGGCGGGAGGCTCTGCTCAGCGCTCCCTTTAAAGAGCCGCGTGTGTGTGGCTCTTGGGGGCTTTTCCCCGAGGAGGAGAAGGGCTGCCCTTCGCCCTCCTCGGGGAAAGCCCCCAAGAGCCGCACACACGCTCTTTAAAGGGAGCGCGGCTCTTGGGGGAGCCTTCATCCCGCTGCCCGGGAGAGGCTGCGTGCGGCTATCCCATAAGCCAGGACAGCAAGAGGGATTGCTGCCCCCAAGAGCTGCGCTTCCTTTAAAGAGCACGCGGCTCTTGTGGGAGGTGGGGGAAGGGACAGAGCGCATGGCTCTGTCCCTTCCCCCACCTCCTGCAAAAGCCCCCAAGAGCCGCGCTCCCTTTAAAGAGCCGCGCAGAGCGTGTGTGCGGCGCTTGGGGGCTTTTCCCCGAGGAGGGAGAAGGGCAGCCCGTCAGTGATTTTTCCCCTTGCATTCCCCCTCTAAAAACTAGGTGCGTCTTATGGTCAGGTGCGTCTTACGGAGCGAAAAATACGGTGTATTATGTGTTTATGTTTTGTTGATGGAACAAATACCTTTTTGGCCCTTCTCCACAGTTCTGCTCCAGCAGAAACCCAGGATGGTGGCAGCAAGACAGCTGTGTTCATGAGGTTCCTATTGGGCCTGCTGTGGTACAATTGTCACCTCCTGCCCTTTTCTAACCTGCGCCCATAAGGGAGGATTGTGTGTAGCAAGTGAAAAGGGAAGACTTAGCTCTACATTTGAGCATTTAAGGTTCCCAACCCTAATCTGCGGGTTGCCATCTGATTGGATTTTATTCTGATTTTAGGTTGTATTTTAATTAATTGCCTGATTTTATGTTAATGTGTTATACACTTGATGTTAGCCACTCTGAGCCCGGTTTTGGCCAGGGAGGGCGGGGTATAAATTATTATTATTATTATTATTATTATTATTATTATTATTAGCAGGACCTGAGCACACAAGCAATTCTCCTGTCCTGCAATCTCCATAGTTTAACTACACGCTGCAGGAAGGCCTTTTCTTTGCTCTGCCCTGAATCTTCCAACATCGGCCTATTATTACAGCAGTATTACAGCATAACCTTTCATGGACGAAGCCCCAAAAATTTATGGCTGTAATGAAATATGTTAAAACTTTCAAGGTGCCACAAATATTGTTGCGGTTTAAGATCTCCTGGTTTCTTTTGAGTCCTGGGGTTTTCTCCTTGCTTTGCCTACTCAGGATCATAGCTGTCAACTTTTCCCTTTTCTTGCAAGGAATCCTATTCGGAACAAGGGAATTTCCCTTTTAAAAAAGGGAAACGTTGACAGCTATGCTCAGAACAGAGGAGAGCAGTCTAGTCCAGGGCTTGAGTTACAGCAGGGAAGCAGGGAGGGCTTTTAGGACGCCCTCCGTGGCTTTTGTGACAGCCTCTTTAGGCAGTTTTTAGAGGGCTGCAGGCAGGTGGAGCAGGGTTATTTGGCCAAAAGTGGGGCGTGAGGTTTGTAGATTTCATTGCACCCACCCTCCTCCACCTTCTCCCCCAGAACGCAATCCCTGGACTTAACCCCTCTGAATGAGTGTGTGTGTTGGGCTCCGTTTGGCTTCCTCGTTGTGGAGGCAATGAGCAGCAGCGGGGCTTGGAGGGGAACTTGGGGGTCCAAGGCAGGTACCTTCTGCGTCTCGTCTTTCTTCTCCTGCTTGAGGATGTCGGTGAGGTTGATGAGTTTCTCCATGGCCTCCACCTGCCTGTTCAGGTGCTTGAGGTACATCCCGCAGCCCCGGCAAAAGGCCTCCAGCATCAGCCCAAAGCGCTGAGAGACGGGCTTGCTGTGCATCTCTGACCTGCGGGAGGCAACCAAGTTCCGACTCAGAGCCCGTTACCCGCAACCCGGCCCATTCTGAAAGCCCCACGCCAGCTTGATTCCTGGGACTGTCGCACAGAAACGGGACTCCCTTGCAAGGCTCTCCTTCCTTGGACGGCCATCAGCCATGGAATATTTAGCTGTGGTTCCTGAATTGCAGGGGGTTGGACAACCATACAATTCTATGTACGTTTCCGAGCACAATTCAAAATGTCGGTGCTGACCTTGAAAGCACTAAATGGCCTCAGTCCAGTAGACCTGAAGGAGCGTCTCCACCCCCATCGTTCTGCCTGGACACTGAGGTCCAGCTCCGAGGGCCTTCTGGCGGTTCCCTCCCTGCGAGAAGCCAAGTTACAGGGAACCAGGCAGAGGGCCTTCTCGGTGGTGGCGCCCGCCCTGTGGAACACCCTCCCAGCAGATGTCAAAGAGAAAAACAACTACTTTTAGAAGACATCTGAAGGCAGCCCTGTTCAGGGAAGCTTTTAATGTTTAATAGGTTATTGTATTTTAATATTCCGTTGGAAGCCGCCCAGAGTGGCTGGGGAAACCCAGCCGGATGGGCGGGGTATAAATTTATTTATTATTATTATTATTATTATTATTATTATTATTATTATTACATTTTTCTAGGACTGGGGAGGGATAGTAGCTCAATGGAACTACAGTACCCTCCTACAGCACATTGCTACTGGGGAGTCTGCTGGAACCATCAAGGAGAAGTGTCTCCACCTGCCTTGGATATTGTTGCTGCTGCAATTTGAATTTTTTTTATTTTATTGTTAGGCATTGCTTCAATTTTTTTTGCCCTATTGATTGATATTAGTGCGACTTCTTGTTCAAATTGCATTCTGCTTTGTAACCATTAACGCAGCATCTCGAAAAGTTGCTAACGTTTATTCTGCACACAGCTGTGAGCTGATTTGAGCATGGATCTAATACGGAAAAGCAGCATGCGTGCAAATGAGCTGGCGATTATGACGATAATGGTGACAGCACACAAGTGGGAGCTGCGATGAAATGTCGCAGCGCAGCGTATTGTTTTGATGCTTTAAATGCATTGTGTGTACGCAGCCCAGCGTAAATAATAATAATAATAATAATTTATTATTTATACCCCGCCCATCTGGCTGAGTTTCCCCAGCCACTCTGGGCGGCTCCCAATCAAGTATTAAAAACAGTACAGCGTTAAATATTAAAAACTTCCCTGAACAGGGCTGCCTTCAGGTGTCTTTTAAAGATAGGATAGCTACTTATTTCCTTCACATCTGAAGGGAGGGTGTTCCACAGGGTGGGTGCCACCACCGAGAAGGCCCTCTGCCTGGTTCCCTGTAACCTTCTCGCAATGAGGGAACCGCCAGAAGGCCCTCGGAGCTGGACCTCAGTGTCCGGGCTGAATGATGGGGGTGGAGACGCTCCTTCAGGTATACAGGACCGAGGCCATTTAGGGCTTTCAAGGTCAGCACCAACACTTTGAATTGTGCTCGGAAACGTACTAGGAGCCAATGCAGATCTCTCAGAACCGGTGTTATGTGGTCCCGGCGGCCGCTCCCAGTCTTCAGTCTAGCTGCCACATTCTGGATTAGTTGCAGTTTCCGGGTCACCTTCAAAGGTAGCCCCATGTAGAGCGCGTTGCAGTAGTCCAAGTGGGACATAACCAGAGCATGCACCATTCTGGCGAGACAGTCTGAGGTCAGGGAGGGTCTCATCCTGTGTCTCAGATGGAGCTGGTAGACAGCTGCCCTGGACACAGAACTGACCTGCGCCTCCATGGACAGCTGCGAGTCTAAAATGACTCCCAGGCTACGCACCTGGTCCTTCAGGGGCACAGTTACCCCATTCAGGACCAGGGAATCCCTCACACCTGCCCGCCCCGTCCCCCCAAAACAGTACTTCTGTCTTGTCAGGATTCAACCTCAATCTGTTAGCCGCCATCCATCCTCCAACCGCCTCCAGGCACTCACACAGGACCTTCACCAAAGGTCCTGCCCCAAGTCCCGAGGGCTGACCCAAACACTTGCAAACGTCCTGCTCAGCTCCGCTTCTATTATCCCCACCACACCCATCAGTTCCACATCTTTAATCCTGACACTTACTTGAGATGCCAGAAGTAAAAATGTCCAATCCGCTGGTTGGTCAGGGCTTTCATGGTCAGGAAGCGAGCCAAGGGGTTGTCCAGGTATTGCTCATATTTGAGAACCTTCAAGGGGGAGAGTCAAAGGTGTCAAAGGGTGTGTGTGTGTGTGTGTGTGTGCGCGCGCGCTTATTTCTAGCTTGTGGGTGCCATGGACAAAAATGCCAGGACAAAAAGCGCACAAGAGGCAGAAATCCCCATTGTTGTATCCCTGCACGGCCATGCTAGCTAGGGCTGGTGGGAGTTGAGGTCCAAAGCGCCTACAGGGCACAAGGTTGGCAAAGTCTAATTGAGTTTATCAACTCATGTCCCTCTTTCTGTTTATCATGCATTCAAGGCGAACTTACGAGGAATAGAATAATAATTTTAAAAAGCCAACCATGGTCAATGAAATATACTCAGAGTCGAGAGTGGATTTCGTGCTCTTTATTCAGCTCATAGTGGTGAGGAGGAACGGAAGTTCCCCCAGAATGTCTGCTTTATATACATTATTTACACAATGGGCCCCACGTGATTGGCTAATTCCGGGATTCACCTGTAGGCCAATCTGGTTGTGGATTCACTTCTACCTGGAGCTGGATTGGGTGGCTCCTGAGGACCAATCAGACTGCTGCATTCTGGATCCTATTGTTCTAGGACCAATCAGACTGCTGCATTCTGAATCCTATTGTTCTAGGACCAATCAGACTGCTGCATTCTGGGCCCTATTGTTCTAGGACCAATCAGACTGCTCCCTTTCGGATCCTATTCAACATAGTACATAACAGTCAATAACACCAGAGATGGTTACCTGCACCAGCTGGATGAGATACTGGGAAAGCTTGTCGTCCGTGAGGCCCTTCACAAGGCATTTCAGAGCAAACTCCCTCACCACCGGATCTGGGAAATTGCAGTCGAGGAGTTCCATGGAGAGCTCAGGTTTAATCAGCGGCCATTCCCGGAGGAGGCAGTACATCTGCGGAGGGAGAAGGAAGAGGCAGGTTGGGAATTACAAGGGAAATGATTTGCAGGAAATCATCACAGGGAACCAGGCAGAGGGCCTTCTTGGTGGTGGCACCCGCTCTGTGGAATGCCCTCCCACCAGATGTCAAAGAGAAAAATAACTACCAAACTTTTAGAAGACATCTGAAGGCAGCCCTGTTTAGGGAAGCTTTTAATGCTTAATAGGTTATTGTATTTTAGTGTTTTGTTGGAAGCTGCCCAGAGTGGCTGGGGAAACCCAGCCAGATGGGCGGGGCATACCGTATTTTTTGCACCATAACACTCACTTTTTTTCCTCCTAGAAAGTAAGGGGAAATGTCTGTGCGTGTTATGGAACGAATGCCTGCGGGTGGCGGGGGGGGGGGGGATCTGCTGCAGTCGTGAGCAGAGGATCCATGGTTCCCCTTGCTTCCCTCCTCTGTGGTTACAAAGCATGGATCCTCAGGATTTTTGCATTGGGCTACTCCAAACTCACTGTCAGATCACATGTCTGTGGCCACAGCATGAACCACAAAAATAATATATCCACTATTTTGTTTAGAATATTTTTTTCCTTGTTTTCCTCCTCTAAAAACTATGTGCGTGTTATGGTCTGTTGCGTGTTATAGAGCGAAAAATACAGTAAATAAATTATTATTATTATTATTATTATTATTATTATTATTATTATTATTATTATCCAATCCCAGCCAGGAGCTTTGAGGGGGAAGGAGGCCCGTGTCTCTGACGAGACACCCAAGAAAGCTCTTAGTCTCACCTGAGCCACCTCGTCCCGCGAATTCCACTTGACAGACAGCAGTAATTTAGGGAGGGTCTCCGGGATGTTGACACAGTAGTGCCTGGAAGGGAAAAAAAGAATCATAGGGCTGTAGAGTCAGAAGGGGGCTAAAGGATCATTTAGTCCAACCCCCTACAGTAGAGGAATCACAGCTAAAGAACCCCTGATGCATAGACAGGACCCAGACCTCCTGTTCTCGCCGCTCACAAACCCAGGAGTCCTGCCCCATATCCCATCTGCTGCACTAACCCACTGGAACTAATTCTGCTAACAGGTGCAGTCTTAATGCAGGCCTGCATTTACAATATACGATATATGACAGCTTTGCCCTTGTCCCATACAGAACAATGAAATTGAAAATCTACATAAAATATTCAAAAACCCCTAAAAACTCTGAAACCCCATTTTAAAATACAATGTACTATAAAGACTCCTTATGCTGCGTTTAGAACCAGAATTGCATTTGCGTAGAAACTGTTTCTCAGGCAGCTAGTCCTAGTCTTTATAACCCTGGACCTTCTTCCAGAAGGCAGGAGCTGAAAGAGATCATTTCCGGGATGCGCACTATCCTGCGCTATCTCTGCAGCTTTCTTACGGCACCTAGAAGCATAGATTTGATCCAGGGTGGGAAGAGTGCACCCAATTATTCTCTCCGCAGTCTTTACAACCCTGGACAGCATTGTTTTTTCCCCTGGCCTGTGCAGCTCCCAAACCACACACAGAGACCATAAGTTAATACACTCTCCACAGTGCAATGGTAAAATGCCATCAACAGCTCCTTTGAGAGATTGTTTTTCCGGAGGATTCTCAGAAAATATAACCTCTGCTGTGCTCTCTTCGTCAGAGGCGGGCACCCATCGCCTTAAGATGGTCCAGTGTCATTTATTCTTTGTTTAAACAAATAAGTCACCCCTCCCTTTGAATGTGCAAAGCTCATCTAGCAGGGAGGTGGAGAAATCTGGCAGGAGGCCCTCTCCCGCTACAGAGATCACCCGGGATCCCCGGCGCCCACCCACCGGTGTCGCCACAGGAAGTCCTTCTCTTGCTCCGTGATCTCCGAAAGGGGGTCCCGGTTGCAGATGCTTCTCAGCTGCTCCAGCTCACTCTCATCCAGGGAGCTGTCCCGGGCCAGGCGGTTGCTCTGGACAAAGGAGGCAACAGAAGCAGAAGGTTATCCCCCTGGTTCAGAACCCCCAGTTTGGCTCCTTCCCATCCCTCCATCCCTCTATCACTTGGCCGGCCAGTCCCTCCCAGATCAGAGATGTGTAGCCTCAGAGATGCTTCCCATGCAGTGGAACAATCCCTGGCAAGTTAACAAACCGAGCTGCAAAACCGAGGCCTTGTATCCATGTGTCCTACATTTGGTTTCCCTGCCAGGCGCTTCAGCTAAATATATATAGATCTACTCTCTTGACTAGGAAAGGTTTCACTATGGAAACGAGGGAACTTTTCTCTCTCGTTCCTCTTGCAGCATTGTTGGTTTTTTTATCTGACAAGAAGAAGAAGCCTTAATGTGTTTCCCAGCCTTCCCCAACCTGGTGCCCTCCAGACCAGGTTTGGTTTCCAAACTAGCCTTGGCCCTATAAAAGCTCATCCCCCTTGCCCTCTACCCTACAAAAGGCACTACAGTGGTGCCCCGCAAGACGAACGCCTCGCAAGACAGAAACCCGCTAGACGAAAGGGTTTCCGTTTTGGAGGCGCTTCCAAAACGAATTTCCCTGTAATTAATTCAGCAAAATGGATGAGCTTGATCCGGCGATACCAGCTTTTCAGACCCTGTAGTCATTTCCACCTCCAGCACCCCCCTGCTGCCCACGTGCCTCCTAGTGCCTACGTAACGCGCCCCCCCCCCCCCAAGGGGCACTACTGCCCACTGTTCTGGATGCTGAGGACTACAACTCCCATCAGCCCTAGACTGTGGCTGATGGGAGTTGTAGTCCAACAACATTCAGACGGCACTCAATTGGGGAAGGCTAAAGTGTCCTGTAGGGACGCGGGTGGTGCTGTGGGTTAAACCACAGAGCCTAGGACTTGCCGATCAGAAGGTCGGTGGTTTGAATCCCCGTGATGGAGTGAGCTCCCGTCGCTCAGTCCCTGCTCCTGCCAACCTAGCAGTTCGAAAGCACGTCAAAGTGCAAGTAGATAAATAGGTACCGCTCCGGCGGGAAGGTAAACGGCGTTTCCGTGCACTGCTCTGGTTTGCTAGAAGCGGCTTAGTCCTGCTGGCCACATGACCCGGAAGCTGTATGCCGGCTCCCTCGGCCATTAAAGCGAGATGAGCACCGCAGCCCCAGAGTCGGCCACGACTGGACCTAATGGTCAGGGGTCCCTTTATCTTTAAAGTGTCCTGTGGCATTGCCTTGTCTTCTCACCCCAAGCCTAGGAAAGTGAGTGCTATGGAACAGGGAGACCTATCCGAGTAAGTCAGACGCCCCTTTCTTTCTGCCCACGAGAGCCATTTCTCCCCCCCAACAGTCCTACGATGGAGTTGGGTCTCTTACCAGTCCCACCATACAGTAGTTGAGCCCAAGCTCGCGGGACATGGCCCAGTTGGCGTGCTCCTCTATCTCGGTGGCGTCAGCAAATTTGACGGTGTGGCTGTACCAAGTGAATTCCAGCTCAAGGCACGGGGTCTCCTACGGAGGGGAAAGCAAAGGCGATGAGGTCGCAAGTGTGTAAGAACCTAATAATAGCCTGCTGGATCAGATCCATGGCCCTTCTAGCCCAGCATCCTGTTCTCTCAGTGACCAATCAGATGCCCCAAAGCGAAAACCAAAAGCCTCCTCTAAGGCCATCCAAGTTGGTGGCCATGGCTGCCTCCGGTGCCTCCATAATTTTAACTATGCGCTGCGTGAAGGCCTTCTTTTATCCGTCCTGAATCTTACAGATGTAGGGCAAGTACAGGGTCCTCTTTAATGTTTCCAGGATGAAAAGTTGCAGGATTTTAGCAGGAAGTTACGGGGGGACCTGTGCCAAGTGGCAACGAAGGTGTTCATTAACTCGGAAACCTTTTGCGGGAGCAAATGGTATTGAAAGCAAGTTTGTGTATAACTACCCTGACACCATGATGAGCACAAGTCGTTGTGAATGCAGGAAAAAAATGATGCCTGAAATAACTTTGGATAGCAGGTTTTATAAGAAGCTAGTAAAGGAACGTTTCTGCATACATATGTACTCTTATGGAGAACAAATTGAAGATGTTGTTATGTACTGAGTTGAATAGGATCCAAAATGCAGCAGTCTGATCGGTCCTAGAACAATGCAGCAGTATGATTGGTCTGCAGGAGCCACCCAATCCGGCTCCAGATGGAAGTGAATCCACAACCTGATTGGCCTACAGGAGAATTCCGGAATTAGCCAATCACGTGCAGCTCATTGTGTAAATAATGTATATAAAGCAGATACTTTGAGGGGACATTCATTCCTCCTCACCACTATGAGATGAATAAAGAGCATGAAATCCACTTTCGACTGAGTATATTTCAGATGTGGTGCACTATATCTTATATTATTATTTATAAATCCACCAAGGGTTCTGTTTAGAGCTTATCCACACTTCCTCTGCTCTTTCCAGGCATGGTCTGTGCTTTAAAGCGCCTTGTCTGAGCACCTGTTTTCTGCCCCAGAGCTTTCCCTGAGAAAACCCACCCTTTAAAGCTTAATCGGAGCCAACGACGATCCATGGAAAACACAAATCGACTATTGTTCCGACTGAGCGCTAAAGAGTGGGCTTTTGAAAGGGCAAAAGAAACCCAAAAACGCTCAGACACAAAGCTTTTAAGCCTGGAAAAAGCGGGACAAGCCTTTATTCTCCCTTTTCAGACTTTCTTGGAAGGCCAACCAGATGGCTTTAAGATAAGGTGGCTGCAGGCTGATGCAGAAACAGGCATGAGTTAAAGGCCACTTTATTTGCACTAGCTGCAAAAAAGATAAAGAGAGGCCTTTCTCACTCAGATCGGGGCTACATGTTAAGGGAAGCTTTTAACCCAATGGAGCATTTTAAATCCATCTTATTTGTATTCTAATTGGTTTGGTGATGTGTGTTTTGCACATACGTGTTTTATGTCCATATTGTAATGGCCCCTGGCTGCAAACAGTAATAAAACCTAACTTGGACAAAAAGCAATGCAGTAACAAAACAACAACAACAACCGTATTGTAAAGCTGACTAGCAGACTCACTTTATTGGGGTTGGAGCCCCCCACTCCAATGGGGTTCAGCAAATCCTCCAGGCCATGGGGAACGGGCCAAAGGTTCAGAGCCATTTTCCCAGCCACCAGTGTGTCTTTGTAATCAAAGAGGTTGACGTTGCCCCAGGCCAGGGGGCAGTGCTCCTGTTAAGCAAGGGGGCAGAGAGACCATGGGGGGCTGAGTCAGAGCGCAGAAGGAGTGCCTCCATCCCTTAAGCTAGCGGACCCTCAAATAGCAGTCTTTTTTAGACTGGGGACCCACCTTTAACCCAAACATGTATTTGGAGAACCACTTCTTACTTTTAAAAAACATTTATTTGCACGGCAGGAGGGCTGCTGCTGCGACCCGCCTTGAATCGGGCCGGAACTCTGTCATGTGCCCCAACCAGCCGGTTGAAGACCTCGCCCCTCCCAAGATTCCCCATCACAGACAATCCAGGTGTCTTGGTTTGCAGGCTGAACTTAATTTCCCCAAAAGAAAACAGGTGCTGGGGCTCCTAAAACCGCCTGACCCCTAACCTGTAGCTGCAGCGTGGAGGAAGGCCTAGGCCCGCAGGGATCAGCAAACATTTTCAGCAGGGGGCCGGTCCACTGTCCCTCAGACCTTGTGGGGGCCAGACTATATTTTTTGGGGGGGAAATGAACGAATTCCTATGCCCCACAAATAACCCAGAGATGCATTTTAAATAAAAGGACACCTTCTACTCATGTAAAAACATGCTGATTCGCGGACCGGATTGAGAAGGCGATTGGGCCGGATCTGGCCCCCAGGCCTTAGTTTGCCTACCCACGGCCTAGGGCTTGTGCACATCCTCAGCTGTGCTCTCTTCTTCACCACCCTTTTACACATTCAAGGATTAAGGCAGGGCCACAGCTCAGTGGGAGAGCACCTGGTTCGCAAGGTCCCAGGTTCAGTCCCAGGCAGGGCTGAGAGACGAATGTCTGAAACCCTGGAGAGCCGCTGCCTGTCATTGTTGTATTTAATACAGTGGTACCTTGGGTTACATATGCTTCAGGTTACATACACTTCAGGCTACAGACTCCGCTAACCCAGAAATAGTGCTTCAGGTTAAGAACTTTGCTTCAGGTTGAGAACAGAAATCGTGCTCCTGCGGCGCGGCAGCAGCGGGAGGCCCCATTAGCTAAAGTGGTGCTTCAGGTTAAGAACAGTTTCAGGTTAATGACGGACCTCCGAGGTACCACTGTATTGAGCTGAATGGACTAATGCTCTGACTCAGGACAAGACAGCTTTCTACAGGTCTCAGCTGACCCTTGAATTAAACCACGGGGAAATCCCAAATCCTGGCTCCCTGAGGGGGCTCACCTCCTTGGCCCCTTTCCGGCCTTTCACTGAGCAGATGGAAACGCAGAGTCGGGCAGCCCGGGGCAAGTCGGTGAGATAGATGTCATAGGACAGCCACTCGTTCCACCTGCCAGTGAGGAAGAGGGGGAGTGGGGTGTCAGTACAGGGGGGCTGCAGAGGAAACTCACCCCCGCCACCCTCTTCATGGCGCCGGATCCCCTCGTCCCCATACTTTTCTCCTTCCCCCACCAGAGAAGGGCAGTTTAAGATTTGCATGCAAAAGGGGGTCCCAGGTCAAATCCTCAATGGCATCTCTAGGCAGGGTTGGGAAAGACCCCCCCCTGCCTGAAATTCTGAAAGCCACGGATCTCAATGAAGGCCGTTCTGAGCGAGGTGGACCCCCAACGCCCTGGGTCAGTATAAGGCAGCTCCCCGTTAGTTATGCCACAGTTACCGAGGGTTGGAACACGGAACGCGCTGCGTGTTGACGTTGTCGCAAAGGGGCTCCCCGCCGTGGAAAATCCCCGTCCGGACGTAGATCTGGAAAGGGATTCAATGGATTCAAGTTACAAGAAAGGCGATGCCGACTAAATACTGGGAAGAACTTTCTGACGGTATGGACTGTGGAATGGACTCCCTCAGGAAGTTGGGGAATCTCCTTTCTCGGATGTTTTTAAGCAGAGGTTGGGTGGCTATCTGAATCAGGGATGCTTTAGCTGAGATTCCAGAAGTGCAGGGGTTTGGACTATGTTATGTACTGAGTGAATAGGATCCAAAATGCAGCAGTCTGATTGGTCCTAGAACAATAGGATCCAAAAGGCAGCAGTCTGATTGGTCCTATAACAATAGGATTCAGAATGCAGCAGTCTGATTGGTCCTAGAACAATGCAGCAGTATGATTGGTCTGCAGGAGTCGCCCAATCCAGCTCCAGGTGGAAGTGAATCCGCAACCTGATTGGCCTACAGGAGAATTCCGGAATTAGCCAATCACTTGCAGCCCATTGTGTAAATAATGTATATAAAGCAGAATCTTTGAGGGGACATTCATTCCTCACTACTATGAGCTGAATAAAGAGCATGAAATCCACTCTCGACTCAGAGTATATTTCAGACTAGGTGACTCTCAAGGTCCCTTCTATGAGTCCTAAGAGGAAGAGAGGAAAGAGTCTGGGGGTCTCCTGCTCTTAACATCACTGGCCCCTTCCTCTCCAAGGAGCCACCCTCCCACAGAATAAATTACCGTATTTTTTGCACCATAACACTCACTTTTTTCCTCCTAGAAAGTAAGGGGAAATGTCTGTGCGTGTTATGGAGGAAATGCCTACGGGTGGCATGCCTATGGATTTTCCTCCTCTAAAAACTATGTGCGTGTTATGGTCGGGTGCGTGTTATAGAGCGAAAAATACGGTAAGCAAAATTTGCCACCCTTTGTTTTGCTTTGTATATAAATGCAACAAAATATAAAAAATAAACAGGGAGTCGGTCTGTGCAATGCGAGTTGTATGGCCCCCTACTCCCTCCCTGGGGAAACCCGGATGCCTGGCTTCCCTCGCTCCTTTCCCCCCACAACCTTATCGATATCCCGGATGTTGACGTTGACGTAGGTGGCGCACAGGATCTTGATGCGCAGGAGGCTGTTGATGGACCAGAGCGACTTGGTGGGGACGTCTCCGTTGACGTGGGAAGAGGTGGCCGAGCGGCGGGCGTAGGAGGGCAGCACAAAGACGTTGGCCGGCAGCTGGCTGTAGAGGCTCTCCTTGCTCATGAGCATCAGGTGGGGCAGGCGGCCGATGGTGATGCAGTTCCTCATGTACTGGGGGGGGGGAGCAGGGAGAGGGGAGGCAGTGAGTGGCGTGGGGTGTGGAAGGGAGGGAGGCAGGGCTGTGGGCAGGAAGGGGTCCCACCACCTCACCTTGTACTGGCTGAGCGGGTATTTCTCCAGCAAGTACTCGTCGCAGCCGCACACCTTGAGGAGGTACTTCCCCTGGTACTCCTGCACGCACAGGCGCAGCTGCTCCGGCGACAGGTGCATGCTCCGCGTCTTCTTCCGGATGGCCTCGGCGATCACCTGCTCCGGAAGCGCGTCGTGGGGGGTCTTGAGGGTGTATTTCTGTTTGTCGTTGTTTGGAGACACAATAACCCAAATGGTAACTATGATCCGACCTTCAGGAGACGGAAGGAGGGTGGGGGGGAAAAGCAGGACAAGGAACTGTCATTCGGGTGAGCTGGTATGGTGCGGCGGAAAGAGAGAGAGAGAGAGCGCATGGTCAGCGTGGCCGGGGTGGGGGGAGGCGGGGGGAGAGGGAATGGGAGGACCCTCTGGTTAAGTCACTAGCTCTCAGCCTGGCCTACTCTACAGTAGGGTTACCAGACATCCCCGGTTCCCAGGGACAGTTCCCCGGATTTGCAAATCTGTCCCCGGACAAATCCCGTCCCCAGATTTGCAAATCTGTCCCTGGACAAATCCCGTCCCCAGATTTCCAAATCTGTCCCCGGGAAACGTGACAGCAGCAGCCTCAGCAGCCCGGAGCCAACAGGGTATCACAGTTGGCTCTGGCTGGCTCCAGGAGCTGCTTGCTGCTCACTGCCATGGCGCCTGCCATTTTTCCTCGCCGAAAGTCCCCATATGATGTGTGTCTTGTGCGCAACCCATCACAAGGGGACATCCGGCGAGGAAAAATGGACCCCAGGCATATCCTTGCTCTCATAACAGAACTTCCGTTCTCACAGATACTAACAGCAGAAACAGGTCACAAAGACCTGAACCTACAATGATCCAAAATGGCTTTGTAGGGAAGCCATCAGGAAATTAATCTAATCGGGTTCACTCAGGGGGAAAGTGGTATCTCTCCTCCGGCCACATTTCTCCTTTCCCCAGATTTAAAAAACACACAACGATGCCTCCTCGCCAAAACATTTTGCCCCTCCATCGTAAAAATTAAATGCATGCTATAGAAACACACCCAATTCCTCTCCCTCTGCCCCTAATAAAGCCCCTGTTTACCTTTGTCCAGTTTGCTGTACACGTGTTTGGGCAACTCTGGGCTGGATTCCACATTGGGGGGGTAGACATACAGAGCCTGACTCGGGGGCCCCGCAGATCCCCGGGTCTCCACGGCTTCGCGGCAAACCGACAGGATGTTCCGCCGAAATTCTTGCACCTCGGGGTCCTTGACCAGCTCGAATTCGCAGATGGGCATCCCGATCGCAAACCCTGGGAGCAAAGTAGGGACACTTGACCATCAAGCCTTCTGGGTACCACTCGACTCTCCCCCCCTTGTCTAGTTTGGCCTCGGACTCACCAATTTCCCGGTTGAGGATCTTTTCCTCCCGGTTTCCCACCGGCTCAATGACCTTCAGGATGGGCTGGAAGAGACGGAGGTCGCAAAGGCGCCGGGACTCGTCGAAGAATTCTTCCCTCTCGGCTTCCTGCGTCACCCCTACGAAGATGTAGGAAGATTCCTCCTGGGTAGGGAAGCAAAGGCAGACACTGAACACCTCCCAGAGACCCATCTTCCCATGCACTAGACTTCCTTCCCTAACCCAATCGTTTCCCAGATACATCGCCGGGGGTTAGACTAGATGGCCCTTGGGGGGTCCCTTCCAACTCTACAATTCTGTGATTGTATGATTCTGCCATTCTATGTCTTCCTTCCTTCTTTGCTCATAGTGCTACAATGCAGGGTCGCCCAATGGTATTGATGTGGGGATAGGTTCAGGAAGAGCAGAAGGAAGTAATTTGGTCACACAGAACGCACCACTGGCTTATGGAACTCATTGCCACAAGGTGTGGCAATGGGCTTAAAAGGCAAAGGGACCCCTGACCATGAGGTCCAGTCGTGACCGACTCTGGGGTTGCGGCGCTCATCTCGCTTTACTGGCCGAGGGAGCCAGCGTACAGCTTCCGGGTCATGTGGCCAGCATGACTAACCGCTTCTGGCAAACCAGAGCAGCGCAAGGAAACGCCGTTTACCTTCCCGCCAGAGCGGTACCTATTTATCTACTTGCAGTTTGACGTGCTTTTGAACTGCTAGGATGGCAGGAGCAGGGACCGAGCAACGGTATAGCTTCAAAAGGAAACTCATGGATGATATAGGAAAACATGGAATCCTTGGTCCATCTAGCTCAGTCTTGTCTACACTGAGTGGCAGAAGAGTCTCTCCCAGCCTTCGCTTATAACTTGAATCCGTTGGTTCGGGTCCTGCCCTCCAGAGCAGCGGAAAACAAGTTTGCTCCATCTTCCATGTGACAACCCTTCAGGTATTTAGAGATGGCTATCCTATCATCGGGACGCGGGTGGCGCTGTGGGTAAAAGCCTCAGCGCCTAGGGCTTGCCGATCGAAAGGTCGGCGGTTCGAATCCCCGCAGCGGGGTGCGCTCCCGTTGTTCGGTCCCAGCGCCTGCCAACCTAGCAGTTCGAAAGCACCCCCCGGGTGCAAGTAGATAAATAGGGACCGCTTACTAGCGGGAAGGTAAACGGCGTTTCCGTGTGCGGCTCTGGCTCGCCAGAGCAGCGATGTCACGCTGGCCACGTGACCCGGAAGTGTCTCTGGACAGCGCTGGCCCCCGGCCTATAGAGTGAGATGGGCGCACAACCCTAGAGTCTGTCAAGACTGGCCCGTACGGGCAGGGGTACCTTTACCTTTACCTTTTATCCTATCATCTCTCAGTCTTCTCCCTTCTAAACACACCCAGCTCCCTCAACTGTTCCTCATCAGGCTTGGTTTCCAGACCCTTGATCATCTTGGTCGCCCTCCTCTGCACACCTTCCAGCTTGTCAATATTGTTCTTAAACTGAGGGGCCCAGAATTGCATACAGCACTCCCGGTGTGGTCTGACCAAGGCAGAAGAGAGTGATATTACTACTTCACTTAGTGATGTATGGAAGTGAGAGCTGGACCATCAAGAAGGCTGTTCGCCAAAGAATTGATGCTTTTGAATTCTGGTGCTGGAGGAGACTCTGGAGAGTCCCATGGACTGCAAGAAGATCAAACCGATCCATTCTGAAGGAAATCAGCCCTGAGTGCTCACTGGAAGGACAGATCCTGAAGCTGAGGCTCCAAGACTTTGGCCACCTCCTGAGAAGAGAAGACTCCCTGGAAAAGACCCTGATGTTGGGAAAGATGGAGGGCACAAGGAGAAGGGGATGACAGAGGATGAGATGGTGGGACAGTCTTCTCGAAGCTACTAAAATGAGTTTGACCAAACTGCGGGAGGCAGTGGAAGGACAGGAGGGTCAGGCGTGCTCTGGTCCAGGGGTCAGGAAGAGGCGGACACCACTAAACGACTAAACAACAACAACAATTACTTCACTTGGACACTGGACTTCTGTTGATGCCACCTAGAATTGCATCAGCCTTTTTTGCTGCTGCATCACACTGGGAAATCATTTTAATGTTGTGGACTACTAGGCCAGAGGTCCTTGCTCCTGGCTTGCTAAATCCCTCTCCTGCAAAGCGGGCTGAAGCTTTCCCTCTCCCGGTTTTCCGTTGTCTTAGCTGCCCAGGGTCGGCTCACCTGCAGCAAGTGGAAAAGGGGATATTTCCTGGCCTCCTTGAAAAGGTCGTGCTTGATGCCCAGGAGCGTGGCTTCGCGCAGGCACTCCAGCGTGACGATCATGCCGTTGGGGAGGCAGCAGTCCACCATGATCCGCGGGGGCATGAGGTGGAGCCCCCACAGCTCCCCGGACGAGGGGCGCGGCGGCATGGCTGCGAAGGGGGAGGAGGAGCTCAACACGGTGCTAGAGTCAGGAGGCTAAAGCATCTTGTCCGCCTGGAGATGGGGAAGACACACACAGAGAGAGGAGGGTTAGGATTGGCTGGCTCCTCCCCAGCGGGGGCTGGGCTTCACATGCCCCACCCACTGACACACCCCTCCCCTTGCTATTGGCCACCCAAGATTATATAGATGCAGCCGCGCGAAAGAGGGTTTCAGCCTGTAAGGTCTCTGCCTACTGCACTGAAAGATGGCACCCTTGAGGATTAACCGTTTGACTCAGATGGTAAGCCTTTCCCCAGTTTGGGGAACTGATCCGGCCCACGCACCCGCCTACTCTTGCCTGACGACACCAACAAACAGACTCACAGGTTTCCAGAGCCAACAAGGTTCATGACTTCCGGGAAAGCCTTGGCTAGAAGAAAGTCCCAGTGTTTTGTTTTGGCAGCATGGACTGGGTTGGATGGCAAATCTGTCATGGATGCTTTAGCTGAGATTCCTGCATTGCAGGGGGTTGGACTAAATGATCCTTGGGAACTCTGCAATTCTACGAGTCTCTCTCTCTCTCTCTCTCTCTCTCTCACACACACACACACACACACACACACAAATGCTGGACTAAAACAAAAAGAAACTGCCTGATCTAGCAGTGCTTTATGCATCCGTTCAAATGTGCAATACTCAACCTTCCTTAGAAGATATTTTACAGAGAGGTTGGGTGGCCATTCGTCAGATTCTTTAGCCACGATTTCTGCATTGCAGGGGGCCGAGCTAGATGCCCCTTCCTTGGGTTCTCTTCCTCTACAATTCTATGATTCAGTGCTAGCAAGGTAATACCACAGGTTTGTTAAAATGTGCAACCTCTGGGAGGACGTATTAAGAAAAACAAAACATGTTTTAAAATACAGCCAGGTTAAATCTGACCCTGAGAAGATTAACTCCCTGCCACAACTTAAATAAACAAATCCCTGCAATGCTCCCGGAAAAGGTTCAGAGCGGGACTTTGGTGAATCTCCAGAAGGAGATTCTGTTCTTGTGAAGCGACAAGGGTGGGCAACGTTGCTTTGGAGACCTCCAGTCCAAGCCGCTTTGCTCTACAACTCTCTTCAGCCTTCCCAGCTGGTGGGTGGGAGTTGCAGCCCAAAGCAGCTGGGGGGCACCAGGTTGGAGAAAGAAAGAATATCCGCTTTCTTGCACACCTCATTCCCAGGAGGTTTGCATAGAATAAATCTCGCCCCTTACACAACTGTATTCTATAGCATTACACACACAAATATACATATAAACACACAGAGACACATTCGACCTTACATTATACAAAGACAGCGATACTTTAGGAGAATGCTGCTACGAAAATTCTACACCGTCCAGTTCTCCGAGAGCAAATCTGATCATTCAGCTTTCCAGACAAGAGTCTCACCCCCCCTCCAATTAAAAAAAGAAACCCCACACACCCCAAGCCCGGTCAATATACATCAAACCCATTCCCCCCCCCAGGTCCATGGAGGTGAGTCTTTTAAGCGCATCCCTTCCAAGGATCCTGCCACCCCCCCATGTGCGTCATCACCCCCTTGAGGCTGCTTACTCTAGAGCAACGGTTAGGAAATCGGTGGGGTTGAGGGTTTTCAGGGTTCTTTTCTCCCCCTTGTGCAAATGTGGGGTGGTTTTTTTTCCGTGTGTGTGTGTGTAAGGATCCAACAGTTTCCTTAGGAATGCAATGCAAGGCTTCCGTTGTCGGCTGGTCTGAGCCTCATGGCTGGCTCTCTTCTATGCCAGCCAACCATTTTCCTCCCTTCCTGCAGTCAAAAACTGTTGCAAAAAATAAAAATAAATAGAATTAATCATAATCAAAGAGACTCTAAGGGAAGGAAGGAAGGCTCTTGAGTGGGGGGGGGGGAGACAGAATGAATATCCCCCCCATCATATCTGAAACATCTAAATGTGTATCTGAAACATCTGGTGGGGTGAGACACCCCCACCCTTCCAAGAGTGACCCCCCTCCAGCCCCCATAAACTGAAGGAAACGGTTCTGTGTCTAGATTCTAGAAAGGAAGTGGGGTGCTGCTGTTGTGGATGGGTTTGACGCATGCTTTGGCAAAGCGGGGGGCGGGTTTGGCTATTTCCTAGTGAAGGCAGGAAAATAAAAACCCGAGCCCTCCTTGCTTTTGCCAGCTGGAGTCCCCAAAGGAACGAAGCAGGTAGCCCCCATCAATATATTCCTTTTCCTCCCCCCCTCCTCCCCCCCACCGCCGGCAACTTGGTCTACGTTATCCCCACCACTGGAAAAGGGGGTTTTGTAACAAAAGAAAGCGACTTACGTGTCTCCGGATCCTTGAATCAGAAGAGAAGGCAAGGTTAGGTCTTGGTTTTGAAGGATGCAAAGGCTCTTCCTCCTTCCCCAGCCCACCGCCCCCCCCCCCACCGCGAAAGATCCTTCTCCCTCCCCTACTGCTGTGACCATCGGGTCCCATTCCTCTCTCCCCCGCCTCCCCCTTTCCAGCGGCCAGAGAGAGCTTTTGCAAGCCGCGTATCCGGCATGGAAAAGCACGGATTTCCGTTGGATCCGGGGTTGCTCACACAGCTGGGAGGGGAACGGGGGAAAGGGAGAGAGAATTGGTTATCTAAAATATATATATATTTTAAACCCACCTCTTGCAACACCCGAATTCCAGCTGCAAAGAGGGGGCATCTCCCCCCCCCCAATCCAACACCCCCATTCATCCCAATGTCAGCCAGGAAAGGACACTTTTGGGGAGATGGAGGGGTGTGTGTGTGTGTGTGTGTGTGTGTTTATCCCCCCCCTCTTTCTTTCCAGGAAAGGTGGGGGGGGGGATGAATGAGAGAGAAAAAGGATGACTGCAATTTTTTAAACCTGCCCTAAAGATAGGAAAATGTGGGGAGAGGGGAGAGAGCAAGGAGAAAATGGAATCATCGCCGCTTGCGTAAATTGATACAGACGTTTGCACAAAAGGGGCTCGATTGTGGTGGTGGGGTGTTTGTGTGCGATTCCGCAGTATGTTTTGAGATACTAATTTGGGCGTCGCGTGCAAAGCTCAGACGGGGAGAGCTTTCCTGGGACGTTCGTTGGTATGGCATCCTTTGTCAACGTCCAGATGTGCAGGGCCCACCATTCCCACCACATCTGGAGGGCACCAGGTTGGCAAACGCAGACATCTGTTGCTGTCCCAGCATCATTCATCAGGTCTAACCCCAGACAAGATCAAATCCGCCTTCATTCCCCTGGAGCAGCCTTGGACGGTTGCTACCTCTCAGACTCACCTACCACCCAGGGGGGGTTGTGATGTTGACATGAGGGGGGTGAACTTGAGATGTCCACAAGGACCAGAACCTCCAGGTGCTTCTTATATGATCCGCCATTCCTTTATTACATAGACAGCAGAAGGACAATTCTCAAGACAACCCTGGTCACAATCCTGGCAAATCTGTAACGACACTTAAGAATCAGATAATGCTGATGTTCTTTACTTGGGCTCTGTTATTTTAACTGACGCGCAACTGTACTCATTCTAAGTGCTTTTCATTTTACAGGTTCTGTTTTTCATCTTTCAATGTTCATCTGTTGTTATAGCTTTGTTCTGTTCTGTATGCATTATAAAATGATTTTGAGGGGTTTTTTTTTACAGAAACCAAAGTGCTAATTTCTAACACTGTTTCAGGAGGCAGCCCTCCCTGGAGATGCTGTTGGGGAAGCTCTGCCACCTAGCTGTGGCCTTTCCCTGCAAGTTTTTGAGCTGTGGTTGTAAAGATGCGGCAGGCACCAGGCCGTGGTAGCTGGTGCCCATTGAGGCTGGTAGGGTGGGAGGCAGGGAGCCCAACAGTAGGTGGCGCTAGAGCCAATGACAGCCCAAACTACCCCCTTAAAAAGTAAAGGTAAAGGGACCCCTGACCGTTAGGTCCAGTCGTGGCCGACTCTGGGGTTGCGGCGCTCATCTCGCTTTATTGGCCGAGGGAGCCGGCGTACAGCTTCTGGGTCATGCGGCCAGCAGGACTAAGCCGCTTCTGGCGAACCAGAGCAGCGCACAGAAACGCCGTTTACCTTCCTGCCAGAGTGGTACCTATTTATCTACTTGTACTTTGACGTGCTTTCGAACTGCTAGGTTGGCAGGAGCAGGGACTGAGCAACGGGAGCTCACCCCATCACGGGGATTCGAACCGCCGACCTTCTGATCGGCAAGTCCTAGGCTCTGTGGTTTAACCCACAGCGCCACCTGCGTCAACTACCCCCTTGCTGGGTGTAAATAAGAAGGCAGGCAGGCAGGTTGGGGTAGGCTGAGGTTAGTGGGGCAGTGCTCCCTTGGCCTGAATGGTCCAGCCTCCAATGACTGGGACCCCGGCCCTGGGCATAACCCTTATATTCCAAAGCAAAGGAGAAAAGGGATGGGAGCGTTGGTTTAACCTCAGCATTGTAGTATAAACACCAACAACTGGGAAACACTGGCCTGCGAACACTCCAGTTGGAGAGCAGCCTTTACCAGAGGTGTCGTGGGTTTTGAAGACACTCGGACTCAGGACGCAAGGGAGAAACGTGCTAAGAGGAAGGCACGCTTGGCAAATCCACACCGTGATTGACTCTCGCCTGGAAACCGATGTCCCCACTGTGGAAGGACGTGCAGATCCAGAATTGGCCTCCACAGTCACTTACGGACTCATTGTTAAAACCGTGTTTATGGAAGACAATATTATTCAGCTACGAGTGATTGCCAAAGAAGAAAATGTATGATGATGATGATGATGATGATGATGATGATGATGATGATGATAACTCTCCCTTGTCTGATAATGAACTGCATGTGTGTTTCATTCTGCTGCAGCCAACCCACGCAGGCCCCAATTGGTTCTCCTCCTAGAGCAGCCTCCCTCTCAACATGGTGCCTGCCAGATGTTTTAGATGGCAACGCCCGGCAATCACACACTGGTGTTTGATGGGAGTTGTCCAAACCAGCTGGAGGGCACATGGTTGGAGAAGGCTGCAATCAAGGCATGGGGGGCAGGGGGGGGATGTGCAGAATAAAGCTGGATGTGTCTAAGGAGGGTATTGGCAAGCTGGAAGGCGTGCAGAGGAGAAACCTGGAGAAGAGGAGACTGAGAAGTGAGCCATCTGAAGGGCTGTGGCATGGATGATGGAGCAGGCTTGCCTTCCGCTGCTCTGGAGGGGAAGACCCAGAACAATGGATTCAAATGACAAGAAAGGAAATTCCGACTAAACATTAGGAGGAACTTCCTGGCAGTAAGAGCCCTTCAGCACTGGAAGGGGTTCCCTCATAAGTTGGTGGACTCTCCTCCATTGGAGGTTTTTCAACAGAGGTTGGATGGCCCTCTGCCAGCGATTCTTTAGCAGTGATTCTTGCATTGCAGGAAGTTGGACTATTAGATGGTTCCTTCCAATGCAACAGATCTAAGATTTTAAGATGTACTTCGGGTTAAGAACTTAATTCGTTCTGGAGGTCCGTTCTTAACCTGAAACTGTTCTTAACCTGAAGCACCACTTTAGCTAATGGGGCCTCCTGCTGCCGCCACGTTGCCGGAGCCCGATTTCTGTTCTCATCCTGAAGCAAAGTTCTTAACCTGAAGCACTATTTCTGGGTTAGCAGAGTCTGTAACCTGAAGCGTATGTAACCCGAGGTACCACTGTATTCAGAAGCATACTGTCTCGAATCCATCTCATTGCTGATTTTCTGCCCTCTTAAGACATTTTTCTTCGCCTGGTCTGGCCCTTGCTTGATTTTGTCTCCCTCTCCATAATTTAGGCATCAGCCTGCCAGTTTTGGATTGTGCGGTGACGTTTCAAATTTTGTTTCAATCCCAGTTGTTTGTTGCCACGATGGGTGCTTTTGTTTGAAGTGGAAAAGGTGGGGAAGAACTTTTTTTAAAAAAAAACACAAACCCAAATAAAGACAGAAGTCCAGGTCTGTCTGAATACCTCACATTAATAAATAAATCCTCATGCACAAGGCCAATGCTCATTACCATATGGAAAAGAAAATGGGGGGGGGGGGAGAAGCGGAATGCTGCAGGGATGGACTGGCCTCATTCAAGGCAGCCGGCCACGAAAACAAGCATTTCTCAACATCTAGACCAGGGCATCTGTCTGGAACACACAAGTGGCTGGAGCCAAACGCTGAGTCACCCCCTAAAAATGCTGCATGAACTTCAAGCTATTGGGTTAAAAAAAAAATTAAAGAGAAAAGAGAGAAAAAAGAAATATCCTTCCCCCACAACCCCCCCCCCCAAAATCAGGGCCTGCCTTTTTTCCCTTTCACAAATTGAAAGAATCCTTTTTCTTCTTTAAGAATAAAACGCCTCAGCAATTTATCCAAGATATTTGACATAGTTAAAGGAAAGAGGGGAGACGGAGGAACATGAATAGAAAGGGGGGGGGAGAGAGAAGGCAGGTCTTGTTAGCTAAATATTTTGGGTGTCTCTTTTGTAGAAGTCACTTTCAAGTTCTTGCCTCCTAGCCAAAAAAGCATGTTGTGCCCAGTCATGTATATTAAATCAGTGTGAGAATCCCATGCCAACTTCCTATTTCTGAGCCATGGCATGTGTGGGATGGGAAGCCAGGAAGTGGCTCCCCTTCCCCCTTTCTATTCCTGTCCCTGTCATAGGTGACCTTGGGCAGGACACCACTTCCCTCAGCACTGTGGTTTGCGACTTCCTCTCCCAGCGTCTCAGGCGAAAGCCTTCAAGGGCACAAAGAGGCAGCTGAGAGAGACAAAGGGGTGGATGGAGGCAGCAAAGAGCCGATGGCTCCTCCTCGGGTCAAAGAAACGTAGCCACTCTCCTCCAGAAGCCACTGGGCAGGCAAGAAGCAAGAGTCCAGAGACAGGAAGCCACGCCAAAGAAAGACTTGAGTGGCGGCCCGCCCACCTGCCATTCATCTGTCATTCTGTCCCACAACACAGGCACACCCTGAAACGTGAAATGGCACTCCAGGCCACAGCCAATTTAACTGAAAGGTACTGATAAACTCATCCATAGAGAGAATATACACTGTGGAGGCAGGGATCTTAATTACCGGTATGCTCCATGCACCGTGTAATCTCCACCAAGATTAAATGCCCAAAGTCTGCAAAACAACAGGAAAGTCACATTCCCCAATCAGAATAAATTATGCAAATTAAGCGAGCGGCTTAGTTTTTCCATACTTTTAGCCAACCTCAGCGAGACATTTTCAAATGATCTGATTATCCCCTTTTTGCAAGGAAGACTTGAGGAAGGGAGAGCGGAAAGACATGGAGAAACTCGGAAGGTGTTCTCGAAAGCAAAGAGGAGTAGAAACAAACCCCAAGCTGAATCAGGGCGCCTTGGGGGTGTTTTGGTGCTTCCACGAGGAGGGATCTCTATGAGGCCCCCGCAAGCTGAAGTAGGGAACGCTCCCTCCCTCTGAAAACTTGTGGTGCTTTGCTCGCTCAGTCACGACAAACAAACCCTGCTATTTTTTGCAAAAAGCAAAACCAAGCTTACAGAATACACCCTTGGTTGAGAGGGAGGAATCGTCCAAGGTGACTGACAGGTCTAACTTTTAATCAGAGGCAATTATTTTATCAGGAATCCCCAGTCACAGTGCTTTTTGGGGAAGGACGCTGACTCAAACAAATGTTTGTCTCACGTGCGCACTGCTCTTTGGCTAGTTCTGCCTCTCCCGAGTTCTCAGGTCTAATCCAGCAGGGCCTTCCTTAAATTCCAATCACTGGGTGAAAGGAGAGTAAATGAAGGAGTTACTTATGCAGCAAAACTGATCAAGATATGGCTCACTAGCTACATGTACCTGGACCACTTAAACCACACTTGGATTCTGGAACTTTCTATCAGCTGTTAAGTGACAGCTAGAAGCAGGTGGAGTTCTGAATCTTGGCACCTGGCTAGTGCCACCCCACTGTGAAGCTATAGAGGAGAGGTGTGAAGCTATTAACACATTGATTGTTCCTTCCAACCTTCCCTCTCTACTAGCTAGAATGATGTTCAGTGAGTTCAGAGAATGGAGGATTCCATTTAACGGTAAATTCCATTGCTGAAGAAGCTGTTCGGGTGCTTTTATTTTTAAATTAATTTTTGTTGTTACTGTGATTACGTTGTATTTCTATTGCCTTTTACCCTAGCCTCCCTCCCAGGACTTAAATTGATCATTGTTCTCCCGTATTTTATCTCCAAAGGAAACCTGCGAGGTAGTCTGAATCAAGGCCGCCCAGTGAACTACAGGGCTGAATGGCAATTTTTGTCTGGGTTTCCTACAGCCGGGCTGGTTCCAGACCACACTCTAACCACTCTACCACATTGCTCTGAGCTCTATAAATGCATACATGGGAAGAGAACGAAGGGGAAATTGAAGAATATGTGTATAAAGTGCATATCTCAAGGAAACTATAGTTTCTAATTATCCTCCTCCCCTTCCTACAGCCCAGAGTTTCTCTCTTTCGATTTCTTACAGCAAAGTTAAAAGAACAAATCTGCCAAATGACAGGTAGAAGAACAACAATGCAATGCACACTTCAGTGTACTTTGGTGTAACTCAGCTATCCTTCATGCACTGAACGTGAATGAGGCAGGGAGACAAGCAGGCTAATGGATCTGAAAGAAGCATATAGGGCTGACATGAACACATTAGATAACTGTTTAGTGAGCCACATGAGAAGTGACAAAATAAGATTCTTTTAAGTTTGGTTGCGTATGGCAGGGAAACCTATGACCAAATATTGTGGGACGACTTCAGCTGAAGGCTAATGGTGAGGAATGATGGGAACCGTGTTCCTACAGTACTGAGAAAGCCTTGGGTTCCCCAGCCCTGCTCTGTTGTCCGTGTGCCATTGTACTGAATAAAACTTTAATAAGATCAGGCTGGTGATCAGAAGTTAAATACTACAAAGCTTTCTGATACAAACTTGTTGGTGCCTTTGTTGCAGACAACAGCCTATCACTCCATAGTCTATGTTTGTGTGAATGAGTGGCTTTAATTATTCCTCCCAACTGGGGTAACTGTGTGTGTGTTGTAGAAGAGGAAGAAGAGTTTGGATTTGATATCCCGCTTTATCACTACCCTAGGGAGTCTCAAAGTGGATAATAATCTCCTTTCCCTGAGTGGGGCTGAGAGACTTCAGAGAAGTGTGACTAGCCCAAGGTCACCCAGCAGCTGCATGTGGAGGAGCGGGGAAGCGAACCCGGTTCACCAGGTTACGAGTCCGCTGCTCTTAACCACTACACCACACTGGCTCTCACTGTACATTTTATCAGTCTCCGTACGAGTGTGCGACCATGCTTCTAGCATTTATGATATCAGTAAAACAGGAGGACACTGGGTTAGATCCAAAACCAGATTTTAATAGAGCTTTGCTGAATTGTAATTATAAACAACTGGGGGAAATGTTGTACATCTTTAAACACAGACAAGATCTTTTGTAACCTTCCAAATGGGTGGAAAACAACTCCTAAATTTTGATGGCCATTTCACCTGGTTTCTCTTTTGCACTAAGTTCTAAACAAGTCAATCAGATTTATTAAAGGGTGAATTTACTTTCCTTGTCTTGTTTATAGCTGTGATTCCAGTTGCCTGTTTAACCGAGGAACGGGAAAGGGGGATTTTCACAGCCCTGTTTAAAAACAAGCTGTCACAAACTTCCTAGGTGGATTAAACTCAAGAATCAAAGCTGCAAGAACCTTTCCCCCGCATCCTCTGCTATGCTTAGTATGTCTACTTTCCATCAGTGCTCTCAAACGCACGACTATCTGTAGTAAGATCTAGCAGCCGTCCCCAACCTGGTGCCCTCCAGATATTCTGTCTGGGGCTGATGGGAGTTGTAGTCCACAACACCTAGAAGGCACCAGGCTGGGTGGGGAAGGCTTATCTAGATGAAGAAATTATCCACCCTTTACACACACCCCTTTCTGAAAGGCTACTCCTCAAACAAGACCAATGAAAATTCATCAGAAGAGTAATTCTTCTCCTCAGCAAAGACAGCCATCTCCTGGCTGCTGAAGGTTTCATCATCTTCTTTCTCCTGGGCCACGGCTTCACTTGACTCCTCAAGGCCCACAACACCCCTGTTCAACATCAGTTCACTTTCTGCCACTGGGGAGACATCAGCCTTGCTCATACTGTCTTCCTTGCTTGGATAACTGGAGGGCGTTAAGGGAGGGCTGCTGCCGTATCTGCAAGAGCTGAGCTGCTCAGCTGTGGCACTCTTAGACCATGGAGCAGCGAACGAGCTCTTAGAACCTTGAGAGGAACACAAAAGCCAGTGAAGATCTCCCCAGAGAGTTATCCTGCATGAGGAGAATGATATCCTCTCCCGTATCTAAGGGCAAAACAGTCCCTTCTACCGCCTTCCTTTGCCGGGTGCTAAATAGATTGTCAGACAACTATTGAACTATAACAAAAAGGCTACACAACTTGGGATTTCATTCCCAGTTGTGCTTCTGGGCTGACATAGCAGCAAACATTATAGGTTTCTCACATCATAGCTGTCAGCTTTCAGATTTGAAAATAAGGGATCAGCAGCCTCACCTGTCCCGGGGACAGTCTACGGGATATCTAACAATCCGGGATAGCAGCGGGAAGCAGCGGGAAATGGCGCTGGAATAAGGGAATTTCCCGGAAAAAAGGGAAGGTTGACAGCTATGTTCTCACATACAGAGCAAGGAGCTCTCTCTTACCTTTTTGAGCATCGCAACGTGCCTTCGTTTGGACAGATCCTTTTGGAACAGCAGCAGCTTTGGGGACTGCCATCTCTTTCCTGCTTTTCTTTGATGAAAGTGGGGTACCTTCAGTTGATGACTTGCTTTTTTTTGCCCCTGTGTGAACAAGTTGTATATATGCTACTTTCCTTCTTCTTTTTGATGGATTTAATGTTAACCTGGGGCCCCTCCAGATATCCTTTTTATTGATTATGCATCATGCTTTGTGCTCATGATGTTATGGGGCGGTTACAAACCAGCAGACTTTCAATGCTGCTTGTGCCTTCAAGAAGCTTCAGGGAGGTCACACTGCTTTGTTTGCAACTGGTGTATGCCCCATATCTATAAATCCTATAACTTTTCATAACATTTCAAGGTTCCGGCAGGTATGTGCCCGACTACATGCCCTATGGATCTCTGCTTTTGAAGGCGAGTGAAAATAAGCTGTGGGGGCTTGATTGGGTGGGCCCAAGATGTAGTGAATGTGTGAGGGAGAGGTGCCTGCCCCTTTAAAGGGAGTGACAGTGCTGCCACTACTAAAGAAGCTGGTTATGAACCCAATTAACAACTATCACTTGGTCACAAATATCCCCATTTTAGGGAAGGCGATAGAGAGGGTTGTTGCGAAACAACTGCAAACGTTCCTGGATGAGACTGATCAACTAGATCCATCCCAGTCTGGGCTCAGACCTGGGTTCAGGACCAAATCAGCCTTGATTGCCCTGATGGATGACCTTTATAGAGAAAAGAACAGGGAGAGTGCAACCCTGCTCAATCTCTCAGCAGTTTTTGATACCATTGACCATGGTATCCTTCTGGGCTGACTCTGCGGGATGGGAACTGGTGGCACTGTGCCACAGTGCCTCTCGTCCTACCCTGCAGGATCATGTCCGAAGTAGAGAGAATGCTCTTTGGGGGCCCTGGTGCTTACCCTGTGAAGTGCCAAAGGGCACCTCTTTCCCCCCCAATGCTACACAACACCTATTTGAAGCCACGGGGAGTAGTCATTAGGACACGTGGTGCCAGGTGTCATCTGTATACTGATGACACTGAGCTCTGTTTCTCCATTACATCTGAGTCAGGAGACGCTGTGCAAGCCCTGGACCGGTGCCTGGATGCAGTGGTGGACTGGATGCGGGCCAACAAGCTGACCTTGACACTTAGAAATACAGGGGCCTTGTGGGTGGATGGCTCCTGTGTCCAGGGTAAAGGTCAACCGCCTGTTCCAGACAGGGTAGCATTCCCCCCAAAGGATCTGGTTCGCAGCTTGGAGGTATTCCTGAATCCATCTTTGTGATTAGAGGCCCAAGTGACCTCTGTGGCTAGGAGTGCCTTCCACCAGTTTCTGTTGGTATGCCAGCGGCAACCACTCCTGGATTAGGAAAGCCTGACCCCAGGAGTTCATGCACTGATAACCCCAAATACATGATTGCTGCAACATGTTTTACATGGGGCTGCCCTTCTATATGGTCCAGAACAGCCTTTCTCAACCTTGGGTCCCCAGTTGTTGTTGGACTACAACTCCCATCATCCCTAGCTAGCAGGACCAGCGGTCAGGGATGATGGGAGTTGTAGTACAACAACATCTGGAGACTCAAGGCTGAGAAAGGCTGGTCCAGAAGATGTAGCTAGCGCAGAATGTGGTGGCCAGACTGCTCACAGGAGCAGACTACTGACAGCATACCACTCTGCTGCTGAGAAGACTGCACTGGTTAGCAATTAGCCAGAGGGCTGGGTTCAAGGTATTTGTGTTAATTCCCAAAGCCCTAAACCAGGGGTCTGCAACCTTTAAGACAAAAAGAGCCACTTGGACCCGTTTCCGAAGAAAAAAAAACTGGGAGCTGCAAAACTCGTCATTATAAAAATAACTTTTTTGTCACTTTTTTATTATTTCTTTGTTTGACCCCTCAGAATTACTCCTCCTCATAGAAATAAACGTTAAATTAACAAGTTACCTTTTTTTGTGTGTGTGTTCTTCACTCCCCTTCAAAACAGTGACCAGCGTACATGCCCCCGTTTCAATGCAGTGACCAGCGTACATGCCCCTTACAATGTAGCGGGCGGGCAGGCGGGAAGGTGATGTCGGGACGGTGCGTGACTAACGCATGCACCACCCCCATGCGACGTCACAGCCAGTACAGCACCCGCCACAGTGGGTAGTGCGCCTCCTCCCCTCGCTAGTATCTGCCCCGGAGCCGCGGCAAAGGTGTAAAAGAGCCACATGCGGCTCCGGAGCCGCGGGTTGCAGACCCCTGCCCTAAACAGCTTGGGCCGAAAGTACCCTAAGGACCACCTGGTTCTCAATCACAGAGGTCTTCTGATGGGCACTTTTGGAGGCCCCACATGCCCCTCAGGTTCTGGTGGCCTTACCAGGGACCGAGCCCTGTGAAACTCCCTGCCCGGTGGAACACCTCGCTAGTAGAGGTTCACCAGGAGTCATCCCTGTTTGTTTTCAGATGTCTTCTAAAAACCGTATTACAGTGGTACCTCGGTTTAAGAACAGTGCGGTTTAAGAACCATTTGGTTTACAAACTCTGCAAAACCTGGAAATAATGTCTTGGTTTGAGAACTTTACCTCGTATAAGAACGGAATCCGTATGGTGGAAGGGCACCGGCGGCGGGAGGCCTCGTTAGGGAAAGTGCACCTTGGTTTAAGAACGGTTTTGGTTTAAGAATGGACTTCCGGAACGGATTAAGTTCGTAAATTGAGGTACCACTGTATTTAAATGGGCCTTTCAAACCTCAGATTCTTTGCCAACCAGCTTTTAATGATGTGCCTGACATTTTAAAATTGTTTTTACTGCAGTGTTGTGTTTTCAGGTTGTATACCACCTTGTGATTTGTATCTCTCTCTCTTTCTTCTTTTTTTTTTTACAAAAGTGCAGTTTCTAAATATTTGCATACATAAATAAATAGTAAACACAAATGTTCCGGGGTGGCTGTTGCCGTTTTTGCTTTACTGTAGCACAAAAGTTGCCCCTACAGATGGGAACAACCTGGTAGCATTGGGGAAGCACAAAAGAACAATTAATAAAGTGGAAACTGTAGTCTTGATTGCATCAACGACATGTTGCAGAATACACCCTGCCCCCCCCCCGAAAAAAACCCACACACCAGTTTGGAAGAGCCCCAAGTTGATCCTGCCAGTAGCCTACGCTAGCTTGCACTCATAGTTATGGCACATAGCTTAAAAGAGAAGAGAGGCCTGAGGTTGAGGTTGCTGGGGAGGGTGACTTGTCAAAACCTCACCTTTTATGTTGGATTTCTTTTTGAAATCTCCATCAGATTTCATCACTGGTGTCTCAGGCAGAAGCTAGGAGAGAGATACTATTTGTTAATGTTAACAGAGAGAACATGATAGACCTACTAAAACTTCACTAGACCAATAACATGTACCTTCCTCACAATGGACTGTTGGAAAATATACGAAGGGGCCGTCTGCAGCAGTCAGATTGTTAAAAGCAGGGAGATGCCTAAACATTTCTAACAGTGCAAAGACTGAACCAACCTTTTCTTGGCTCTTGTTTGATGCTGATACATTTTTCTTCCCACCCTTTGGTTCTCGGATCCTCTTGGCAGGGGGCTTACAGGTAACGTGTACATGATCTACAATGCAAAAAGGAAAAAAGAGTGCAGGGTGGGGGGGTCTGTCTTTCAGCTCGTCTGACAATATTCTGACTTCTGACCCCATCCCGCATGTCAAGGTACCTTTCAAGTCTCTGTTGTTTTTAGGTGACTCTCTCCCGCTGAATCGGCTATAGAATCCAAATATCCTTATTCTCTCCTGGTGCGGTGAAAGAGAAAAGTAGGTGTTATAGTACTGATATAGTCCAACCCCATGCAATGCAGGAATCTCAACTAGATCATGCATGGTATTAGTATGCAATTTATAATAGGAGAGAAAGGCTGGGGCTCCCGGCTGCCATGACTTTTGCCCTGGAGGTCAGTTGCCCCAGCTCCAAGTGTATGGCAACTCAGAGGACAGGCTATCTCTGCATAGCCTCAGAAGCACTCTCTTCTTATGCCACAGACTCCAAACCACAGCCTTGGCATTATAAACTAGCCCTGCTCAACTAGAAGCCCCAGTTGGCTTAAGCTAGGATTTTCTTCCCCACACATAATATATTCATGGCTAGGACCCAAACCAATGGATTCAAGTTACAAGAAAGGAGAGTCCAACTAAACTTTAGGAAGAACTTTTAGATAGTGGAACAGACTCCCATGAGAGGTGGTGGATTCTCCTTCCATGGAGGTTTTGAAGCAGAGGTTGGATGGCCATCTGACATGTATGATCTAGTTGAGATTCCGGCATTGCAGGGGGTTGGACTAGATGACCCTTGGGGTACCTTCCAACTATACAGTTCTATGATTCTATGCATTTGAGTGCACGGATTTCTTCCTTGCTATTGGATCTGGGTTGGACTGGGTTAAGAACATGCATGCAGATTAGTGATCCAGACCCAGGGCAAAACTATCAGCCCCTGCTGTATAGTGGTCTTATCCAAGGAGAAGGGATGCAAACTAACAGTGGAGCTAGACCACTTCCTCATTTAACAGCAGCAGTTCACCTTGTGTGGTTGCACATTTTTATACCATGGCAGATTTTAGGTGAGGAAAGAAAAGGCTTGAAATATACTCGGAGTCGAGAGCGGATTTCATGCTCTTTATTCAGCTCATAGTGGTGAGGAAGAATGGAAGTTCCCCCAGAATGTCTGCTTTATATACATTATTTACACAATGGGCCCCATGTGATTGGCTAATTCCGGGATTCTCCTGTAGGCCAATCAGGTTGCGGATTCACTTCCACCTGGAGCTGGATTGGGTGGCTCCTGTGGACCAATCAGACTGCTGCATTCTGGATCCTATTGTTCTAGGACCAATCAGACTGCTGCATTCTGAATCCTATTGTTCTAGGACCAATCAGACTGCTGCCTTTTGTATCCTATTCAACTCAGTACATAACAAGGCTCATAAGGGGATCATTCTAAAAGTTAAAACAAAACAAAAAAATGGTGCAAGCAGTGGTATTGCACTTCTTCCTCTCATTCAAAATGGGATTCACAGAATATACCATCGTGCAACACCCACAGATGTGAAAGGGGAGCTGTGCATTAGCACAAGGGCTTGTGAGGATGCTATTCAGCTGCTGCAAGTTGCTAGTGATGATAGAAAATGAAATGAAATGAAATAACGAAAGGAAGTCCTCTCCCCTTGTTGTTCCCCCACACAAACATTAGTCACAGGGAACATAAAATGACTAATTAAGGAGCAATGTACCAAGAATCCCACAACAGAAAACAATGACGGGCCAAAGCTGGAAGGAAGAAGCTTTTTAATTCTTTTTTTAAAAAATCAGTGGCTCTAAAGACCCACAATAACCTTTGCTACCCCACAGCAGACAGGATGATGCTGAAATCTGAGCGAGCTCCAGCTGCTCAATCCCTCACTTGCCTCCAAGGTTCCCAATGGGCCTTGCTGCCTAGTAGGCGGAGGTTAGAGGGCAACACCAGGGAAGATCAAGTATGACGGCAGGAAATGCATCCTTAAGAATCTCATGTTATTTCTATTTCTGATAAAAGACTAGAATGGGATTTTCCATTGCAAGAATGTTTTGTAAGTTGCTTTGAAAGGTCTTCTTGGCTGTAAAATGGGATGTTCTAAATAAATCAATAAGATTTCCATTTCATTCCATACAAAAATTACTACACAGATCATGTCTGAGAAAATACAGGAGAACACAGAAGATATTGGGCCCCAATGAAAGGATGCAATTATTCCAGAGAGAAATCAACCTAGGTTTATTGGTGGGGGGGGGGTCATGGAACCTGCCTGTGTCACACCTGAATGCTTAATTGCTCTGCTTCGTTTGCCATCTTCACAGCAGCTTCAAAGTCCCTCTTGTCACCTTTGTTCTTTAGCTTGGCCTCAAAAAGAAAATACAGAACATAGCTATGATTTAAGAAGTGAGGGAGAAAGGGACTCTGGGTGGATGCTGCTTCTTAACATCAATGGGGTGTCTGCTAAACACTTGGCCCATGTGTGGTTTACCTCCCCATAGTCTGTCACTCCCACAGCCTTTCTCCTTTATACATAGGAAAGGGGGCTGCAGGGAAGTAAGAAACAGATGAGGGGGAAATTCTGAATTCCTTATCTGCATGCCACTTTTGCTCCTCTTTCTACAAGTCTGGGGCAAATCTGAGTTTAAATACACAGATCTGCCACTACTGCGCCTAAATTGACCCTCCTAGAGCTACAATTCCCAAGGAGCCTTGGGATAGCTGGACAGCTCTGAAATTAATCCAAGTTCATTGTGCAGCTCAGGCCTAATCAGGCCACTGTCTTTCCAAATTGCAGGGCTGGATTGCAGATGGAGGGAATGGGGGACGGGGACAAAGTTCTCCTCTGATCTTAAGATTAAGAAGTTTGCAGAAATCACACACCAGCTTTGCTAGCAGATTTTGGCAGCCTGCAGTCAACCTGTTTATTGAGCTCTCGTTTTGATTTGTTTGCAAGGAGGATATACAATGTCGTATCAAGCAACGGTTACCCCATAATTTCCAGTGCAATTTCCTGTCATTTTCCTTACTGCATAACATCTGCTTTTTTTTTGAGGGAGAAGCAGGTTTGTTGCACCAGAGTGCCCATTCCACTTTAATCGTGCAAAGTGAAGTACTTCACACGGCACATAATTAAACTATGGAACTCGCTCCTACAGGAGGCAGGGATGGCCACCAACTTGGATGGCGTTAAAAGAGGATCAGATAAATTCATGAAGGAGAGGGCTATATTGATGGTTACTGACCATGATGGTTATGCTTTAATAATAATAAATTTTATTTATACCCCGCCCTCCCCAGCCAAGACCGGGCTCAGGGCGGCTAACACCAGGTATAAAAACAATTGATTAGACTACAACTTAAAAACAAGATTAAAATGCAGCCTCATTTCAGTAGAAACTCAAATCAAAAACTTTTTGGGGATGAAAAAGTCAAATCTTCACCAAGGCTAACTATCCAGACTCGTCCTAGGTGGGCCAGAAAAAAGCCAGAGGACTTTGCCCCCACAGCTGGAGGCAGCAATCTTTCTGAATACTGGTTGCTGGAAACCACAGGAGGGGAAGAGGGCTCTTGTGTTAGAATCCTGCTTGTGGGTTTCCCATTGGTACATCTGATTGACAACTCTGAGAACAGCATCCTGGATTAGATGGGCCATATTGCCTTGATCCAGAAGGCTCTTCTTAGGTTCTTATGCCCGAATGCGACTGGTCTGGATCCCACCCGCAAAAGAGCAAGCATCGGGAAGTCTTCACTTTTCCCAGCTATTGTTTGGAACTTCCTCCAGATCCTGCTCCCTTTCAAAAGACACCTCCTGTTCATTGGACCCTCTTAGAACCCATAACCTCATGGAGACTGGGACACCTTATTTTGTGAACAAGCCGCCATTAGCAAAAAGCCCCACTTACCACACCATTTCCCTTCGCATAAGATTCCTCAAAGTTCCTCAGCATGGAGGCAGAGATCCAAGCCCGGGTCACAGAGCTGCCCAAGAAGGTCACATGGTACTTGCACTGAAATGGGAATGGAAACAGAGAGCATGTCAGTTGTGGTGGCTGGCCATGCCTGTGAGAGAGAGAGCGTGTGAACACATCTCAGCTAAGGACTAAAGTGGGTAAGAACCTTACAGCTGGAGCTGAGTAGTAATTGCTTTAGGGATAAAGTCAGATTTATCCCACCGACATGCAAACACAATATAAAATAAATATACATAATACTTAACAGGAAGTGAATCTGCCTGAGAAGAGAACAGGAAGTACTCTCCAATGTCTGGATCAGCCTCTATAATCCCAGGCCACCTATAAACACATGGTTGGAAAAGAGTGAAAGACACTGTAGTGAAGACACCGCCAGGCCAACCCTAGCTTCTCCTAGAGAACTGGAAAATGTTTTGAAGCCCCATTAAAAAAAGCAAACAACTTCTTCCATATGGCCCATATGACCCCAAAAGAGCTTCTGAAGACCTCAAAGGCCAATTTGTTCATCTTTTAACTAACAAATGTTACTATTAAAATCAGCCTCCTTTGGGAGGACCGTTATTTTTTTACCTTTTACCCTTCTGGGAGGACTGGAGGACAATATATGCAATACCATTTTCGGTCCAGAAGTAAATTGGTGGAAAGTTATTTTGAAGGCTTAAAATGTTAAGCATACAGGTCGTATATTATAGAAGAACAAGCCTTGCTAAGGAGCAATCAGCATGGCTTCTGCAGGGAAGCCATTCAGTTTTCACACAGAACAGTGGTACCTCAGGTTACATATGCTTCAGGTTACAGACTCCGCTAACCCAGAAATAGTACCTCGGGCTAAGAACTTTGCTTCAGGATGAGAACAGAAATCGTGCTCCAGCGGCGCGGTGGCAGCAGGAGGCCCCATTAGCTAAAGTGGTGCTTCAGGTTAAGAACAGTTTCAGGTTAACAACGGACCTCCAGAACGAATTAAGTACTTAACCCAAGGTTCCACTGAACTTGCCTGAGGAAGAGCAGAGGTCTTAGCATCCATTGCATCCCTATGTCTGGACCTGCCACTCTGCATGTACTGAGAGCAGGAGTTTGCTGTTCTCATAGAGGCTGTTCCCATGGAAGTGTGGGATCAGGGCTCTAAGCTGCATGCAGAGGCCTCCCAAATCTCTTGCACCTCCAATGCAAGGAAAGTGGTGAATCTGGGCATACAGCTGTCATGGAGGAGGCAGGACTAGCAAGTGCATCCCTTCTCTCTCATCATACCTGCAAACGGCTAGTGTCAACAAAAGGAGATGCGTACAGTGACCTCATACAGTGGTTGCTTCTGCAGTGGTCTGTCTCTCTACAATTGTCATCCTTCACTCACATACTTTTTATGGAGAAGTCAGTTGTTGCATACCAGGATTTTTCTATGTTGCTCTCCTTTGTTTTCTCAGACATGGTTTGTGGTGCTGCATATTGTTTTTGCAATAAAACATCATTGTGGTGTCTCCCTGACCTGTGTGGGTCAAGTGCTATTGAGGCTTTTCAGGGATTCTGTGCCTTTAATTAAATGCTTCCTGTTTGCAAGTTCAGTCTGTTTTATTGCTTCCTGATTAGTTGGGGATTAGTGAGGAACAGCCTATTAATTGCCTCCTCTCAATAGCCTTTCTTAATTGCTCCAATGCGAGTTTCTGGTAGGGAGACTTTGATTACCCAGCTCCATTGGTTTTTCTTTTGATAGCTAAAATTCAACACTGAGGAAAACAAAAAGAGGCAATTCCAGGAGCAATTAGTGGTTAGATTGTCAGGCTGCTTTTTATTTATTTTAAGCATTTATAAATCCACTTTCTTGGCAAAAAGGCTGCCAATGTGGCTTGCAAAAACCAGCAGTAAAACCTAAAAAGACATGATGCACGAGGAAAACTGAATGGGATGGAGGAAGACTACAATTAGCAGGACCTGGATTCAAATCGCCACTTAGTCATTGGGTGACCTTAGGCCAGTAATGGCCAAACTTGGCCCTCCAGCTATTTTGGGACTACAACTCCCATCATCCCTAGCTAACAGGACCAGTGGGATCATGGGAATTGTAGTCCCAAAACAGCTGGAGGGCCAAGTCTGGCCATCACTGCCTTAGGCCAATCACAATGTCTCAGTCTAACCTACCCTACCCTACAGGGTTGTTGTGAGGATAGCACAAATAGTGCTCATTAATTGTTCCTCATCATCCTGGAAAAAAGTGACAAGTGGGGTGCCACAGGGTTCTGTCCTGGGCCCGTTGTTGTTTAACATCTTTATAAATGACTTGGATGAAGGAATTGAGGGGATGCTCATCAAATTTGCAGATGACACCAAACTGGGAGGGGTAACTAATGCCACAGAAGACAGAATCAGAATTCAAAATGACCTTAACAGATTGGAGAACTGGGTGCTAGCTAACAAAATGAATTTCAATAGGGACAAATGTAAGGTTCTGCACTTAGGCAGGAAGAACCAGATGCAGAAATATAGGATTGGGGACACCTGGCTTACTACCAGTATATGTGAAAAGGATCTAGGGGTCTTGGTAGACCACAAGCTCAACATGAGGCAACAGTGTGATGCAGCAGCAAAAAAGGCCAATGCTATTCTAGGCTGCGTCAACAGAAGTACAGTGTCCAGATCAAGGGAAGTAATAGTACCACTCTCTTCTGCCTTAGTCAGACCACACCTGGAATACTGTGTCCAATTCTGGGCACCACAATTTAAGAAGGATGTTGACAAGTTAGAATGTGTGCAGAGGAGGGCAACCAAGATGATCAAGGGTCTGGAAACCAAGCCTTATAAGGAGCGCTTGAAGGAGCTGAGTAAGTTTAGCCTGGAAAAGAGGAGACTGAGGAGATATGAAAGCCATCTTCAAATATCTCAAGGGCTGTCACATGGAGGAGGGGGCATGCTTGTTTTCTCCTGCTCTGGAGGGTAGGACTCGAACCATCAGCAAGAAAGGAGATTCTGACTAAACATTCGGAAAAACTTTCTGACAGTAAGAGCTGTTCAGCAGTGGAATAGACCCCCATGAGAGGTGGTGGACTCTCCTTCCTTGGAGGTTTTGAAGCAGAGGTTGGACAGCCATCTGTCATGGACGCTTTAGCTGAGATTCCTGCATTGCAGGGGGTTGAACTAGATGAACCTTGGGGTCCCTTCCAATTCTAAGATTCTATAAAGCCCGGAGATGCGCTGGGCATGTAAGTAAAGCTGTGTTTCTGGGGAGCTCCCCTTTCTGCGGCTTAGAGGCCCCATTCTTGGCCAGTTTTTCTGTCAAAAGACTGCAGCTGCTGTACTGGCAAGGGTGCTCAGAAAGATTGGCTATTTTGGCTAAGCCTTTCAAGGAGGGTCAGCAGCTGAAAAAACTGCAGGGATCAAGACACATAGAACTGAGGTTTTTAAGGAGCTGAGATTTAAGTACAGCAGAGCAAAATGGGGGTTTTTACTCTGAGAGACCTGGGCAGGTGTATTTTTGCCTTGGTGTGTGTGTCTGTGTGTTGTGTGTGTTGTGTTGGTTAACTAGTGCTGGGACTATTGTTTTGCGCTCCAAGCCTGACGATAAGTTGGCAATGGAAAACTGGTTTGTTTAGCACGGTGTAGTGTGCTGCCCACACAATCAATACTTTCTTGCCACTGCACTGCACGATATCCTGAAGCCCGTTTTTTAAAAAATAACCCCTGCTGTGTTTATGGCTCCCTCTTTCTAATTTGGCACTCTCATTTGTTTCAATGGGACTTGCATCCCTGTAACACATGTTGAGGATCTCTGCCTATGTTAAGGGCAAAGGGGGACCTTATCATTATTATTATTTCAATTTATATACCAATCTTTACCGAAAGATCTCAGGGCAGTGTACAACATTAGAAACACTTTACAATACATCCCATGATAAAAACATAGTAAAAAGCATGCTTGTTTGTTGTGGGATGGGTGCTCATCTATGCAGGTGTCTCTCAGCATCTACATAACTTCATCAGCATCAAAATGCCAGCCCATATTTCTTCCCACTTAATCCACAAAAAATCAAGTGTTATAAAACAGCCTGTTCGCAGTATCCGAGGCTGCGTACACACTATGCCTTTAAAGCACTTTTGAAGCACATTTCCCCCACTCAAAGAATTCTGGGCACTGTAGTTTGTCAAAGGGTGCTTTCAGGAACTGTAACTCTGTGAAGGGAAAAGTACAGTGCCCAGAATTCTCTAAGGGAAATAATGTGCTTTGAATGTGCTTTAAAGTTACAGTCTGTACTGTACGCAGCCTCTATGGCTCATTTGTGATATCAGACCTCTGCCTAGAAGCACCCGAGAGTTGTGTGTTCCTTCCCTACCATGGGTATCCATACTGCTTGGCCCACACGATTGACCCAGGAATATAAACAGCATAGACCACCTCGTTCTCAGACCCTGACCATGTTTCCTCTGGAATGCTGCAGCTGTTGTGCTCGAGATCTGCAACGGAAAATAAACACCCCGCTGAAAAGAATCTGGGAAGTCTGTGTAATTGAAATAAATGCATTTTCTCTACCCCAACCCCTTTTCACTTCTCCCTCCCCTTTACTGAATACAAGCCCCTTTGGGGCAGGGACCCTTCCTTTTGTACTGCTGCATAAGGTACAATACATAGTGACAGCAGCAAAACAAAATAACTCATAGAGAAGGCACCAAAAGCAACCCATTGCAGTGACTGGAAGAGGTTCTAGACTCCCACAAGACGCCTTCGTTTTGAAAGGGTAGATTTTACAATGGTCCAGAGCATGTGATGATGGTGATGCCTTATAATCTCATGTTCACTGGGCCACCTGGGTCAGACTGATACTCCAGTCTTCCCAAACCTGGTGCCTTCCAAATGTTGGAGCTGGTACTCTTTATCAGCCCAGGGCTGATGGGAGCTGTAGTCCAAGTCTGGTCTATTCTGACAGGCAGCAGCCCTCTAGCTTCTCAAGTAGTATTTCCCTTCACCTGATTTATGGACTACAACTTTCCGGACTACTGACCATTGCTGGCTGGGACTGATGGGAGCTGGAGCTTAAAAACATCTGGAGAGCCACAGGTTGCCCAGGCAGACAGGGGTTCTGCGGGACGCTGAGCAGTCACAATTTTTCATATTTAACTGAGGGGAGGCGAGGCCACCAAATGTCTGTCAGCCCCTGCAGGAAAAGGCTTGCCTTTCCCTTCTGTTTTACCTGGGTTCTGGCTACATGTCCAGTCCTCAGACAGAACCGATGGGTCTATGTCACTGCTAAGCCGCCTCCACTTCTCACAGGTTGGATAAGAGCACTGGACCCATGCCATGCACCAGCCTAGAGTGGTGAAAGGGGGGAAATTATGAAACAGCGGACTTCAGCTTTATGGAACATGTTGGAGCTGCACAAGGTGGAGGTGCAGGTGGAGTAGATGAGCATCACTCAGGCTAACTCTAAGTGTGTGGATTCTTCTGTTAGAGGGGATTAAAGCAATCTGTCTTAATATGAATTGTAGCTATGCTATGGGCTACCATATGAAGATATGTGTTCCTATCTTCTGAGGAGACTGGGGCTTTCAACTCTCCAGATGTGGGTCCATCTATGGTTGTTGCTTGGGGCTTCCACAAGCCAAGGTACTCAGGGATTCTGAAATGCAGGATGCTTCAGCTGTGCCCAAGACAACCACAGAAGAGTAAGCAACACACCTCCACTTGCTGTCATGTACAGCTCCTGATTAAAGCCACTCCAAAGTATCAGCAATGATCTACAGCCCATTTAGACAATGGCACTTCCTTCTCATGTGCCTTGGGTGGCAAGCCTGTCCTTGCTGAACACCAGTCAAAACATTCACCTGCTCACTGTTGAATGCGATAGATGCCATCACCAGCCAACACTGTCTTTTTCCCATGTACACAGAACAATAACAACAAAAATGCCAACAGCCAGAAGGGCTGGATATTAAAGAAAACTGAAGGAGGGTGGAGAGAGAGAGAGAGAGAGAGAGAGAGAGAGAGAGAGAGAGAGCTGGTATGATGTTAAAGCCACAATGACCAATTGCATACTTTGTGGCTGCAACACCATGCCAAATTCTCTCTCACACACACCCGCCCCCGCTGTTTTCCTCAACATCCAGCCTGATGGATGTTTAAGTTCTGGAGAACTTAAAAGTGCTCATGATTTTCTGACATTTTGGTTGTCCTACTTTGGATTTTGCTTCTCCTGTGGACCAATATCTATGCTTTCCCCCCTCTATACATAGGATAGGCAACCTCCGTGTAAAATAATAAATTGACTCAAATCTGACATCCAAGACAGCAACAACTCAGAAACCAGTGGGAGAGAGGTCTTGAATCTCCCGAGGCACTCTGCGGCTCCAAAATATCATTATTCAACAAAGGACCTTGAAAGGGAGACTTCAGGATGAAACTGCTGAACTAGAAATCAGGAGAATGGCTTCGTCTCCCACTACAGGTGGTAAAATAACCTCACAAAGTGATCATTGTGCTAATGTCACCTATTAGTACTGCTGCTGTGAATGGCGGCCGCTGTGCTCATCTTACCTGCATTTACGGTTGGCTTAAAAGCATTGTCACAGAGCCTTATATTCCACAGCCCTCTGGACCACTGTCTACACCCCCCTCCCCACCCTCCAATACTCCCAACTATATGTGTCTGCCAATTTCATGCAGGTGAAGTCTAACCAAGAAAGAAAGCTACTGCCATCTTAGTCTTTATGGTGCCACAAGACCCTTGGCAGTTTCCCCATAATTAATGGAATATCTAACAACAACAGCTCTGCAGCTTCCTTTGTAGGTGTTCTGTGAGGCAATGCACTTCATTTTATTATTTTTAAGCAGTGGGCCACTCAGCTCACTTTCTTGTTCTTACAGCAAGTTATTTAAGGTTGCTTCAATCCCCGCCAAACGTCCAGGGCTTTCCCCTGTGGACTGTGCACAAAAAAACGGCAGGAGCGCCGCAGCCCACCAGAGCTCTGAAGCCAGCCTGGCCGATCTGCCTTCGATCCCCCATCCCCATTTGTCCCCCATCCTCCCTAAAAACCCTCTGGAGCAGCAGGAAGGGTTCAGCTCACTGCAGCCACTTCCTCCTCGGTCTGCCTCCGCCTTCTCCTGCATTTCCTCTTGGTCAACGCGGACGTGGGCGTTGCCCTGAACTTTCTTCTTGGGCGCACCTTTCCGGTTTTCCTTACGCCCTCCATTGTCTCCTCCTGATTTCTCATCTGCCAGGAGACAAAGAGAAACAAGTTGTTGTGCGCGCCCGTGTTTGCCTCTTTGCAAAAACACCAGGAGAGCGGTGGTGGGGTGGCAGCAGCGGAGCTGGTGAGTGCGGGGAGGAAACTGTGAGCTGCCTAGCAGTCAAGAGCAGCAACTTGTTTTGAAACACTGGAAAGAATGTGGATCTCTGCCCTACACAGGGCTTGTGGCCTCTCTCCCTGGGGCTGCACCGGTACTGAGTCACTTCCCTTTGCCAGGCTTCCCAGCCACCCTGACACATTCGGCCCATGGCCAATGGCACCTGCTGCTCCCATCTTGCACAGCCCCTATTCATTTCAACTGAGGTTTATCCCTGGTGTGTTTTGCTCAGTGCTTGTTCATGCAAGAGACTTAGGCTATGTACACATTAGGGGTTCAAAACATAGCAAGGTAGTTTCTGCCACTGTGGTTCAAAGAGAGGGCAAGGGTGTCTTCACCTGATGCACATTACCTGTTTGGTTTTTCCATGCCTGCATTCCCTCCCCACAAAACTCCTATTCACAAAACTGTCATCTGAGCATGCTCAGTGGCTGACTCAAGCATATACACCTCTGCTTAACTGCAAAATGAATGTGGCTTTCCTTTTCAAATCGGATGGAAGATAGTTTGAACAACAAGGTTTATCAAGAAACCACAGGATATGAATTGTGCCAAAGCCATGTGTACATAGTTTCAAACACCAGCAGTGGGAGCGTACTAGAGCCAGAGTAAATAGTAATATGTACATAGGCTTACTTTTCTCCTGTCTGTCCTTATCCACAGAATGTGTTCCGTGATTCCTTTTTTTTTAGCAGATGCCGCTTCTGATCCAATTCTGAAACAATCACCTCACTTTTCTTTCCAAAGACAACGTCCTCCGCACTGGAGAGACCCCCAAAGTCTTCCTGAAGAAAAGAGCACAAGCACACAGTTGGGGCCTACTTCAGTAGGGTGGAATACTGAAAACTAGTCTGCTTGGGGACATTGATACAAGTTGCACTGATATGTTTCCAGCAGGGGTGAGCAAATCTCAGTTTCTCATTTCTCCAGTGGGAAGATCAGTTGCCCATATCTCTGAATTTTTTAAGTGCTCATGAAAAGTCACCGGCATTTTAGTGCTGATTTTTCCAAATATACCCATGCTTGTATAAAATTTTGACCAATAATTTTGCAGACCAATTTTCCCCAACTGCAATACCTTTGTATGATATTTACACTAATATGCACACATGTTTGTGCATACTTTAACCTGCTACGTACATTTTTGAACACATTACTTGTCTTGAAGAACTGTACTTCAAAATTCAGAGAAATGTGAATTTCAAGGGGTAGCCGGGGCTTTGTTCTCGTAGTGTTTCAGAAAGGGCAAATTAGGTTCGCCTTTAAATGAGAACTGAGTTTGAATGTCTCCCCCATCCCTAGAGGAAGGAACAATGTCGCTCATCACCACCACTATGAACCTGGGAAGGCTGTAACTTAGGTCATAACAGTTTTCAGCCTCCTGGATCATTCCCCAAAATTTGTAGCTAAATAAACATGGAGATGAGTGCACTCTCCTCATCCAATGGGAAGTGATGCTGTGTGAAGGTTTCCCTGAACTTTACATCCCTCACAAGAAACATAAAGGACCTTCTTTCAGGCCCAAAGTTTGCTTTTTAAGAGAATAAGTTTAACTCTTCCCCTGCCACTGTTTCCCAGCTCTAATTGTCTACCCCGTGTATCTAAAAGACACGATTAGTTACATTTAGAGTCCCCTTGATGCAGAGAGGAATTTGCTTTGGGCAGAGAAAAGATGTGTGCAGAAAGGCTTAAGTGCCACGTCCCTCCTGCAGAAGACACACCTCTTTACCTTGGCCAGAGCCATGGCTGGGGTTTGCCCTGGTGACCCCTGCAGAGGCGTGACATTGAGGCTCCCAGCTTGTATGCATGTGTATGCTAATACGTGTATGTGTGTGTGTGCGCGCGCACATGCCAGCCAAACAGTGTCTTTGACCCTGGTGAAAGAAAGCCTAGTTACACCCCTGCCTTGGTCTCTGTGACACTTGAGATATATATTTTCAAGACTTACCCTAAACCTGTGACCTTAATTGGTTTGAAACTGATTTTAACTGAATTGTAAGTTGCACTGGAACCTTATAGTAACATCCTCCCATTGGAGGTGTTCTTTAATAATACTCCAAGGAGGGCGCCTGGGAACACCAACTAAAACTAAACTCTGCTACATAGACATTTCCTGTACTTGGGCACCACCTTGAGGCCAAAGCGTGATTTTCACATGCCTGGAGATTCCTGCATTGAATTTCTAAATAATATTGCCCAGGTAGGCAGTCTTGGGGCTTTTTTTATGCAAGTGAGGCTTAAATCAGCTTTTGCTTTCATTAGTTTGCAAACGTGAATGAAAATCCCACACTGATAGCAGTCATTTCTTTCACATTATGTCCTTCAATAGATAACATTCACACACAACTTACACAGAACACTCCCATAAATTGAAATACGCCGTATGAGGGAGTATCAGAGCAAGTTTAGCAATTCACAATATAAAACTGCTGGTAGAGATCTATGATTTTTTTATTAATTTAGGTCAGCCTTCCTGGTGCCCTCCAGATGGTTTGGACTACAACTCCACATAGCTGTACTGCCCTCACAGGAACACAACACCAAGATTTGTTTACTGCCTCCTTCACATTTCTTCCCTCTGGCAAGAGATAATTTCCCTTGCCCTCTTAATAAAACCATACCATCCAAGCTCTCAGATTTACCTGTGATGTTACAAGACGCTCATTATCATTCCTATGTCACTTTTTAGCTGGAAAATCGCCACACGTTTCTTATCTAATTCATACTGACTAACTAAAGTTCCCAGCTATCTTTTTTCCCCCGGCAGGGGCCCTACGCCGTTCACAGTAGCACAACCAAACAGGCAACCCTTTTCCTCCATGCCAGAGCTGAACTGCTCCACCTGATGAATTCCTGCTTGTCACATATCTGCTAAAGACACAGGTGGGGAAAGGCTCAACAAACCTGCTTTACAATGTCAGGTACATAAATCTGCTAGCCTTTGTTACCGCGCCATGTGAAAGATAGGAGGAATACAGGCCTGATTTGCCCACCCAGGAATGGGGAATGTCAGGTTTAGAAGTCAAGTGCAGCACTAAAGGGCTTTCTGTCTGGCTCTTGGAACTCACCCCAGGCCACACACCCTTCACCGGCCCCGCTTTGCGCCCTCCTTGAGAGTTTGTGCTTGGCTAGAATGTGTTCCTGACCACTGATAATGCCCTTTGTGTTATGTATTGAAGTTCTCACCCTGGGCCAACAGGGGAATACTGTAGATAGTCCAGGTCCACATATGCAAATAAGGGATCGAAAGTGACGTTCCGTAATTGGATAGTTACAGAAAGTGTTAGAGTTGCGTTGTAGTGGAGCTCTATATAAGCAGGCTGGCTGAACCCTTCAGTTCAGTTCTGTTCTGACCTGTGAATAAACAAGAGCTTTTTGGAGAATCTCTGTGTCGCCTGATATGTTCACCCACAACTTAACACTTTGCTTGCCTGGATGGAGGATAGAGAGGGGTGTGAGAGTATGTGTAGAAACTGTGCAAAGGTAAAATCTGCATCCATTGCCCTGCCTGCTTTTGCCTCTGGCACTGTCCACCACTGTCAGGTACACACACACACACACACCCGCCACAGTAGGTTCTCTAGGAGGCAATGTGGCGCTCGGGTTGAAAAAGGTTTCCTGTGCCCTGCTTTAGGGTCTCCTTGCTTGCAGCACTTTGGGTTCTGGTCAGCTCCTTCCCTGCAGTAGCGAAGCGCAAGCCCACAACGTTCAAGGTGCAAATTACAGAAATTGTTTTTGAGGAACGGCTTGGGAATGCCTCTGGGAACGTGAAGAGCGCTCCGCCTTCGGCAGCGAGGCCGAATATGCAGCCGTGCAACTCACCTTCCCAGATCTTGTTTCTCAGTAGGCTTTGCCGAAATGGTTCTCTTCGCAGAGTCTTCTGGAAATAAAAAAGCAAAACAGCTTTAAAGAGCTAAGCCCTGAAGGATTATGAGTTCATAAAATAGTTTGATGTTGGCTTGAGCGATAATCACGGCCAGCTCCCAAACATTATCTTCAAAAGTTGACAGGCTTCGAAAGTTTCAGCCATTAACAGAGCTTCTCAGATGTAAGTCTGACTGAATTCAAGGGGGTTACTTCCAGGTAAGTAGGAATATGATTGCAACTGTAGTGGCACAACTCATGGCAGACGGCAAAGCAAGTACTCCAAGATTTTAAGCAGCATCTAGTTGCGGGAACCAAGGGGGGGAAGCCAGTTTCAGCTCTCCGTCTGTAGCCTCCTTCATTCCTCCTTTCTGTTAACACAATATTATGTTGCTGCTGTGGGGAGGGGTCATTCAGAGGGCCTTTGGGGGGACTAAACACTCCTTGTCCGTTCCATCCTTGCCCCTCAAGGGAACCATGCGATAAAACCAACTGAAATTAAGACCAAGTGTTTGTGTGTGAAGTGCCTCGGATTTTAGTGGCCATGTCTATGTTACAGCAACATCTTTCTGCCCTTGTGTCTCTCCCCGACCCCAACCAACATACACATACACTCCTGCAAAGGCTTCTGAAGTGCACTCTGGACAATCTCCTCGAACTGTGCATCGGTGAGGCCACCTTCTTCCTGCCAAAAGATGAGCAAATGTAACAACAATACCACGCCCTGCATAGTAAGCACAGGCCCCCGGCTAGCATTGGCAGAGGGGCTGCTTTTAAAACAGTTTTGAAACATCGGCTGGTCCAAAATGCAGTGGCCAGGCTTTTATTTGGTCCCCAATGATCAGAACGTATTTGTCTCTGGATTCATTCTACATAGTTCTTTGTTACTGCTCTGTTTTCAAGGTCGTTTGCTAGTGTAAAGCCTTAAACCAAGGGCCATTTATGTATCTTATGCATAGCTACAGTCACTATAAAGGTAAAGGTACCCCTGCCCATACGGGCCAGTCTTGCCAGACTCTAGGGTTGTGCGCCCATCTCACTCAAGAGGCCGGGGGCCAGCGCTGTCCGAAGACACTTCCGGGTCACGTGGCCAGCGTGACATCGCTGCTCTGGCGAGCCAGAGCCGCACACGGAAACGCTGTTTACCTTCCCGCTTGTAAGCGGTCCCTATTTATCTACTTGCACCCAGGGGTGCTTTCGAACTGCTAGGTTGGCAGGCGCTGGGACCGAACGACGGGAGTGCACCCCGCCGCAGGGATTCGAACCGCCGACCTTTCGATCGGCAAGCCCTAGGCGCTGAGGCTTTTACCCACAGCGCCACCTGCGTCCCACAGTCACTATAAAATACCACAAAAGAAAAACTGCCAGTTCTCAGAAACCCCCTCCGAAAAAAGCATGAGGCAGAACACTGACATACACACACCAAATAAAAAAATAAAAAGCAGGCAACACTAAAACCAAACAAGCAACCCGTCCCCAACAAACAAAAACAAAGCAACCCTCTCAAAAAACAAAGAAAAATACAGGCAAAATACCCACAACTGCAAACTGCTTAGAATCAAGTAGAATAAAACTTTTGTGAATAAATAAATGTATTATTTTTGGTTGGACTAGATGACCCTTGCGGAAGGTCCATTCCAGCACAACATTTCTATGATTAAATGTGAGGCCCAGAAACATTCTGGAGGAAGGGCAGGTCGTCTATGTGCCTGCTCTTTATTTTCCAGCCCAGCCCAACTCATGGTGGTTAAAAAAACGTTTTTAAAAAACAATGTCTGAGGGCACCATGGCTCCCTGTTGGGAATCCCTACCCTAAATGGTCTTGGACCCAGTTGCCACATGGACCACCTGCTCCCAGGTCAACCTGCCCCACTTTAAAACCTGCCTTGCAGGCTCTGCTTCCCAGGAAATGAGCATGAGGGACCTGGCTGGGGCTTTGGAATGACTTCCCTGTGGTCATTCACCCGGCTCTCCCTCCATTGTCTTCTAGACAGAAATGGAAAACGTTTTTGATCAAACCAGTTTTGAATCGCTAGCTTTAGCCTTGTTTTTTAATTATTTTAGTTGAACATTTTAAACAGTTTTTAATGTCTCTTAATATTTAATATTATGTATTATTTATATAGGTGGGTTCTTGGCCTTGTTTGTTAACTAGTCTGAGTATTTACTGGTGGAAGAATGGTAAGCAAGCACCTGATGGTCGTAACCATAGCACTCTTCCGTCCCAGAAATACGGAGCTGCAAAATGAGGCCTGTATAATGAGATTCCTTCAGTGCAAGATTTTGCACCTTCCCTCAGAGAGGTTTAGCTTGCTTCCTGCAGGAACAGTTTTCATAGAATCACAGAATATCAGAGCTGGAAGACATCCCAAGGGCCATCTAGTCCAACCCCCTGCAATGCAGGAATTTATCTAATTGTTTCCCACAGCACCACTCACTCATTGCCTGAAGTTATTTCCACGCATTTTAATTCACATCTGGGTGGTGCTCTTGCCTTTCGTGAGTATAGCTTAAGGCCTGCTGAAGAGGCACTACTGAACTTCGGAAGAAATTTGCATAAAAAGTAAGGTTAGCAGGGCCCATGTTTAATAACTGCCAAAGAAAATCATAACCTCTGGCAAGCTATTCCCCAACTGAAAAAAAGAGAGGGGAGGAATATAAATTTCATGTGGGCTTTAAAGGCTGGATCTACAATGATCTTTTAAAACACTATTACAGTGGTACCTCTAGATACGAACGGGATCCGTTCCGGAGCCCCGTTCACATCTAGAAGTAAACGTAACTAGCGACGGCACGTCTGCACACGCGCATGCTGCTTTTCGCCGCTTCTGCGCATGATGTCATTTTGAGCATCTGCGCATGTGCAAGTGGCGAAACCCAGAAGTAACGCGCTCCATTACTTCCGGGTTGCCGAGGAGCGCAACTCGAACGCACTCAACTCGAAGCGTATTCAACCCGAGGTATGACTGTAAAAACAATGTTAAATATTGTTATATATCGCTCAGTGTATTTTTCCATTGCCAGCAGTTCGCAGCTCTGCAGCTCCCACTGGTGTCAAATTTTTATAACTCATTTTTAATGTTATAACCGACCAGTGTAGATTAGTCCTAAGCCTACACCTCCTCAGAGAAAGGGATGCCTCTGCTGTTGACTGCAAACACCACATTTCCCAAGTTTTCTCAACAGCAGAAAACTCTGAGCTAGGAAAAAGGTCCCTGAAGCAGTGTGTCTCTAACGTATGTTGATTACATCCCAGCAACACAAAGTATCATCACGGTGCCCTAGCGGCACAGACGTAAATGTGACTCATTCATAGCTTAGTCCGAGCCAAAATTTAACAAGCTTTCAACCATTGCCAGGGATCAACCCTGGGGCGTGTGGAAGAATAAAGATGAGGGTGCTTCTGAACATATGCAGAGGGGTCTTTCCCTCAATCATGGCAGGCCCTCTATCCACAGGCCAAGCAACCCTCAACTTAAGTATCCTCTGAAAACGAGGGCAAAACTTTTAGTGGCTTCTGTGGGGTGGGATGTTAACTATTTTAAAATAGTTGTTATCTACCAAGAGTTTCCAAGGAGAGAGCTCTGAAGATTTGACTTGGAAATATCCTCCCTTGAGGGAGCAAACCTATACAGTGGTGCCTCGCAAGACGAAAAGAATCCGTTCCGTGATTCTTTTCTTCTAGCGGTTTTTTCGTCTTGCGAAGCAACCCCATTGGCGGCTAAGCGGATTAGCGCTATTAGCGATTTAGAGCTATTAGCGGCTTAGCGGGCTTAGCTGTTAAAAGGCTATTAACAGCTTAGCGGCTTTGAAAAAGGGGGGGAAGCGGGGGGGGAATGGCGAGACTCGCAAGACGTTTTCGTCTTGCGAAGCAAGCCCATAGGGAACTTCGTCTTGCGAAGCGCCTCCGCGACGGAAAACCCTTTCGTCTTGCGGGTTTTCCGTCTTGCGAGGCATTCGTCTTGCGGGGCACCACTGTATAATAAATAGGTAAAGGTAAAGGGACCCCTGACCCTTAGGTCCAGTCGTGACCCACTCTGGGGTTGCGGCGCTCATCTCGCTTTACTGGCTGAGGGAGCCGGTGTACAGCTTCCGGGTCATGTGGCCAGCATGACAAAGCCACTTCTGGCGAACCAGAGCAGCGCACGGAAACGCCGTTTACCTTCCCGCCGGAGTGGTACCTATTTATCTACTTGCACTCTGACGTGCTTTCGAACTGCTAGGTTGGCAGGAGCAGGGACCGAGCGACGGGAGCTCACCCCGTCACGGGGATTCGAACTGCCAACCTTCTGATCAGCAAGTCCTAGGCTCTGTGGTTTAACCCACGGCGCCACCCCCGTCCTATAGCGGTATATAAATATAAATAGTGGTATATAAATTCAATAAATAATGATAATCATCTGCATTTCCACCACCTACATTTCTGGCCATGCCTGGATCCTTCTTGCAGTCTTCTTCCTTTACAGTCCTAGCAGGAGGGCTCCCTTTCTTCCTCTTATCTTGAGCTTTCGTTGTTTTGAGGGGCTTGGCTGCAATTCTGTCACGTGGGGCATGGGCATGGTGCAGAGGAGCAGGAATGCCTTTAGTTTCAGCACCTTCCTGTTTGTCCTGGAGCTCTAGCGGTTCCCCTTTTGCAAAGAGCTCATGAGGTTTAGCTACTGGGGGAGCAAACGTTCTTTTGGGCACTTTCCCAGCTTCTGAAGTTGCAGAAAACACATCATGTTGGTTAGCACATCATAACATATGGTTAGTAACATAGTAACATCACAGAACGCATTTTGCTGCCTGAGACAGAAAATCCCAAGGCCTTCTTCAACCTGTCAAGTCTCCAGCTGTGCAGGCTGGAGCTGATGGGAGGTGGTGTCAAAAACATCTGGAAGGCACTGCTCAAGCCTTCTAAATCCTATTCTAGTCTTTTTTAAAAAAAAGGTTTGTTTTTTTAAAAAATGGTTGTTGTTTTTTTTAAAAAAGGATGGTTACTGCTGCCATCCTTTTATTTTAATGCTCCAGAATATGAGCAAACTTCTGCATCGGAAGACTGTGGTGTGACTTCATACTTCCTCTCAAAGCAGAGAATACCGTATATTTTGCTCTATAAGACTCACTTTTTCCCTCCTAAAAAGTAAGGGGAAATGTGTGTGCGTCTTATGGAGCGAATGCAGGCTGCGCGGCTATCCCAGAAGCCAGAACGGCAAGAGGGATTGCTGCTTTCACTGCACAGCAATCCCTCTTGCTGTTCTGGCTTCTGAGATTCAGAATAATTTTTTTCTTGTTTTCCTCCTCCAAAAACTAGGTACGTCTTGTGGACTGGTGCGTCTTATAGAGCGAAAAATACAGTGACCTTTGTCAATCTCATACCCCTGCTTTTGACAAGAGTGAAATTGACAGTTTTCGGCTTTGGCATCATTTGGGAAACAAAACCACAATTTTAACTGGAAAACACAATCTTCTTCTCTCTAGTGCTTAAGTGCACATCTAGTGACACATGTTGCTGCTGCTGCCGCCGCCGCCACTACATGCGGACACACACACACACACACACACACTTCTTTCCCTCCCCTGGAAGGATAAAATGGGAGTTTTTGCAATTTATTTAAGAGCTTGCAGAAAGTGGTGTGGTAAAGAGCCAGGGAGGGTGCTTTTTGTAGCACTGTGTGGAGCAGGAGCAGCCCCCCCCCCCCGCACGCACTACTTGCGCCTGAGAAACACGCCCACACCACACAGTACTTCCTTTAAAATAAATAAATGGAGCACACACTGATCTTACCGCCTTTATTGTTCTGACTTGTCATTATGTATCAGCGGTGTGTCTACACCGGGAGGTGTGCGTTTTTCGTCTAACTTAAGAAACGAGAGGGAAGGGGAAGGAAGAGAAAGCAATAAAAATACATGATTAGCTGTTTTTCTTTTTAAAGAGTTGTTATGTTCTTTGAGAAGATAAAAGACGGGGGACGGCCCCAGGATTTCCCTGCATTTCCTAAACCCTACCTTCAGATAGGAATCCCAACTGCGTAATCTAACCACAGTTAAAATCCGTGAGCTGTTCTCAATGCAGTCAAAGCATTATTTACAGAATTGTGTGTGTGTAGTGTGCTGTTCAATATTAATTTGGAATTAAACACTGTGATCTTCGAACGTTCTCTCAAATGTAAATTGGACCTTATAGCTTTCCTCCATAGGTACAACTGATTTTTTTTAAAAAAATAGAGAGGATCTATGCTGTTAATGGGACGCGGGTGGCGCTGTGGGTTAAACCACAGTGCCTAGGACTTGCCGATCAGAAGGTCGGCGGTTCGAATCCCCGCGACGGGGTGAGCTCCCGTTGCTCGGTCCCTGCTCCTGCCAACCTAGCAGTTCGAAAGCACGTCAAAGTGCAAGTAGATAAATAGCTACCGCCCCGGCAGAAAGGTAAACGGCGTTTCCGTGCGCTGCTCTGGTTTGCCAGAAGCGGCTTAGTCCTGCTGGCCACATGACCCGGAAGCTGTACGCCGGCTCCCTTGGCCAATAAAACGAGATGAGCGCCGCAACCCCAGAGTCGGTCACGACTGGACCTAATGGTCGGGGGTCCCTTTACCCTTTACCTTTATGCTGTTAATAATGATGGCTATGTTCTACCTCCACTGTCTAAGGATACCTTTGAACACCCGTTACTGAGATTCACAAGTGGGGAGAACACAGCTGTGTTCAAATCCTGCTTGCAGGTTTCCCATAATAGGCACCTGTCTGGCCACTGTGAGAACAGGATTCTGGACTAGATGGACCTTTGGCCTGATCCAGCAGCCGGGCTCTTTTTACATTCTTACATTCATTCTTGCACTGCACAGCAAGCAAAAACCAATTATTAAGGTATTCAGATTCACTGCAGAAGTACCACCTGTTGATTTCCGCCTATTGTGAAAAAGGCAGAGACCATGGGCGTAGCTAAGGGGGGGCTGGTAGGGGCAGCTGCCCCCCTAAATCAATAAAAATCAATGGCTGAGGTTCTGCCCCCCCCAACAAAAACCCTGGCTACACCCGTGGCAGAGACCCCTCTTCTCCTAAAAAGCTGGCAGCCCTCTGTGGAGGAGGGGTCTAAATTATATCGGAGGGAGCATTCACAAAACCACAACTTTTTGACACTGGGTTAATTAAACTGGATAATAAATACCTCCCCCCTTACATTTTCTGTTTTGCATTAAGGTTATTGTTAAGGCTTGATTACTGTTAAGGTTACGCAACCAGGATTTAGTTGACAAATGGCCTCTCTCCATTAAAACGGCCCCAGTGCTGCCTTGTTCCTGTCAAAAAAAATACAGGACACAAGAAGGCTGTGCTGCAATGCCTCTGGACCATCGTTGAACTGATGTTTGGTTTCTTGTTTCCAGACCTGACAGGCACATGCCCCCCAGAAGCAGAATGGTCGGAAACTTCTTAGCAGGGAAAAAAAGGAAGTGTTGGTTTTATTTATTTAATACGACCATCAGCCCTGGCTTTTCGTTTGTTATTTAAAAATCAAAGTGGATGCTGTTGGAAGTTTGAGTAGTATTTCATGGGTTAAAACGGAGTGAGGAATCTCCAGAATCCCAGACTACCCCTGCACTTTTAACTTCGTGATCTGACTTCCTATCTCAGTGACACACTTATTTTGCAATTTCCTTCTCACACTTCTCTCTTGGACTTCAAAATGAGAGGTCATCTATGCTCTGAGAAAACAAAAGAGCAAGCAAAGGAGCTAATTTTTCTATCCAAGATAGGTATATTTCCTGCAGTAAACACTCCAGTTTTCTTACCTACATTATTTTCTATGTATGTGATTACAAGTAAAATCTACTCTTCGCTAGTTTAAACGCTGCTCACTCTGCACACCAAAAATGTTTCAGTAGGTGACTGACCAGTCACAATTCCAAATTAATATTGAACAGCACACTACACACACACACACACACACACACACACACACACAATTAGAAACAAAACTGTAACCACGATCTGTGCTGCTTTACAACAGCTACATGCGCCGGGCTGGTTTAGATTCTTCTATGCGATCTCAAATAAGTTCAACCCTCTTGTACAGTGAGTTCAAGGGACTGTGATCTTTCAGGAACACAGCAGAGGTGCAAAGGAGTCCTTGTCTTTAAGAACATTGGAATACGCCTGCTGGCCCAGACCAAAGGCCTGTTTAATCCAGCTGTTATGAATAAAATGCACATCAATATTCACAACACAGGTTTCTGCTTACTAGAGTAGCCAGCCGGAAGCCCAGGAGCAGAGCAGGGAGGCAATAGCTGTCTCACTCACTATCTCTGCTGAGCAACTGATATTCCCCTGGGCGGCATTGCTGCCTCTGAGCCTGAAACTCCAGAGGGCTGCTCTTCATTTCAGAACACCGAGTCTCCATATAACACAATGAGTCTCTTCTTCGCATTCTGAGGAGGGCAGAATCAGAAAGCAGGGAAAGTTGCCTGGGGAAGCAACTAGCTCTGAGCACTTCCCAGTGCCTTGGGCGTTCTCTGCCTTCCCAGCAATCATATTGTGAGGTTTTTTCGTTTTTTAAAAAAGACAGGTTTCTAGTTCTCATGAGGCGGAAGTAATTGGTGAATAATAGGACCCCGTTATCACTTGCATGGGGGCTGAAACAAGGCTTTCTACACCGAATACATTTCTGTGTAAGAAATCTAAGTTTGACAGTTGTGCTTTCCCTCCCAGGAGCGCAAGCAAATAAAGATGGGGGAATATTGACCCCTAGCATCAAAGTTCTCACAAAACCCATTCGCATCATCCGCGTGACTTTACCCTCAAACCACACAAATCTCAACGCTTCCTCCCTGTATATTGGGGTTTACGCTATAACAAGCACAATCCAATGAATTGCAGGGGGCTTGGGCTCCAAACCACTCCACTCAGGATTCCTAACTATTGGTTTCAGTGTTTTGAGGTGGATATATCAGTCACCACTTTCTGCTACTCCTTTTTCCATGCCCACTACTTCCTCAGTGCTTTCATTCAGTTTCTGGCTGTGCTTGGAATTACCGTACTTTTCCGTGTATAAGATGGGGGGAAAGGGGGGGTAGTCTTATACACGGGGGCAATTCTCCCCCCATTTTCTTAATTTTGAGTCCCCCAAAACAGGGGGCATCTTATACACAGAAAAATACGGTTTTTTCAGCACTCTTGTTCCCAAAAAAGAGAGAGGGAAATCTGTGTGCATGGCCTGTTGGTACTTAATCAGCATTACAGAATCAACTAACTCAACTAAGGGGCTACATCCCAGGGGTGTAGCCAGGATTTTAGTTGGGGGGGGCAGGCCTTTTGTTGGGGTGGGCAGAACCTCAGTTAGCTATGTATTTTTATTGATTAGGGAGGGCAGCTGCCCTTCCCTGCCCCCCTTGGCCCATAGCTTGTCCACATCTCCCCTTGTCTCATGTCTAGAAAGCACAGGCCTGAGAGGCATTCTGCCACTTTCCCCAGGAAGGTAAAAGATAAAGGGACCCCTGACCATTAGGTCCAGTCGTGGCCGACTCTGGGGTTGCAGCGCTCATCTCGCTTTACTGGCCGAAGGAGCCGGCGTACAGCTTCCAGGTCATGTGGCCAGCAGGACTAAGCCGCTTCTGGCGAACCAGAGCAGCGCACAGAAACGCTGTTGACCTTCCCGCTGGAGCGATACCTATTTATCTACTTGCACTTTGAGGTGCTTTCGAACTGCTAGGTTGGCAGGAGCAGGGACCGAGCAACGGGAGCTCACCCCGTCGCGGGGATTCGAACCGCCGACCTTCTGATCTGCAAGTCAGAACCCACAGTGCCACCCGCGTCCCTTCCCCAGGAAAGCCCACTCTTTATCGCTGAATCGGATCAAATGTCAATTCCATGGAAAGCCCAATTGGTGTTTGTTCAGATTCATAGAAATCAAAGAACTGTAGAGTTGGAAGGGACCCCTGGGGGTCATCTAGTTCAAGGGACCCCTGGGGGGGTCATCTAGTTCAACCCCCTGCAATGCAGGAATCTCAGCTAAAGCATCGGTGACAGGTGGTTATCCAACCTCTGCTTAAAAACCTCCAAGGAAGGAGGGTCCACTACCTCCAGAGGGAGACCATTCCACTGTTGAATGGCTCTTAGGGTCAGAAAGTTCTTCCTGGTGTTTAAATCACAATCTCCCTTTCTGTAACTTGAAGCCAGGCTTCCCCTGGGGGAAGAGGCAGAACAAGCGGAAGTGTGAAGGAGCCCAAAGTAGGAATGCCTCTTGGTAATGAATGGGGAAGAGCAAAGTTGCTCCCCAAATTCAAATGCACGCTGGTGTGGACTACTCCAATCTAATTCAAATGAGAAGGGGAGTAGATCAAGAGCTAAACAATAATAGAAATTGAATCACAGAATTGCAGAGTTAGAAGGGACCCTGAAGATCACCACTGCATAGGCCTTTGGCGCAATTCAGCAGGGCTCTTAATGCAATTGTGTTCTTAAACCACATGCAAATCTAGTTATACTAACTTCTTTTACAAATTACAGAGAAATATGTAATTGCAAGATCTGGTAACATAGTCTGGATCCAATTCCATGAAACCCAGAGAAACAAATATTACCCATTTAAATTTTGCGAGGGGGAAAAAACTGAAAGACTCTGTGGTTTCAGAACAAGCAGGAGCTTGTTTTTATAGCTGGTGTGTCTGGGAGTTATGATGTGAAATGTGTTTTCTCTCACACTTTTCTTTTTTAACCACATGTGTCGGTCCCATCTTTCAATAGCATATTTGGATTTGCTTAAAAGGGACTTCTGTCCATTCATTGCGATCATATAAATGTGGGGTTGTGTTTATTTCCTTCTCTGATTACACAACTCTCAAGAAAGTGGGATTGAGAGTTCAGTATTTTTTTTTTACAGAGCTAGAATTTCATCACAGCCCTGCCACCCAAACCCTCAAATCTTGATATTGCAAGAAAAATAATAATAATAATAATAATAAAAACTCTCTTTAGCTACAAACTCAGTGGCGGAAATACAAAATGACCTGAATACATCTCTTGTGTCTAAAATCTTGAGCTCTTTAGCCAACTATTTTATAAGGATCTAAAAACGACTGTCTGAAGAAAGCCGCAATCCAACATCAAGTTATCCGGTGCCTTTAAATCTACAGTGGTGCCCCGCAAGATGAATGCCTCGCAAGACGAAAAACTCGCTAGACGAAAGGGTTTTCCGTTTTTTGAGTCGTTCCGCAAGACGAATTTCCCTATGGGCTTGCTTCGCAAGACGAAACGTCTTGCGAGTTCTTGCGAGTTTGTTTCCTTTTTCTTAAAGCCGCTAAGCCGTTAATAGCCGCTAAGCCGTTAATAGCCGCTAAGCCGCTAATAGCCGTGCTTCGCAAGACGAAAAAACCGCAAGACGAAGAGACTCGCGGAACGGATTAATTTCGTCTTGCAAGGCACCACTGTATTCAGTTAAATGGGTTTAATGAATGGTTGTTAAAGATAGAGTTCTATGCACGCTAACTTGAGAGGAAAACTCATTGAACAACGGGGCTTTACTTCCCTATAGGATTGCATGGCAGGTTTTAACAAGGATGTTGGGTGCTTTTGGGAATCCTTTGGGCCGCAACTTGGGCACCCAAGAAACCCTTAAATATACTGGGCAGGATTCAGGTAAAATTAAGCACATTCAGATCTGAAGAGTGTCTCCAGGGGAGAGATGATCTGCCCACAGACGTGCATGGCTTGATGGAGATTGTAAATAAGCCCCTTCTAAAAATTCTGATGAAACTAACTGTTGGAGGATGTGGCAGTGCTGGCCGTATCTATAGGGATCATCTTCTCCCCTAGGAATCTACCCACACCGACTTAGATCCGCTTGGATCCCTGCCCCTCGCCCGCCATCTTTGAAGATTAGGCATGTGGCGGTTACCAGGCAAAAGCTGCCCTCAAATATTATCACTACAACTGTTTTATCGCCATTTTATTTTATTTTAAATTATATTTTACTGGTATTTGCTGCTAGATCTCCCTGTTTTAGCCGATTGCCGGTTTTTACGGATGTTTAGAACTTGTTTCCCTTGTGTTTAATGTTTTTTGTGGGGGTTTTTTAATTGTCCATAAGCACTTTTTTCTCTTTTGGAAGGAAGCTGGGATGAAGTAACCTGAAATCAATACATTTTTCCCCCAGTGGGAGAAGTTGAAGCATGAGCTGAAGGGTCGCAAGAAAATAAACGGAAATGGGAAAAGTGCGAATGTCGGCAGGATTGTACTCTCAAAGGATAAACCTAAATTCTTTTCTGTTTTAAGACACCGTTTTGGTGCCTTTGAGCCAAATTTTGATGCTCTTTTTCGCATAATACACAAGATAACATCAAATTTCACTTAGAATCATGTAGATAGATCGATCCATTGGATCCCTTTTTAAGCTGGCAAGTGAGTTTAAGGCTCAAAACACATAAAGCTTCTGGCAGGCAACATTCAGTTTTGAAGTAAACATTAATTATCCCAACCGAGTATAATTCATTCACGGCAGAAGCCCCTTTCTGGAAGGCTCTGTTCTGATATCTGCAGCACTGGTAATTATTACTATTTCTGCTGCCTGTCGCCACTATTATTTTCGGCTCACACGAAGCACCCAGGAGCCGCTGAGGAGAATTTCATGAGGTAAAATAAACCTCATTTATTGCTTGTTGTGCTTTATAATGATGATGTCAAAATCTGGGGGCCGTCAGATGTCAAGGAAATAAACAACTATCTGACTTTTAGAAGACATCTGAAGGCAGCTCTGTTTGGGGAAGCTTTTAATGTTTAATAGGTTATTGTATTTTAGTGTTTTGTTGGAAGCCGCCCAGAGTGGCTGGGGAAACCCAGCCAGATGGGCACAGTATAAATAAATAAAAAATATTATTATTATTAATATTTGATTCTGTTTTTAATATTTTGCTGGGAGCCGCCCAGAGTGGCTGGGGAAACCCAGCCAGATGGGCACAGTATAAATAAATTTAAAAAAAAATATTATTATTATTATTATTAATGTTTGATTCTGTTTTTAATATTTTGCTGGGAGCCGCCCAGAGTGGCTGGGGAAACCCAGCCAGATGGGCACAGTATAAATAAATTTTAAAAAAAATTATTATTATTATTATTATTATTATTATTATTATTATTATTATTAATGTTTGATTCTGTTTTTAATATTTTGCTGGGAGCCGCCCAGAGAGGCTGGGGAAACCCAGCCAGATGGGCAGGGTATAAATAATAAATTATCATTATTATTATTATTGGATGCTGAGGTGCTGCCTTTTTCCTCACATATCAGGAAAAGGCGCTCTCCTCCCCTCAGCGAGGTATTTTATTCTAAGACCCCCGCAAAATGAGTCTTCTTATATGTAATCAGAGGCCTTTGGTTGCTGCTTTTCCCCCCCTTAACTCAAACTGGAGCGCTTTTCCTCCCTTTTAATTACCTCAGCAGAAACTCAAGGTCACTGACTGAGGGGAAGCGCTTAAGATTTTCAGGTTAGAATTTTGCCGCCTTTTCCTCCCCGCCCCTTCCCCCGCAACGCCTCCCAGGTCGCTCTCGCGCATGCGCCGAAACAAAAAAAAAAACCCTCTGCTGGGCGCGCGCAGGCGCGCCTCACCCTAACCAACCCTCGAGCGGGGCGCGAGGAGGGGGAAAGGAAGCCGAACTGCGCACGCGCCGCAGCCCAATCCGGGTCACGTCGCTGGGAGAAGTTGGAAATGCGGTAATGCGAAGGGAGGACTCGGCTCGCCCTCGAGGAAGACATCGGTCTTCGCGCATGCTCAGATTCGTCGGGTGGGGGGCGGAAAGAGCCTGGCGGCGCCATCCATCGCGCATGCGCAGCGGGAGGCGCTGCTGAAAATAAACCCACGTTGCTTTGCTCTCCCTCCTGCAGCGAAGGCTTTTTTTTTCCATTTCCGTGCCATTTATTTATTTATTGCATTGAGCAACCAGGGTAACCAGAAGGCAACCAGGGTAACCGCTGCAGCACCACTGGCTTACTTGGGAGTAGTAATAATAATAATAATAAATTTTATTTATACCCCGCTCTCCCCAGCCAAGACCGGGCTCAGGGCAGCTAACACCAAGTATAAAAACAATTGATTAAAATACAACTTAAAAACAACATTAAAATGCAGCCTCATTTCAGTAGAAACTCAAATCAAAAACTTTTGGGGGGATGAAAATGTCAAGTCTTCACCAAGGCCAACTATCCAGACTGGTCCTAAGTGGGGCAGAAAAAAGCCAGGGAAGTCCCCAAATAGGAGTTCCATCACAGAAGGAAAAAGGAAAGAGAGGGAGGGGATCAAGTTGATTCCAAGCCAAAGGCCAGGCGGAACAACTCTGTCTTGCAGGCCCTGTGAAAAGAAATCAGATCCTAAGTAAAACTCCCTGGACTTCAGTAAGACTCCCTGATTGCTGAGTGAAGATGCACTGTTGGGTTTTCCCATTGGGGAAAAGGCTAAGAAGCAGCAGAAGACAGCTTGGTTTCCATACACCCTCAAAGAAACCTTCTATACACAGCCCTTCCTGTCTTTTAACTCTGGTTTGTATCACAGCGTCATGGAAACGAAGACGGCTCATTTGCTTATTTCGAAAACGGGCGCTCTCTCACCTCCAGCGTCCTTGCTCCAAGGTTGGCAAACAGAGCATCAACAAGGTTTTGTTTTCAATTACGAATTAACCTGCTTTTTTCATTTTAAAAAGAGGCTTTCAATTATTTGAATTGTGGAGTTGGAAGGGACTGTGAGGATCAAACTGGGGCTCAAACCCACAACCCTGAAATTAACCCTGAGACATCTGAAGGCAGCCCTGTTTAGGGAAGTTTTTAATGTTTAATAGACTACTGTATTTTAATATTCTGTTGGATGCCTCCCAGAGTGGCTGGGAAGCCCCAGCCAGATAGGCGGGGTGTAAATAAATTATTATTATTATTATTATTATTATGAGTCTAATGCTCTCCCAACTGAACTATGACAGGCCTTTTTAAAAGCACCCTAAAGTCACTGTGTAGGGATGCGGGTGGCACTGTGGGTTAAACCACAGAGCCTAGGACTTGCCGATCAGAAGGTTGGCGGTTCGAATCCCCGCGACAGGGTGAGCTCCCATTGCTCGGTCCCTGCTCCTGCCAACCTAGCAGTTTGAAAGCACGTCAAAGTGCAAGTGGATAAATAGGTACCACTCCAGCGGAAAGGTAAACGGCGTTTCCGTGCGCTGCTCTGGTTCTCCAGAAGCGGCTTAGTCCTGCTGGCCACATGACCTGGAAGCTGTACGCTGGCTCCCTCGGCCAATAAAGTGAGATGAGCGCCGCAACCCCAGAGTCGGGCACGACTGGACCTAATGGTCAGGGGTCCCTTTACCTTTTTAAAGTCACTGTGAGAGTCAAGTGTAGTCAGACTAGGACTTGGAAGACACCAGGGTTCAAATCTCTCAGCCATAAAGTTCATTTGGGTGACCTTGGGCCAATCACTGCCTTCTCTCAGCCATAGCTACCTCAGAAGATGGTTGTGAGGATCAAATGAGGAGTGGGAGCTCCATGGATGTAAAGACAATTAATAAATAAATACAATTGCAGCGGTTTGCAAACTCACAAATAATAACAGTTTAAAACGAATGCCAAACTTTTGTAAACCAAGAAAATCTTTCATAAAAAAATGAATGTCAACAACAAATAAAGGTTTAGCAACAATTTTTTTTAAAAAAAGAGTAAAAATTATTACTATTTTTAAATAGTAATGGCAAAGGTCTCCAAGCAACATACAATACATTTGTTGTTACTGGCATCTGACTGTCTCAGCAGACAATGGAGGAGTGTGCCTTTGGGAAATCACTGAGCGAGCTGCTCCAGCTGCAGAATAGGCTTTCTCAGGAGGTGGTGAAGGACTCTCTCTCTCTTCCCATACAGCAGTTATAGGCAAACTATAAACCTGCCAACCTAGCAGTTCGAAAGCACCTTCGGGTGCAAGTAGATAAATAGGGACCGCTTACTAGCGGGAAGGTAAACGGTGTTCCGTGTGCTGCGCTGGCTTGCCAGAGCAGCGATGTCACGCTGGCCACGTGACCCGGAAGTGTCTGCGGACAGCACTGGCTCCCGGCCTATAGAGTGAGATGAGCGCACAACCCTAGAGTCTGGCAAGACTGGCCCGTACGGGCAGGGGTACCTTTACCTTACCCTCCAGTTGTTTTGGCACTACAACTCCCATCATCCCTAGCTAACAGGACCAGTGGTCAGGGATGATGGGAGTTGTAGTCCCAAAACATCTGGATGGCTGTTTGCCTATGCCTGACGTACAGGCTTTCAAGCGGAGGGCTGGGCGGCCTCCAAACATGTGTGTTTGCAGCAGGGTGGACTAGATTGGCCTTGGCTCCCCCCTGATGGGAGTTGCAGTCTAGCAACTAGGTCCCATCACCTCCTGGCAAAGAGAAGGGGAAGAAATGGAGGCAGTGAGAGATTTTACTTTCTTGGGCTCCATGATCACTGCAGATGGTGACAGCAGCCACGAAATTAAAAGACGCCTGCTTCTTGGGAGAAAAGCAATGACAAACCTAGACAGCATCTTAAAAAGCAGAGACATCACCTTGCCAACAAAGGTCCATATGGTTAAAGCTCTGGTTTTCCCAGTCGTGATGTATGGAAGTGAGAGCTGGACCACCAAGAAGGCTGATCGCCGAAGAATGGATGCTTTTGAATTCTGGTGCTGGAGGAGACTCTTGAGAGTCCCATGGACTGCAAGAAGATCAAACCTCTCCAGTCTGAAGGACATCAGCCCTGAGTGCTCACTGGAAGGACAGATCCTGAAGCTGAGGCTCCAAGACTTTGGCCACCTCATGAGAAGAGAAGACTCCCTGGAAAAGACCCTGATGTTGGGGAAGATGGAGGGCACAAGGAGAAGGGGACGACGGAGGACGAGATGGTGGGACAGTGTTCTCGAAGCTACCAGCATGAGTTTGACCAAACTGCGGGAGGCAGTGGAAGACAGGAGGGCCTGGCCTGCTCTGGTCCAGGGGGTCACGAAGAGGCGGACACGACTAAACGACTCAACAACAACTAGGTGATATTTGAGGGAGTTCCCTTTCACCTCTACGATTCTGTGTAACAGGTGATGTGAAAGGGACCTTTCTGTGCCTGAGGCCCTGGACTGCTGCTGCTGCTGCTGCTGCTGCCAGTCAGTGCTTGACAATACCGTGCCAGCGCAATCAACAGAGTCGGAAGGGACTCCCAAAGGCCATCTAGTCCAACCCCCTTCGGTGCAGGAATGGCAGCGAAAGGAGGCGGCTTCCTACTCGGGAGGAGGAGCGCGTCCTCCGCCAAGATTGCCAAGGCCCGTCGACAACACACCCGTGAAGTCACTAAGGCAAAAGGCTCAGGAGCGCGTGCAGCACCGTTCCCACGTTCGCTGCTCTCCACGGAAGATAAAAGGAGCTCGTGGAGGGGGCATATGCCCCTGCGCATGCGCGAAAGCCTCAGCCTCCGAGCCCAAACTACAGGTCCCACGGGGCTTTGCGCGCGTCGGGGGCCTGGGGAAGCGAGGCCACGTGACCCTTGACAACTGTCCATATTGGGAGCCTTAAAAAACCCCAAAACAACGTTCTTTGCTTGTGTTTGTGTGGAGTTTCATTATACACAAAGGCGAAAGGCGCTGACACTCCACAGCGCCTTTCCCCTCAGACTGAAGAGGAGTCTGTCCATAGCGCTTGGCAAGAGCCAATGTTTCTGAGGGGAAAAGATCCGGGAGCTTGGTTAGGTGGCTAAATCAATGCCTGGAAAAACCACTGACTAGATTTTGGGGGCATATTTTTCGCAGCTGTCAGCTCTCGCCCTGCGCTGAGAACTTTTTAATAATATTATCTGTCAGGAAATAGATGTGCCTAGGTCGGTCGTTTCTTTTTCTGGCTTTGGAACCTGACGTAACGCTGCCACAGGCGCTTGACCAAGACCGCCCTCTGCAACCGAGGACCCTCACCCACACTCGGGAGAAAAATTAGCTTGGAGTGTTGCGCCTTGATTGGCCGCAGGCGCTCCGGCCCTGCTTCCTCATTGGCTCACAGGGAAACGAAAAGGCGGGAGGAAGGCGGGGAGCCGCGGCTCCTCGAGAGCCCTGTGGCCCAGCCGCCGATTGGCCGAGAATCCACGCGGGCGGTGACGGCTCCGAACGCCGATTGGCCCTTTCTGCGAGGAGGGGGCGTGCCCTCGGGCGGACCCGCCCTCCGCGCATATAAACCCCGAGCGCAGGGGGAGCTGGCCATCGCAGGAAAGCAGCGGGCGCGGAGCGCTCTCCCTCTGGCTAGCTGCGGAGCTGCGCATGCGCTAGGGACTTTGGGGCGGAGCGGACACGGAGAGAGAGAGATGAGTCTGTTCGTGCGCGCCGGGACCTGAAATTCCGGGGGAACTGCGCACGCGCGCCGGGCCTGCGCACGGGCGGCGAGCTCGACGGCGCAGGCGTAGGAGGGGCTCGCGCGGGGCGGGAGGAGGAGCCTCGGCAGCCTCGAGCTCAGTGTGCGGCGGGAGGCGGACGAGGAAGGAGCTCCCGGCCCGTTAACCCTTTCCCCGCCGCCGGTGCCTCCTCCGCCCCCGCCGCCGCCTCCGCCAACCCATGCAAGGCATGATCGAGATGGCGGCGGACAAGGAGACCTTCTTAGTGCCGGCCCCGCCGCCGCCCCTCCTCAAACCCCCGCCCCGAGGAGGAGGGGGCGGGGCCGGAGGGGGGGACGTCCCCCTGGTGCAGCTGCGTCAGGGGGCCGCCCCGGCGGACCTACACCAGGAGGACGCCCAGCCAGCAGCAGCAGGAGGAGGAGTTGCTCATAGGGGCCCCTCCTCCGCCAGGATAAACCAGGGGCCCCAGGACCCTCACCCCCCCGCCCAGCGCAGACCCCCAGCCAAAGGAGGGGGTCCCGCAGCAGCAGCAGCGTCCGAAGAAGGGGAAGACAGCGTCTCCGACCTGCAACGGCCCCGCAATGGCTTCCAGCCCCCGCCCCACCACCAGCCCCGGGCCCCCGGCGGGGGCAAGAGGCGCAGCAGCTGCAACACCGGCGGCGGAGGCTTCAAGCACCCGGCCTTCAAGCGGCGCCGGCGCGTCAACTCCGAGTGCGACCCGGTGCTGCCCTCCGAGTTCCTGCTGGGGGGCAACATCTTCGACCCGCTCAACCTCAACAGCCTCCTGGACGAGGACGTCAACCAAGCCGTCAACGCCGAGACCCCCAAGTCGTCGCCGCTGCCCGCCAAGGGACGGGACCCGGTGGAGATCCTGATCCCCAAGGACATCACCGACCCGCTGAGCCTCAACAACGCCCAGGAGGACCCCCCGGTGCTGGCGTCGCCCGTCAAGCCCGGGCGGAAGCGGCACCGACACCGGGGGGCGCAGAGGGGGGCGGCCGGGCTGGAAGGAAGCGGCGGCGGCAAACCCCCGCTGCCCGCCTCGTGCAAAGCGTGCCAGAAGACGTGTAACGGGGCCACGCCGCAGCCCTACGAACTCAACACGGCCATCAACTGCCGGGACGAGGTGGTGTCGCCCCTGCTGCCGGCCGCAGGGGAGACTCAGCCCGGGCAGCAGGCCTCCGGGGGCGCCACGCCGTCAGGCACTTCGGTGGCCTCCTGGACGGCCGGGGGCAGCAGCAGCAGCCGCCATCACCGCAAGCGGCGCAGGACTAGTAGCAAGTCAGAGGGAGGAGGAAGCCGGCATCCGGGGGCCTCCACGTCCGGCGAGCAGCCCTGCCGTAGCAGCCCGGACCGGGGGCACAGCGTGCCGAGGGGCCGCCACCCTCCGGCTGCTTCTGGCCAGTCGGTCCGGCGCCAGCCGCCGCGCCACAAGTTCCAGTACGGCAACTACTGCAAGTACTACGGCTACCGCAACCCCAGCTGCGAAGACCCCCGCCTGCGGGTGATGAAGCCCGAGTGGTTCCAGGGCAAGGAGGTTCTGGACGTGGGCTGCAACGTCGGGCACCTCACCTTGAGCGTGGCTAAGAAGTGGGGCCCCGCCAGAATAGTGGGGGTGGACATTGACGGCGCCCTCATCCACTCGGCCCGCCAGAACATCCGGCACTACCTTTCGGAGGAGATGCAGCAGCAGCAGCGGGACCACGATGGTGGTGGCACCAGCAGCAGCGAAGGGGCCAGGCGTGCCAAGAAAACCTTCCCGGCCTCCCTCATGGCCAGCCGAGGGCCCATCGCTGCACCGAGGGTACCCCAGGACGGGGTGGACGCCACGGTCTTCCCCAACAACGTGTTTTTCGTCAAGGTAAGGCGAGAGAGAAGACCGCGGAAATTATGGTTTCTCAGCTTGTAGAAGCTCTAGGGAAGAGGTCTGAAAATCTGGCTTTTTCAGCTTTGCCTTTTAAGGTGCACCGTTAAAATACGCCAGTTTAAAGTTGATTTGGCACCAGTTGCCTTGTCACAGTTCCTTTTCCCAACATTCCTTAGAACTGCCATTTCCCAGCATTCCTCAGTGCAAGGGGTGGTAGGCTTAGAATCCTAGAATTGTGGGGTTTGGAGATTTCACCAGGGGTCATCTAGCCCAACCCCCTGCAAGACAGCGGGGGGCAGATTGGGGGGGGCACTGGGAGGGTCCACATGGCAGTTACTTTCCTACATGTGCAGGCATGCCGTGAAGGAATAAGGATGGGGAGGAGGCGGCAACATCCTGTCACGTTCTACCAAGGCCGCCTCTCGGAAGGGAGGAGCCAATGAGGCTTTTCCTTCTGACTGGCCGACCTCGGCAGAGTGACGCGATTGGCCCAATTGGGGTGGAAGGGTGGGAGGATTAGGAGGGAAACTTCCTGTCCAAGAGGAGGGGGAGGGGGCAAGACTGGACCACTGTCTCCAGGCATCTGGCTTAGCTGTTTGGGAACAGCAGAAAGGCTGGGCAAAGCCCAAAGGCCCCACATAAAGAACTGGGCCTTTGGGAGGATTTCGGGGAGAGGCAGGTGAGACCCGATACCCATGTGCAACTCCCTTCCAAGGAGTGGTTGTGGGGGTGTAGAACGTCTCCCTCCCCGCCCCCGCCCCCCCCCCGGTTAATTGGGTCATTAAGAACAATCACTCTTTGAGCCTGCAATAAATCCAGTTGCCAGATCAGCTTCCAAAGCGTAGAACAATCTCTGAATTCTGGTTGCTCAAGGCCGCAGGAGGGGAAAGAGGTCTTGAGCTCGAATTCCGCTTTTGGGCTTCCCGTAATCATCTAATTGGCCCCTGTGAAAACAGGTGGATGATCCAACAGGCTGTTCTTGAGTTTATGCCCAGTGCAGTTTGGCGATTTAGTTCCCTTTCCCCTCTCTGTTGCTGATGGTGGCTTGCAATTTCCAACGGCTGACATTCAGACGCATTGCTGCCTCTGACTGTGGACAATTGTGACAAGTAGCCATCGATAACAACAACAATAATAATAATAATATTATTATTATTTATATCCCGCCCTCCCCAGCCGAAGCCGGGCTCAGAGCGGCTAACAACAGTAAAACGATAACACATTCTAAAACCATTTCATTATAAAATTAATTCCAATCAAATTAATGGCAACCATTGGGCTAGAGTTCTGTGAGGATTGCCAAAGGAGGGGGTCAGACTGTGCCCTGGCCAAAGGCCTGGTGGAACAGCTCCATCTTGCAGGCCCTGCGGAAAGATGTCAAGTCCCGCAGGGCCCTGGTCTCTTGTGACAGAGCCTTCCACCAGATTGGAGCCACGGCCGAAAAAGCCCTGACTCTGGTGGAGGCCAGCCTAACCTCCCTGTGGCCCGGGACCTCCAAGATGTTTTTGTTTGAAGGCCGTAACTTCTTCTGTGGGACATACCAGGAGAGGCGGTCCAGTACGTACTAGGGTCCTAGGCCGTATAGGGCCTAGCCCTCTCCTCCATGAATTTGCCTAGTTCTCTTCTAAAGCCATCCCGGCTGGTGGCCATGTGGGAGGGAGTTCCGCAGCTTAACTTCAGTTCCTTGACTGGACCTGTTTGCTTAATGTTTCTCCAGGGATGGAGATTGGTAGGGAAAAGGATGTCCTGACAATTGCTTGGGGTTTTTTTTCGGGGGGGGGGTGCCTCCTTGTTACTCTTTTAAGTTTGTCCCATTGAGCGGGCAATGGGGCTTCCTGGGGAGGAAGGGAGCCCACGGTCACCCCTTGGCACCTCCAGTTGAAGGATCCTGGGCAGCAAGATGCCACAGCTGAGACACCCTTTACCCGGAGCCCGCCGGCGCTGGGTGGAAGAGGCCACAAATCGTGTGCATCTTAATGGCTTCTCCTTCTGTGTAAAGCGTTGGCATGACAGGGCCCCTGGTGCCTGACGAGGATCCTTGGTTGTGTTGGCAGCGGGGTTGCAGTCAGGGTGAGGCCAGGAAGGCCTTCATGCAGAAATTGGGAGGGGAAGGACGCAGAAGGAGGTGGAAGAAAGGGAGAGCTCAGCTGAAGTCTCTCCCAGGCACCTTGCTCATAGGGCCAGCTTGATGAAGAAACCCTCCCCTGTGCTGTTGTGACACCAGCCTGCCCTCAGCCTTTGATGCGCTGGGCTCAAAAGGGAGATCAAGTGTCGGTCGTCCCGCCTCATCTGCCCTAACAACAAGCCCAATTCCCCCTGAGCAAGGAGCTCTGTTGGAGCTGGGAGCTGAGCGGCCCTCTGGCACATAAGTGGGCGGGCAGGATCCCTTGGCTGTCTCCTTCTGCAGCCAAGCTGCTGATTAGCTCTGCCCACTGGAAAGCCATGCAGAGGTTGATTGGGGCTGGCTGGCTTCCCACCCACCCGACAGGTCCAGCGGGGGTGACGTGTGGAAGAGACACTTTCAACCCTGGAAAGCAGAGTGAGTGAGTGAGTGTGTGTGTGTGTGTGTGTGTGTGTGTGTGTGTGAAGTGGTCTGATTTTGGGGCCCTTGCAACTCTGGAAAAAATATTTCATACAGAAAAAATACAAAACTTCAGGTTACAGGCGCTTCAGGTTACACACTCCGCTAACTCAGAAATAGTACCTCGGGTTAAGAACTTTGCTTCAGGATGAGAACAGAAATCGCGTGGCAGCGGGAGGCCCCATTAGCTAAAGTGGTGCTTCAGGTTAAGAACAGACCTCCAGAATGAATTAAGTTCATAATCCTAGGTACCACTGTATTATTATTGCTTATTATTATTATTTATTATTTATACCCTGCCCATCTGGCTGAGTTTCCCCAGCCACTCTGGGCAGCTCCCAATCGAGTGTTAAAAACAACACAGCAATAAACATTAAAAACTTCCCTAAACAGGGCTGCCTTCAGATGTCTTCTAAGCGGCAGATAGTTGTTTATTTCCTTGACATCTGATGGGAGGGCGGGCGCCGCCACCGAGAAGGCCCTCTGCCTGGTTCCCTGCAACCTCACTTCTCGCAGGGAGGGAACCGCCAGAAGGCCCTCGGCGCTGGACCTCAGTGTCTGGGCTAGAACGATGGGGGTGGAGACGCTCCTTCAGATATACAGGACCGAGTTGTTCTTATTATTACTACTATTGTTTATTACATTTGTATACTGCCAAAGATCAGAGGGGCGGTTCACAACATAAAAAGACAAAATGAGAGCACAAAACACACAATGCAATAAAAACAAGCCAATAAACTCCCCCCAAACGTTTGTGATTAAAACCTAGCTGTTTTCCTGGCCCTCTTCCCTGTCCCAGCAGGAGCAGAAGAGTGGACTCGCCTAGACAATATTCACCCCTCTCTCTCTCTGGGTGAGGTTGCCCCTCTCTGCCAGGGCTAGTTCCAGAGCTATCTAGCCAAGGTGTTGGAAGTGGCTTAATTGGCAGACTCTGGGGCCTCTGGTTGGCCACAGTGAGAATACGATGCTGGACTACAGGGGCCCCCTTTGGCCTGAACCACCACGTTCTCCTTGTGTTCTTACGGGACTATTGTTTCAGGTTTGTTTGCTTCTTTTGCAGGGGGTGGGGCACAGAATAGCACTTTCTCTCCTGCTACCCATGTTCTGATGCGGGTGGCGCTGTTAAACCACAGAGACTAGGGCTTGCCAATTGGAAGGTCAGCGGTTCGAACCCCTGCAATGACGGGGTGAGCTCCCGTTGCTCGGTCCCTGCTCCTGCCAACCTAGCAGTTTGAAAGCACACCAGTGCAAGTAGATAAATAGGTACGACTCCGGCGGGAAGGTAAACGGCGTTTCCTTGCGCTGCTCTGGTTCACCAGAAGCGGCTTAGACCTGCTGGCCACATGACCCGGAAGCTGTACGCCGGCTCCCTCGGCCAGTAAAGCGAGATGAGCGCCGCAACCCCAGAGTCGGCCACGACTGGACCTAATGGCAGGGGTCCCTTTACCTTTACCCATGTTCTGGAGTCTGGTTTTTTGCTCGGCTGAGGAGCGGCTGTGGCCTTGCTTCACTTCTCCTGTTGGGAGAGCCTGCTTAGTGACTTTCAACATGTCCAGTGGTGATTGTGCAAGGAGACCGGCTCTCTTATTTATTTTGGTGAGGGGTGGGGCAGGTGGCATTTGGACTGCGCTGGGGAGAGGGCCGCCCTCTGGGTAGCAGAATGTGCATCTAGTGGGTTAGTCTTCAGCTTCTCTAATGGATCTCCCTCCCACCCTACTTTTTCTCTTCCCGCCCCCCCCCCTCTTGCAGGGCAACTACGTGCTGGAGCAGGACGAGCTGCTGGAGGCCCAGAAGCCCGAGTACGATGTGATCCTGTGCCTCAGTCTCACCAAGTGGGTGCACCTCAACTGGGGCGACGAGGGCCTCAAGCGCCTCTTCAAGCGCTTCTACCGCCACCTGCACCCGGGCGGAATCCTGATCCTCGAACCCCAGGCCTGGTCCTCCTACGGCAAGAGGAAGAACCTGACGGTGAGCCCAGAGGTTTGCAGCTGGGCTGGGGGGTGGAGAGCGTGGCTTCCTCTGCCTCCTTATCTCTTGGACAGCCATGTTGTTGTTGTTGTTTAGTCTTTTAGTCGTGTCTGCTTCTTCGTGACCCCCTGGACCAGAGCACGCCAGGCACTCCTGTCTTCCACTGCCTCCTGCAGTTTGGTCAAACTCATGCTGGTAGCTTCGAGAACACTGTCCCACCATCTCGTCCTCCGTCGTCCCCTTCTCCTTGTGCCCTCCGATCTTTCCCAACATCAGGGTCTTTTCCAGGGAGTCTTCTCTTCTCATGAGGTGGCCAAAGTCTTGGAGCCTCAGCTTCAGGATCTGTCCTCCCAGTGCGCACTCAGGGCTGATTTCCTTCAGAATGGATTGGTTTGATCTTCTTGCAGTCCATGGGACTCTCCAGAGTCTCCTCCAGCACCAGAATTCAAAAGCATCCATTCTTTGGCGATTAGCCTTCTTTATGGTCCAGCTCTCACTTCCATACATCACTACTGGGAAAACCAGAGCTTTAACTATACAGCCGTACCTCGTGTTAAATGTGCTTCAGGTTGAGCGCTTTCGGGTTGCGCTCCGCGGCAACCCGGAAGTAACGGAGCTCGTTACTTCTGGGTTTTGCTGCTCGCGCATGCGCAGGCGGTCAAAATGACGTCACACGCGAAAGCTGAGAATCACCAGACGCGCAGTCACGGGTTGCATTCGCTTCTGGGTGCAAACGGGGCTCTGGAACGGATCCCGTTCGTATCCAGAGGTACCGCTGTATGTGGCATAACCCACCCAGACCTGTGGGATATAAATAACAACAAAACTTAATTATTATTGTAAGCAGGTGGCTTAGTGTGGCCAGTTCCTAGTGGGGCAGTCGGGCATTGCTGCCCTCCTTGAGATACAGGCCTGTATTGGGTGCAGGCGGCACAGTGTGTCTGTGCGTCTGGCTGTTAACCAGAAGGTTGGTGGTTCGAGCCCACCCAGGGATGGCTGCGGGCAGGATTCTGCAGTGCAAAGGGGCCGGCCTAGGTGACCTTCAGGATCCCTTCCAATTCTACAATTTTAGGACTCTTGAGTCCTGAAATTGCAAGCGATTTCCGAGGGCCATCCACTCCTACCTCCTGCAATGCAGGGATCGCAGCTAAAGCATCCTTGGCAGGCAGCCCCCCTGCCCCAACCCCTGCTTAGAAACCTACGAAGGAGAGCGCGCCATCTTCCGAGGGCATCATCATCATTTTTAATTTGTATCCCGCCTTTCTATCTTACAATACTCAAGGCGGTTGACAAGCCGAAGAAAGAAAAAATGTACATCTTGTAACAATCTGATGCAATACAAAAATGTGATAATAAAACATAACTTTAAAATAGGCAATCTCCATCAAAAAAGTAACATTCAACGATCATTGGAATAGTATAAAATAATATCAACATATAAAAGTTAAACAGAAACCCACCCAACAGTTACAATAATATCTAAACCAGGGGTCTGCAACCTTTAAGACAAAAAGAGCCACTTGGACCCGATTCCGAAGAAAAAAAAACCTGGGAGCCGCAAAACCATTGCGACATTTAAAGCATGCGCGTCGCTGCCCTCCGATCTGACAGCGGGTGGGAAGGTGACGTCGGGATGGTGTGTGACTAACACACGCACTGCCCCCATGCGACGTCACAGCCAGTACAGTGCCTGCCACAGCGGGGAGTGTCGGGGTGCACAATGCGCCTCCTCCCCTCGCTAGTATCCGCCCCAGAGCCGCAGCAAAGGTGTAAAAGAGCCACATGCGGCTCCGGAGCCGCGGGTTGCAGACCCCTGATCTAAACTATGATCAATAAAAACAACGGCAAGCCACAGTACGTAAAACGATAGAATACACATTGATAAGCAGAGGGAAGAGCAAGGCAGGTGGAAGGAGGCCTTGCCTGGTGGAGTATCTCCCCTCGCAGTTCTTCCTCCAGGAACAGCTCCCAGAAAGTTCTTCCTGCTGTTTAGGCGGAACCTCCTTTCCCGTCCTTCGGATCTGTTGCTTTGGGTCCCGTCCCTCCCTCCAGGGCAGCAGAAAGCAAGCTTGCTGCACCGTCCACGCGACGGCCCTTCAGATATCTGAAGATGGCTCTCGCATCACCATATCGCTCCTACCCCGGAAGGCCTTGCTGCAGTTCAGCAGCCCAGGCCGAAACCGCCAGCCTTGCTTGTTCAAGGATGCCAGAGAGAAATAAAGATGGTAGCAGGGAGGAGAGAGGCAGAGGTGGGCTCAAGGGACCAGCCAACTTGGGGGGGCGGGTAGTGATCACGGGGGGGGGGGCGGGTAGTGATCACGGTGCCCAACAGGCACAGGTCGCCAAGCTTAACTACTGTATTTTTCGCTCTGTAAGACTCCCTGGAGAAGACACTGATGCTGGGAAAGATGGAGGGCACAAGGAGAAGGGGGCGACAGAGGACGAGATGGTTGGGTAGTGTTTTCGAGGTTACCAGCATGAGTCTGACCAAACTGCGGGAAGTAGTGGAGGACAGAGGTGCCTGGCGTGCTCTGGTCCATGGGTCACGAAGAGTCGGACACGACTAAACAACAACAAGACCCACCAGACCACAAGACGCACCTAGTTTTTGGAGGAGGAAAACAAGGGGGGAAAATATTCTGAATCTCAGAAGCCAGAACAGCAAGAGGGATCGCTGCGCAGTGAAAGAAGCAATCCCTCTTGCCGTTCTGGCTTCTGGGATAGCCGCGCAGCCTGCATTTGCTCCATAAGACACACACACAGGTCGCCAAGCTTAACTACAGTATTTTTCGCTCTGTAAGACTCACCAGACCACAAGACGCACCTAGTTTTTGGAGGAGGAAAACAAGAAAAAAATATATATTCTGAATCTCAGAAGCCAGAACAGCAAGAGGGATCACTGCGCAGTGAAAGCAGCAATCCCTCTTCCTGTTCTGGCTTCTGGGATAGCTGCGCAGCCTGCATTCGTTCCATAAGATGCACACACATTTCCCCTTACTTTTTAGGAGGGGAAAAGTGAGTCTTATAGAGAGAAAAATAAGGTACGTGCCAGTTGCCCCAGGGCCAAGTGACCAGGCGAGATTGACGTGGCACAATCCCTTCCCGCTGCTAAGTTCCTCTTCCCTGCTCCATTTTTGGTCTCCCTGTGGGAGGATGCGCTCAGGATCCCAACACAGGAGCAAGGAAGCAGCTTTGGACTTTCTGCATTCATGGCAGGCCCTTCCTCATGCCATACGAAACGAGGGCTGCCAGGGTCCAGTGCTGCTGTATCATCCCAAACGTGTTCAGAGCCAGTTGTGTTTTCTGTTTGGGTCAAGGGCCAGAGCACTCTGCGCATGCTTGGGGCTCCCCACTGTTAACGGAGAAATCTGAGGGCTCCCTTGGACAAAAAACAAGGACCCCAGCCAGGAATACCAGAGCAAAACAGCAGCCAGGAGGCTTGGTCTTGATTGAAGACTGTCGCGACAGGACTCCCACCTGCCACCAGGTGGAACAAGATGGAAGCCCCGAACAAAAGAGAACCCAAACTTTTATTAGCTGCTCATCCCAATGTTACTCCCCCCCCAAACTACATCACTCATACATCACGGTCACATCATGAAAGGGGAGGTCTGGTGGCCATAATCTGAGCATCCTGGACCCTGCCCCATGGTTCCCCTTGCCCTCCACCAAACACCCAAGTGTAAGAAAAGAGATATTTACATTTTCCTGTTTCCCAGCCAAGTGAATCACACCCTTTTGTCTTCACCTGGGTTTGTTATTTCTGGAATGGCTACCTGTCTGGCACTCAGGTATCAGGAGGCCAGGGATGATCACTCAGGCAGAGGGGCTGCTGAGGAGCTGAGCTCACAGGTCTATATGAATGTCTATATGAATTTTCCAGGGAGCCGGTACAGAAATACATTTATCAGTGAATTCTTGCATTTGGTATCGTGCAGCAAAGGCCCTTTGAATAGATAGGAAGAAACTGTGATGAAGTGTTTTGTGGGGACAAATCACAAAAGTCCCAAAAGCGATTGTGCTGGTTTTGGTAGTGGGCTGCATGTGCATGATATCTGCTGGAGGGGCAACACACCCCCCCAACCTATACATAAATCCCTGCAACACCACCTACTGCATCATACAGTCGCGCGCGCTGCCGGCACTGATTTCTTCTCTGCCCTCCTTTCCCAGGAAACAATATGCAGGCATTACTACCGGATCAAGCTGAAACCAGACCAGTTCCCCTCTTACCTGACTTCGCCAGAAGTGGGCTTCTGCAGCTACGAATTGGTGGCCACACCCAGGAACACATCAAAAGGTATCAAGCCTCTGAAGTGAACCTCTGGGTGGGAGCGGGAAGAAGGGGAGCCCCACCTCGCGTGTTTATAAGGCGAGGGTCTAGAGGGGTGAGGTTTGCAGCCTTCAGTTGTGCTGCCCTGAGAACCTCTTAAATCCTGGGCCAGGCTTGGCTCTGAGCTGAATTGCAACAGGCCCTGAGAGGGTGGATCTGGATTGTGAGACTGGACAGAATGGAAGCAGACAACCTGCATTTTGGGGGTGGGGAGGGGAACCACTGGAATACAGTGGTACCTTGGGTTACATACACTTCAGGTTACATACGCTTCAGGTTACAGACTTCACTAACCCAGAAATAGTGCTTCAGGTTAAGAACTTTGCTTCAGGATGAGAACAGAAATCGTGTTCTGGCGGCGCGGCGGCAGCAGGAGGCCCCATTAGCTAAAGTGGTGCTTCAGGTTAAGAACAGTTTCAGGTTAAGAACGTACCTCCGGAACGAATTAAGTACTTAACCCGAGGTACCACTATATTGGGATGCGGGTGGCGCTGTGGGTTAAACCACAGAGCCTAGGACTTGCCGATCAAAGTGCAAGTAGATAAATAGGTACCGCTCCAGCGGGAAGGTAAACGGCGTTTCGTGCGCTGTTCTTGTTTGCCAGAAGCGGCTTAGTGCTGCTGGCCACATGACCCGGAAGCTGTACGCCTGCTCCCTTGGCCAATAAAGCGAGATGAGTGCCACAACCCCAGAGTCGGCCACGACTGGACCTAATGGTCGGGGTCCCTTTACCTTTACCACTGTATTACCCTGCAGAAAAACCCAACCCATTATGCCTAGTGGCGGTTTGCACAGCCCACTAAGGAAGAGAATGGCGCAGCCGAGTTCAGAACGGTAGCAATTAATTGCACGTCCGTTCAGAGCCCAGTTAAAACTCAATTCGACAAAATGGACGAGCGAGCTTCATTCCGTGATAGCAGCTTTCCAAAGTCTTGGATAAGCCACTGGCATCTCCAGAGCCCCTGGGGTTAATTCCACCGCCCTCCACGTGGGGGCAGCACCTCCCCCCTTGGGGAACCACTGCTCTAGAGGCCCCTTTTCCAGGCTTCCTGAGGTTTTTCAAGGGGTTGGGGGCTTCTCGACGCACCCTCCGGCTCCTCCTTAACTCCTCTCCTCTAACCCACAGGATTCCAGCGACCCATCTATCTCTTCCACAAGGCCGGCCCTGGCGCCCACTGAGAGCGTCTCTGCCGCCGACGCCTCGCCCCCTCCTTTTCGAATCAGCCACTTGCTGGGGCCGGGGGGTGGGCGGCTAACGTGTCCCCCCCACGGATGAATGTTGGACACTTTGCTGGCAGGAGGGGAGAGCCTTTCCCTCCCGGCCAGGACGGAGCAAGCCAGACTTCAGAGACTGCAGTGGGGCAGTGGAGATTTGCCCTGGAGCAGGACCTTGACTACTGTTATAGGGTGGGTTGGGGGGGTTGAGAGGTTATGGGGTGCACTCCAGGGGGGTGGCGTTTGCACCCAGGTGTCGTTTTCTTAGTCCCCGGAGCAGGGGGCAGGGTGCGTGGGCTGCAGCTCCCCCCCCCAATATGTCGGGTGCTCAGCTCCCCGTCACTCAACAACAAGCCAACAGTTTAGCAACATCTGGGGGGGGGGAGAGGAAGGGTGGGCAGCTGGGAGATCGGATGGCTGGGAGTTTTAGCACAGCAGCAGAAGTTATTTCTCTGTCCCTTTTGCCATTGCCTGTTCAAGAGGTGTCCACGGCCCAGCGGGCGCCATCTGGGCACTGCTGTGCTACAACTCCCATCAGCGCCTCAGCCAGGGAGAGAGAATTCAAAAGCTGGCGGAGAAAGGGGCTAGCTGCGTCCGATCGTCCCTTGATAGCTTCAGGTTGGGTTGGAAGAACGGAAACCCAGCCTTTTGCTGCTGCTTCCACCCATCTCCTGCAAAGGGTGTCTTAACATCTGTATTGGGGAGCGGAGGGGGGGCTCCCCTGCCTTTGCCAGCAGCAGATGTTCGAGGCCTCCCCTCTCCCTACTCCAGAGTCCCTGGGGCAACGAGAATCCTGCCCCCACACGGACACAGCCGGCAGGAAGACGCATGCCTGGATTGCGGCCATACTCTGCCCATGTTTGTCAAGTCTGATGCCTTGCTCAGCAGAGTGTTGCCTTCAGCCCTTGCGTGTGACGGGGAGACGACTCTTAACAAAAACACCACCATCTTGTTTCCCACAAAGAAAACGTCACCTTTCTGGGGAGCCTTTCTGCCTTTTTTGGGGGGGTGTATCTGAAGGGGACCCCTTCTCTGGAGTTCTTTCTTTAAAAAAAAAAAGTTGATTCTATATATAAATAAAAGCCTACAGATTATTACCAATCTCTGTGTCTTGTGTGCAGGCTGGGCCAAACTCCACATTCGGGGGAAGAGGGTCTGAGCGGTTTTTCAAAAGAGACTCGGGGGTGGCTGTTGGCGTTCTGGCAAAGACACGCCACCCTGCTGATCAATAACTGGGAGACTGGAGAGGACATGTGCTTCCAATTAAGTTTTATGTATGAAAAGCGAACTCCGGTGCAAAAGGGAGTCCTGTTTGAATAAATAGTCCTGCGCCACACAGCAGTCTTGAGTCCAGTTTTGGGGGGCAGACGGACCGGCATCCCCTGAGGCCCTTTAACTGTCCCACTGGCGCAGCTTCCGGTACATGAAGAAAGTGGTGGCTGGGTCCCGAGTTCGAGGTTGCAGCTTCAGAGGGGGCAGACCCTCCACCTCCAGGAAGGGGCTCTCCGTGAACAGCTGCTCCGGGTCGTAGAAGGCCAGGAGGTCGGGGCCTGTGCAGTCCAGCTCCTAGCAGAGAAGAGACGGGACGGTTGCTTAGGAGGGAAAGTCCTTAATGAAGTGTGATGTTAAAGTCCTTAATGAAACACAATGTCATCCAATGCTTTACCAACTGCACTGGCTCCCGGTGGAGTACAGGGTCAGGTTTAAGGTGCTGGCTTTGACCTTTAAAGCCCTATGCGGCCTAGGACCCTCGTACCTACGGGACCGCCTCTCCTGGTATACCCTGCGGAGGACCTTGAGGTCCACAAGTGACAACACTTTGGAGGTCCCGAGCCTCAAGGAGGTTAGATTGGTCTCAACTAGGGCCAGGGCCTTTTCAGCACTGGCCCCGATGTGGTGGAATGCTCTGTCACAAAAGACTAGGGCTCTGCGGGACTTGACATCTTTCCGCAGGGCCTGCAAGACAGAGCTGTTCTGCCTTGCCTTTGGTTTGGACTCGGTCTGACCCTTATGTTTCCCTCCCCTTATGGTCTTGATTTATCAGCTATTTTAAAATGAGATTGCATTTTAACCTGTATTTCAAATTGGGTTTTTTCCTCCCTCTCTTTCCCCCCTATTATGTTTTTACTGTGATTTTATTTTATTGGAGCCCGGAGAGGGCGGGGTATAAATAAAATTTATTAATATTATTAAACTGTGGAACCCCCTCCTGCACGAGGCCGTGAGGGACTCCAACGGACATCCAGTCGAAACCCTGCAATTCAGGAACGCCAACCATTTGCAACCTTAGCTTTGCAAATGTGCTGGCAATTTATAGGAGGACTTCGAAGGAGGATTAGACAAATTCTTGGGAGGAGAGAGCTGTCATCGGTAGTGTCAGAGGCAGTCATCCTTGTGAACACTGGTTGCAGGAAACCACAAGAGGGGGAAGAATGCTCTCGCGCTCGAATCCTGCCTGCGGGTTTTCCAAAAGAGCCATCTGGTTGGCCAATCTCAAGAAAAGGATGCTTGCTGTTAGAAGACATCCGAAGGCAGCCCTGTTTAGGGAAGCTTTTAATGTTTAATAGTTTATTGTATTTTAGTTTTTTGTTGGAAGCCGCCCAGAGTGGCTGGGGAAGCCCAGCCAGATGGGCGGGGTATACATAATAAATTATGATGATGATGATGATCTTAAGGGATCTCCTTCCTGTCCTCCACTCAGCACATTCACCCCCGTTGCTGGACCTTCAGCTTGGAGAGACACTCGTAACACTGGTGTAAACCCATCAGATCATTGCTTGACACCCCACCTGCTGTTTCCAAATTTTGGGGACGGGGTTAAAGTCACCTGTCTCGTTGAAAGTATATGATGTTCGACATGATTGAGAATCGTGGACTCAGGGACGGAGAACTATAAAGCGTCAAAATAGAGATTTGGAAAATATGGAAACAACAAGGAGAGGCAGGACTGAGATATGGAGATATGCTTCAGAGATCCAAACCGTGGGGAGCTCCAAAAAATTACCGTATTTTTTGCTCTACAATACTCACTTTTTCCCTCCTAAAAAGTAAGGGGAAATGTGTGTGCGTCTTATGGAGCGAATGCAGGCTGCGCAGCTATCCCAGAAGCCAGAACAGCAAGAGGGATCGCTGCTTTCACTGTTCTGGCTTCTGAGATTCAGAATTATTTTTTTCTTGTTTTCCTCCTCCAAAAACTAGGTGCGTCTTGTGGTCTGGTGCATCTTATAGAAAAATACGGTAATATAAATATTACCGTATTTTTCTATAAGAAATTTGGACTAGAATTTGGTCTTTTTTATTTTCGTTTTTTATTTTAATTGGAGTACAGTGGTGCCTCGCAAGACGAAATTAATTTGTTCCGCGAGTTTTTTTGTCTTGCAATTTTTTCGTCTTGCGAAGCACGGTGTCGGAAAAGTTTTGGAAAAGCTTCAAAAATCACCAAAGTCTTCAAAAACCTCAAAAAAGGCTACCACACCGCGTTCTATGAGTTGCTCCTCGAAGTCAAGTCGCAACTGTATTAACGGTTTTAAGAAAAAGAAAACAAACTTGGAAGACGTTTCCGTCTTGCGAAGCAAGCCCATAGGGAAAATCGCCTTGCAAAGCAACTCAAAAAACCAAAAAACCTTTTGTCTTGCGAGTTTTCCATCTTGCGAGGCATTCGTCTTGTGAGGTACCACTGTATTATGATTGGATATAGTACTTGGATGCTTTTTATTGGAAAATCAATAAAAATGATTTAAAGAAAAATAAAGTCACCCATCTCCTCCAGCTCTAGGGAATCCTCAAGCCCCCCCCCTTCCCTGCTCACCTTCCTGGGTTCAGGTCGGGTCCGGACGAGGGCGAGTTTCTCCTGCACAGCTGAGCTGAGCAATTCAACTTCTGGCACTTCCAGGCTGACGAGGCCTTGATAGAGTTGTTGCTCCCGACGGATGTTCATACCTGCGAAAGGTGTGTCGGGAGAAAAGGCGAGGAGTTTATAAAACGAGGAATGGCATGGAGAAAATGGATGTAGAGAGAAGTCCTCATCCCTCTCGTCACACACTAACCTGGGCCATCCACTGGAGCTGAATGTTCGAAGACTAAGGACAGGTAATAATAATTTATTATTTGTACCCCGCCCATCTGGTTGGGTTTCCCCAGCCACTCTGGGCGGCTTCCAACAAAGATCAAAAATACATCAAAATGTCACACATTATAAACTTCCCTAAACAGGGCTGCCTTCAGATGTCTTCTAAAAGTCGGATAGTTGTTTATTTCCTTGACATCTGAAGGGAGGGCGTTCCCACAGGGCGGGTGCCACCACCGAGAAGGCCCTCTGCCTGGTTCCCTGTAACTTGGCTTCCCGCAGGGAGGGAACCGCCAGAAGGCCCTCAGCGCTGGATCTCAGTGTCCGGGCAGAACGATGGGGGTGGAGATACTTCTTCAGGTATACAGGATCAAGGCTGTTTAGGGCTTTAAAGGTCAGCACCAACACTTTGAATTGTGCTCAGCACATAGTTAAACAATTATTATTATTATTATTATTATTATTATTATTATTATTTATACCCTGCCCATCTGGCTGGGTTTCACCAGCCACTCTGGGCAGCTTCCAAAAAAGTATTAAAATACAGTAGTCTGTTAAACATTAAAAGCTTCCCTAAAGAGGGCTGCCTTCAGCTGTCTTCTAAAAGTCTGGTAGTTGTTGTTCTCTTTGACATCTGGTGGGAGGGCGTTCCACAGGACGGGTGCCATCACCAAGAAGGCCCTCTGACTGGTTCCCTGTAACTTGGCTTCTCGCAGGAAGGAAACTGCCAGAAGGTCCTCAAAGCTGGACCTCAGCGTCCGGGCAGAACGATGGAGGTGGAGACGCTCCTTCAGGTAAACTGGACCGAGGCCGTTTAGGTAACCAGCTCCCACAAAAGCTGGGATTAAGAAACCTTGCTTCCTCCAGATGTGGAGGCAATCCTGGCCGGCAACCACCGATAACCCTCCTGAGGCAGGGAGTTCCATAGGTTAACCCTGTGCCACACAAAGGGATTTTTTTTTTTAACCTCCCAACACTCAACTCCCAATACTCACCCTCGCCAGCCCGGGCTTCCACAGCGCAGCGAGCGACGAAAGAGCGCTGCACCAGTTGTTCAGCCGCCTGCCGGGCATTAAAGCCCTGCTCCCGGACGGCATGCACTTCTGCCACGAGAGCAAGAGTGCTGTGAGGAACGGGGCCGGCCAGCGGGTTGCGGGGCGGACACGATCCCTCTTCTCCTTCCTCCTCCTTCTCCTCCCCTGCCGGACTCAGGGAGGGCTCTCTCGCCAGTGTGATGGTGATGGGAGATTCTCCTGCACTGCTGTGGACCACCTCCACTCTGGGCTTGGGGGGGTTGAGGCTGACCATCCGGACATCGTCCGACCGGGATCCCCGCCTCGCAGGAACGGCAACCTCCGTTCCAGGCTGCAGGGGATCTGAGGGGACCAGGCCAATGTCATCGGATTTGGATCCCAGCCTGAAACGAACCTGGCAAGGTGCAAAAAAAAAATAATGGACAGTCGAGATGGGGAAGAAGAGGTGAATTGTGAATAGGGCCACTGTATTCTGCTCTGGTCAGACCTCACCTGGAGTACTGTGTCCAGTTCTGGGCACCACAGTTCAAGAAGGACACTGACCAACTGGAACGTGTCCAGAGGAGGGCAACCAAAATGGTCAAAGGCCTGGAAACGATGCCTTATGAGGAGCGGCTAAGGGAGCTGGGCATGTTTAGCCTGGAGAAGAGGAGGTTAAGGGGTGATATGATAGCCATGTCCAAATATATAAAAGGATGTCACATAGAGGAGGGAGAAACGTTGTTTTCTGCTGCTCCAGAGAAGCGGACACGGAGCAATGGATCCAAACTACAAGAAAGAAGATTCCACCTAAACATGAGGAAGAACTTCCTGACAGTAAGAGCTGTTTGACAGTGGAATTTGCTGCCAAGGAGTGTGGTGGAGTCTCCTTCTTTGGAGGTCTTTAAGCAGAGGCTTGACAACCATATGTCAGGAGTGCTCTGAGGGTGTTTCCTGCTTGGCAGGGGATTGGACTCGATGGCCCTTGTGGTCTAGTCCAACTCTAGGATTCTATGATCAAT